CTCCTAAAAAGGGGGGGAGGAGGGGCGTAATGTAATAGGCTAGAGCCTAGTTAGTAAGTCCTCGATAATATCTTAGTTACGTGCGCAAGGCGCACTGTCCACAGATTCCGGGTGCCCCCCCTAAGCACCCGGATTCTGTGCAAGCGAGCCCGGCAGAGGGTTATCCCGAGCCGCCGCCCCCTAAACGACCTTTAGAACCCTAGCTACCTTTAGTTCTCTTCTCTATCGAATACAACTCCAGTATACCTGTGCGATAGCTCCCTAAGCGTAGCCCCTTACACCTAGAAAGGGTCATTATAGGCGATTATAGGGCATACTAACACCCTAGTACTCCGGTAGGGGGCACAATAGGGCATTTCAGGTTACTTACCTCTTAAGTACCCGCTTAACGCCCTAAAGCTTATGCTAAATCTTAGCCTCTCGAAGTAGGCGCTTATCTTTGGTAAGACCTTAAGTAACCTCATCCTTATCACTAATACTAGGAATCGTAACTTAACCTTTGCGAAGCTCCTTAACCAGAACCTTAATAGCGGCTAGGTCGACAAACTAGCTATTAGGAGGCTAGAAAGGGTTGGAATAGCCCGTAACAATGCGGGCTAACCCCTTCTACGCTAATAAGGCGCTATAATAGGGTAGAACGGGCTAAAAGGGGCTACTTACAGCAATACAGGGGCGACTTAATAGGAAACAGCGCCTACACTCGAGGATCTAGACGGCGCTAGGCAAACTAGGGATATTGCGAAGACGTCCCTTAAAGTTAGCCCTGTTATAGTCGCTAAGGACAGGGAAACAGCAGCTATACTGACCTAGGCAAAGGAATTTACTAGCGACCTAGGAATAGAGGCAGCTAGTGCAGACCTAGAATAAAGACTAAGTGCTAGCACTAGGAAGATAGCTGTTAGAGGCCGCTAGCTTAAAGAAACTAGCTATAATAAGCCGTACTAGGCTAATATAGGGATAGTTAAGGCAAAGTAGGCAGATAGGGTCTGATGGGGCGTAAGAGGGGCGCCTATGGGCTAGTTAGTTCTATTCCTACCTATATCGCACTAGAAGGGGCTATTTTGGGCCACCTTGGCGTTACCCTCCTCTTGCCTAGAATAGGGCAAAATACTCACAATTAACGGTCGAGGGGAGTGTAGAATAGGAAAGATAGTCCAGATCGGCTAGGAATACATGAAAGCTTAGGCCTTCGCTTAGCTGGACCCTAAATCCTAGGTAAAGGTAGATATTCTAGAGTTTTTTAAGAATTCCTAAATTAGTCGGGGTGAAGGTAAAAACCACACCCAGAACTTAGGCCTGCCCTATCTAGTCACTTTTTTTGATACTAGGCGTAGTAGGCCCCGTAGGTGCTATTACAGACTACTAAAATCTAGTTTAGGCTAATTGTGCCTTGATTAGGTTAATCGACTCTAAGAAGGGGAATAATGTCAGGCACCAGGCTACTCCCGGCCCGTTCGGGCCGTTATGCCAAGCAATCGCAGTATATTAGCCTACCTTACCGCTGTTGTAGCTCGACAGCGGTTCGTCTCTAGTCTTACAAGGCAATATACCTCTACTTCCACTATCGCGGTGCATCTCGTATCTATAAACTGTCACGGTAACCACCGTGGTTCCCTTGACACTAAACGCGCTACAGAATCCGAGTGCTCCGCCAAGCACCAGGATTCTGCTAATTGGCCGGCCGGGCCTAGCGCCATGCGCACGGCCCCCATCGATAACTTCTTACCGCCTGTACATGCTAATTCTGTTTCCTTACGCAACGTCTTGTATTACACCAGATATCGTACGTAGCCACAATTAACGCTTCTAGTAAGCTCTTAAACACGTGCTCGTAGCATCTCGTAACATAAACACTCTATTGTTTGACATTTAGAAGGTTTATGTCTAGGCACCTCATAATTACATAGCCTTCCCTACTACACGTCTAACATTATCTTAGAGGTTCTCAACTAGTAAAGCTAGCATTATTAACTTATAGATTTATAATTAGTAGGCAGCTTAACTAACAGCTCCTATTATTTCGCTCTAGAATTAGAAGCTTAACCTAATAAGGCCTTAGCACTAGCTACTTATAAGCTTTAGCATAGTTTTCCCCCTTTAATAGTAGTTAGCGTAGTAATAGGTTACTATTCGTAAGGTATTTAAACTGCTCTACACCTAGGGTTAACCTATTAAAACGCTTAATTAAATCTTTAACTCTAGGATTATTTTTTAGCGTAACTACCTTTACCTACTACTAGATTAGAATTATCCTAGGCATCGCCTTACTATTATACTTTAGTTTAAGTTAAGGAAACAGTTTATGTAGATTATCTGTATCCTCTTAGGCTAAGATCCTGCTTACTAAGGAGTAATTAGTGTTTAGTGCATTTAACCCTTCCTCCTGTTCCTAATATTCCTAAACAAACATATAGATCTTCTTAGGCTTAAAGCTCAAGAGGTTATTAAGCTTTAGGCGATCCTCCTTTAGCATAAGGTGTATTACCCTGTCTATGTCTTCTCTAGCAAGGCCCTAGAAGAAGAAATAACCTTTCTTAGATTTAGTAACTTAGTTTTAGCACTTTACAGCAGCAAAGTAAGTAGGAAAGTTCTAATAGTACTTAGTAATCATAATAGCAGGCTGCTTTAAATGTACTTTACTAATAACGTAGTTTACAACCAAGTTGGCTACCTAACTAAGCCGGCCACTTTACCCTACTAAAATGCCTACGCAACAACAACACGTTATGTCTTAACAACTTAACGTGTAAAAGACCTATACTAAAGGAGAAATACATATTGCTATCTCTAATATTGCATCTAAGCAGATTCAAAGCGTAAGACGCGCTGCAGCAGTCTACTAAGTCCCTCGATCTACGCTCTAAGACCAACGCGCTAGGACACGCCCTTAACGCGACTGCAAGCTAAACATAAAGCGCCTTACAAAGCTAGAAGAGGAGGCGATTGTACAGCGTATAATTAAAGAGGGTTTACGTAGTATACTGCCCTCAAAGTCACACGTACAAGATATAGCTAATATACTGCTAAGAGAGCGTAGTGAAAAGCCTACAGGCAAGAACTAGGTTAATAACTTTATTAAGCGTACACCTAAGCTACGAACGTGTTAGATAAAAATGCTAAAAATAAGCTCAGGAGAAGTTTATGATTTCGATGATGGATTATGTCTTAATCATTGTTCCTTTTCGTTAGTTTGTTCTCTCTCCTTTTTAAACATAAACCTAATACATTAGTGATACCTAGGTGATACATAGGTGATACCGTCCATGATGCAGTATCGCTTACTTTATCTGACAGAACGCGATAGAGCCGTCCGTACGATTACTAGCGAGCTGTCTGTAAGGACCTAGCGGTTATTAGGCTATAGTTTACGCTTGTTTAATTAATGAAGGCGGAGCATAGTATTGCAGACGAGGATACCTAGAACTTTAATAAGTCTGGATTTATAATAGGCAAGATATCCTCTTAGCTTGTTGTTACAGGCTTAAAGAAACCTAGAAAACAGAAGAAACTACAGCCTAGCGATCGCGAGTAGGTAACTCTAGTCTAAGGCGCCTCTGCGACAGGGCGCGTTATCCTGCCCTTCCTTATCTTCGCGGGGAAGGTCTTTATTACCTCCTAGTTCGCAAATCTACCTTGCGACTAGATTATTACTGTCTCTCCTACTGGCTGGATCAACAACGACCTCGCGCTCGCGTAGCTTAAGCACTTTAATGCTTATACGAAGGCGTCCTCTATTAGGACATATACACTGCTTATTATTAACAGCTATAACAGCTACTGCTTAGTAGATTTCTAGGACTTCTGCAAGGAGAACAAGATTATCGCTCTCTGCATGCTACCTTACCTATCGCACCTCTTGCAGCCTCTTAACGTTGTTCCCTACTCGCTATTAAAGCGCTACTACAGCGATAGGATCTTGCTCTTAGCACGTAGCTGCATCTACTTTATTAACAAGGAAACCTTCCTACTAGCCTTTAAAGAAGCTTATAAAAAGACGTTTACACTAGAGAACGTTCGCGCAGGCTTTTAAGGTGCTAGACTAGTCCTATATAACCTAGAGGCTGTGTTATTAAAGCTAGATGTACAGCTGCGTACGCTAACGCTGCCTACACTAGGCATAGTTACCTAGGAGGCGTAAACACTACGCAACGCCTGTAAGATAGAGGCGCAATCTACGCTAATTTAAGATTGTATGTAACACTACTAAGGGTTACTAGTAAGTTTATTAGACAAGCAGGTTAAGCAGCTAAGTAAAGGCGCTTAGCAGATAGCTTATAATATAGTATTAATGCGAGAGGAAGTAAGAAGCCTTCGAGAAGCTGTTAACACGCTTATAAAGCGCAAGACTCGTAAAAGGCAGTACGTACGCGCAGAGGAGACTCTAACAGTTAGTAAGGTATCTAACTTAATTACTAAAATAGATAGTAGTAGGCGTAAGGACAGCAAGACGCCTGCGAAGAGGGTGCGCGCAAAGAGGCGCTGCGGCCGTTGCAGCGAGGTTAGGCATAACTCCCGCACCTGTAGGGTAGAAATAGGGGATGTAGATAATAGCGACGCTTCTAAATAATACTGTAGTATTGCGTACAATATAGTAATCTATTATAGTGTTATGCTGCGTTGCTACGCGTGCGCTGCACTAGTGTTTAGGTGGCCACTCGCTTAGGGTAGCCGCTCGCTTATGAACCACGTTATACGTCTTATTCCTAACTTCTTTGATTATAGTAATTATAGTTAAGCTAATCGGAGGAGTTCCTAGTCTAGCAAACTACATTCTACGCTTTCGTCCTATGTATTACAACCTTAGATGCCCTGCAAGCAGGGCAATAATATTGTTTCGTTAATAGTTAGTGCTTTATCGTAAGCAGAGGAGTAGATTCAATTTGGAGACAAGATTCGTGCGCATAAGGCATAATACTTGCTACAGGTCTATGCATTGAGGATCCTGTTTGTCGTTTGACATTTGCTAGGAAATGAGAAAAATTGCTCATGAATCCGAGAGCTCAATACCCATGACCTTCAAAAAGCCGGGTGAGTGGGTGTGACCACAAGCCGCCCCTATGCTCTGCGTTCCCAATACGATCGCTCCAATCCCCTCTTTGAATGCATGTCTTCTCCAAAGTCAAATTCGGGGTCGATGCGCTTGAAGCATCAAAGGCATTTTCCAAGCGCTCCCATTCCTCAAAAACTTTGAAGTCACCACCTAGGTGAAGTTCTTCTATGGACTCAGGTAGGAATGTTCTGATGTCGAAGTCGCCATCGATCCATTCATTATGTTCTTCGCGATAATATCCTTCTTCCAGCGGCTCATCATGTTGTGGATCTTCTTCTTCTTCTTCTATCTTAGGTCGTACTATTGACCATTCGCAGTTGAGCATGCGGAGCTTCTGAAAATCTCGAAGTGAGACGATTTTCGGACCAGGAAGGTCAAGGTGAAACTGAACTCTGGATTTAGTCTGGAACTTGAATTGGAAGTAGAGTCTTACGTCGTCGTCATCATAGCCCTGTGTGAGGCTGAGTTCCTCCAACGAGTGAGCAGCATGTGTGACAACAGCTTCAAGAACTCTCTTGGGTTGGTAAAAGCTTCCTTCCGATACCGAAGCGTCGCCACCATCATACGTGAGCTTTTTCAGATGCTTGACAGTTGCGAGGATAGTAGCCAAGCCATCTACGTTGAACAAGGAACTTGAAAAGAACAGCTCTACCACGTTTGAGCATGGAGCAGAACCTTCCGGGAACAAACTATGCTGCACTTCTCGACTAGGCGATTCACCCATTGCCTGCGCCGCAAATGTCTTCAACGAAGGTACACTGAGATAATAACATGCCCAATCAGGCGAGATACAACCTTCCGTGTCACCATAGACCATGGCGACTGTCTTAAGGTGCTGCAGGGGGAGCATTGACGCCACAGCCGGATTTTTGTATCCGCTGGCGATCTGCCATAAGGCAAGTTCCAGGCACTCTTCTTCCCTAACCAAAGTGTGTCTGATGGTCGTAAGAAAAGGGAGATAGTGTAACAAGAGTGCGATGATGGCGTCCTCGAAACCTGCACGGATTCGATCTTCGATAGAGCCAATCGTATCATGAGGTCGGGGCAGAGTCTGAGTTTGAGAGCTGTATCGACGTCGCAAGCTCTTTGCGTCCATATCAGGATACAGGTGTCGCAACTTCCTCGCTGCTTCAATGAACAAGATCTTTTCTTCACCAGAAGGCCCAACGCCGTTGCTTGGGTGGGTTCCAAACAAACTCTCATCCGTATTCCAGTTGTACTGTCGGGTCTGTGGAAGATTAAGCTCCCTGATGTACCACCCTTGACGTGGATCGATAATCAATTCCTTTAGTCTCCTCCACAGAAGCGTGCGACCATCTGAGGTGTCAATAACGTTCCATTCCGAAAGTAATCGTCCATGCTCTCTCAGCGTGGATTTCAAAAGCGTTCCATGGTCTCTGCACGTAAGGGCGAAGTTGAGGGTCGAGTCAGGATCCAAGAAGTCGGCTACGTTGAGTTTGAGCTCCGGTGGAAGCGCAACAAGAGCCATGTCAATCGGAATAGAACGTCTGGCGATGGACGCGTGCGACCCTTTGTATTGCCACGAACAAGATAGAGCGCTGAGCTCTATCAGTCTAGTGCAAGGCTGCGACTGGGCGGCAAGACAACTCATCTAGGATAACCGAGCCGTGCAGATGGAGAACTCGGGCCTAGTGGCTGCCTGAAATCCACACACGGGTGCTGGGGTGTTTGGTGTTGGAGGTTCATTCCTCAACGTTGCATTTCTCGCGCGATCCTTCGCAGACTTGCTACAATATGGCATTTGCTCATGCTCAGTAGCACGCTCGGGAGGGGTGAGTCTCTGGCAGAATGGCGTTGACGGGTGTCAGGGCCGGCCATCTTCGTGTACGCGCTAACAGCCGTGGCGTGGAGTTCACGCGTCGCTCCGCGCTTTGGAACGACTATCCTTTGCTACACGATGTCCACATCATACACCCTCACCAGTCGTTCACAATCAACGGCCACACTATGTCGCACTTTTTGCTATCGACCAAACGCCGTGTGCATACGAGCAGGACGCAGCCAGAGTTCGCGCATAATGCAAAAGCTATCTTTTATGTACAGAATCCTCATCCTTGCCTATGGTCTGAACAGCCTCAACAACATTCTCGTGACGACTCCGCGTACACTCCTCATTTTCAACAGCAAACTTGGCTGCTAGGCCTGCTGTACTAGTAATTATAGGCGCCATCTCATTGCCACGCACAGCCAAGCAGGTTCTTCTTGTCGGATCCACGTCTTCCGAGATTAGAAAAAAAACGCTTTCCTAGCACTACATTGTCGTCGCGATGAGGACTATGAGTGTTTCGGGCACTCTAATCACCTCGAGCATATCTGACCGAGCTGTCCCTGTTTTATGCAGAAACCGGTTGGCAAATTTCGGGATTGGCTGTATACCAGGGTGGAGGCTCAGTATTCCCTGATTTGCGACTAGGTGGCCTGAAAGACGAGTCTGCGACCAGCGCGTCAAATTCGGCCTGGACGCAAGTCGCGTGGACTTTCAAGCACAGGAGATCAGCTATGGAGGAATAGACTCTCGATGTGTCAATCAAGCCAAGTGGAGCTGCGTGTCTGCCCGGCTCGTAGACTCGGCGTTCGGCAGGATCGCGACAGGAATAGGAGGCGTCTCGAGTGGACCAGGTGATGATGTCTGGTGTGAAGGTGACATGTTTTTTCGCTCGAGCTTTAGCGATTTGCCTCTCGCTACGTCAAGCGAAGATAATTCTCGTTTCATCGCAGGCTCGAGAATAGAGGACACGTCGGACAGCATCGCAGGGTATCTCGTTCGCATGTGAGCATTGCGTACCACTTTTGAGGAACCGTAAGTCATGCACATACAACCGACGTCGTCTGGATACAGTTCTTCCCACTCTTCTCCATACTTCTTGGAACACTCGAGAGAATCCACAAGCGGGACTATTTGATAGCGCGCCAGGTGTCAACACTGTCTGACCAGCAAGTTCTCCTTACGAACACGCGCTTGCGGCCAAGGGCCGCCGCATCTCTGAAACACCCGCGCAAGTACATCGAGGAACTTGAGACATATTTCCACCTCACAGACCGGGCAATACCCACTGGCGATCATATTTGGAGGATGCGGTTCATGGCTGCACCTAACCGCAGGGTTTCGGTGTCGTGTTCATTCTTTGTCGCGCTCGACATCGACGACTACTTCGTTACCGCCCCGTTATTCAATGTACTCGCAGTATTCTATGTTTTCCCGAACAACACTACGAAGTTGGACAATGCTCCTCTTACCAGTTAATGACATGACGGACATGGGAACGATTTGAGCTCCTGACAAGGTATAGCGTAAATTGTTGGGTTGATGGGGACGATAGGCGGTGGAAGGTCGTAAGTGGTTGCTAGAGTTTCATCGTGTTTCACAGCTGTGTCCCAGCTTGCAGATCATATGGTCGATGCATAGCAACGAAGCGCAAGTGAATAGTTGACAGAGTTTAACACCGTTTACAAGGTGTGTGGGTGTGGATTTTTGAGTCATTGCATGTGGTTCATCCCGGAGTCTGTAGCTAACAATGCATTGTGCAATCAGTGTGTTGGCGTTGATTTAGTTCGCTGCTCTTATGTCAAACAGCTGATCGTTGTTTGGGTAACTGCCAGTAGCGTCATAGTGTCCAAACTGCTTCCTTCGTCGACGTATCTGATTTGTTTTGTGGCCGGCTCTCAAGAGCGAATGATATGAGCTGTTCTTCTGGATTCTGTCTTGACGGTTTGCCCTCTGGTGAGAAAATTACAGCAATCCCGCTCTCTTCCCGTCAGTCTCATACCCCCTAACTATCTCTGACTCAAAATCGTCAGCGTCATGCGATATGAACATCATCAAGGACGTTGCTAGGCAACCTTTTTAGGTGCGATGTTCACGCCTTACTTCCCAGTACACGAACTTCTTACCTATCATCTCTCTTGAAATCCTCAATGTCTCCCATCGGGTATGGTCTGATCTGTGTGACCTGATTTTGTTTATCGAAATTCAAGATATATTAATCTGCAGTTTCTGTATCTTTGGTCTGTGTACTCTTCGTCCTTTGATCTTGTCTCCTATGAATTTTCATCTTATTACGAATGTCTGGCCATCGCAGATGCTATTTGGCGATATATTCATCCTTGGAACTGGCGATGGTATCGACAAGCTTACTCTTACTTGGGCCGTCGAAGTTTGTGAGAATCTTGAAACTGACGAGCGTTGAACAAGCCGTTACTCATATGCGAAGTGTTGAGGAAAGCTTTCAGCGTTGCTGGGTGTGTTCCTAATATGTACGCCTCCATGCCACTTTGATGCAATCTCCTAGACCCACCAACTCCAAAACTCGTGACGAGCACGAGCTGGACAAGCTTTGGCTCCTTGTTCTCTGGTTTTGTTAGAGAAGTGACGTGCTCTATACGTGCTATATCTTGATTATCGCTAGCACAGTCTTTTTCAGCACTGTTAACAACTCTTACGTGACTGGGTTATGTTGATATAGTTCGCGCTATAGTCACTTTCTTCGCCGCCGAGCATGTTTTCTAAACTGCTTCGGCTTCTCTAGGGTACTCGGTTCCCTAGATGCTTTAACGTTGGCGTCTTCTTACTAGGTAGCTAGGAGTTGGTTAAGCTCGAACCTTGCGTTGTTCTAGCGTTCCGAGCAAAGATCCCAGCTTTTGGCATCCTCAACTATCGACGGCGAAGAGCCTCTGTAACATATCGAAGTAGATCCAGACAAGCTACAACTTTGCACGCTGGGCGATATTTGAAGTCATCATCCGCGGCACAGTGAGGCAAGTGGCCCCATATGGCCCCTATCCGACAGCCAGCGTCATTAAAGCTGCTCCCATGCTTGTGGGGATCCTCGCTTTTGCGAACCTGAGCGAACTCCGCAGCAGAATTAATCATTTTGGGTTGACTTGCAGTTTCCAACATACGAACGTAAAAGCTTTATTTTCATGTTATTCAGATGCATGTTTAAATCAGTTGCAAATCTTCCAAAGGGTATCGTATTGTCATGATTTTGTGATCATGTAGCCAACACACTAACACTTATTTACACTGGCATCTAAACTACACACCTCAGCTAGCCACACATCCCTCAACTCCCTTAGCCTAGCGTTCTTTGGTGCACTAGTATTCTCTGCAGGCACGCTCCGCCATAACTCGAGTATATACTTATGAGCCTCTAGATCTTCCTGAGTATCATTGCGAAATCGGAAGCTCACAGAATTAATACTTGGATCTTTGTAAACGAACATGACCTTCGCCTGCCTCCACTTGTCTCGTGCAACGTTGCATGAACCACCTCGCTGCGGTTATCTAACTCTACGTAAATCTTTAAGATCCCTTTACAAACTGGGTGCACTCTAAGAGGAATATCTTATCTAGGAAGAAGTGGCTGTCGGGCTTGCATTTTCTGTTTGAAGGAATTGAAAAGATTAGCAGTTTCACTTATATTGCGGACGTGAAACAGAACATGTACTGTAAAGTCTAGAAGCTGCTTCAACTCTTTTGTCATCAAGGTGGTGTCTAACTACTCCTATCCAAGATCCAAGGGAGAACTGTGTTTTCCGGCCAAGTACGCGGGACTGTGTCGTTCGCACTGATATATAGGGCGACCCGGCTCATAGTTAGTACTTGGAGCGAAATCTATGGATTCCTTTGGGCGATGTAGCATGGACGTGGACAGGTCGCTTGCGAATACGGTCTCGAAATTGGGCAATCGCATGGCTCATGTCACACGGTGTAAACGAATGATCCACGCGATCGTCGCGAAAATATATAGCAAGTTGCAGTTGGACCCAAGGTGAAGTCGTGCGAGATTGTGTGTTGATACGCAACAAGGCTAGATGCAGTCAAACAGTGTGCCCAGACGCAAAAATCACACTTTTGCTAATGTGGAGAGACATACTGCCGGCATAATACAACGACAAACGCAGCCATGATGAGAAATGTATAAATGCTACTCCTCATTCGACGTCTCTTGATATCTAAGTAAGTGTCGCAAGTACCGATCAAAAGCCAAGCCCATTTAACTCCAGCGCCGAGTATGCCCTTCCATATTCAACTCATGTATCCTACACAAACGTCCTTGGTGCATCCCCACCGAGTCTTGGAGTATCGGTATGCTGCTCTATACGGCAGCATAGCCTCCTCTGCTGCCACTTCCTTGAACAGTCCCCATGACCTTCCTCGCAAAGTCTTTCGCAATGTATGGGATGTCGCGGATCGCGTCCGCGTGGGGAACCAGATCCCAGCCGCGGGCGCCGTAGCGGTTGTAGTTTAGCCATGAGCCGAAGATGAGGTAGGCCGCGATTGCAAGGAAAAGACTAGAAGCATGTGAGCGCACGATCAAACGTTGGACCTTCGGGGCGGACAACGTACATGATGAAGAACCAGCCAAAGAAGCCCCAGTGTGAGCCACCGTCCGGCGAAGGCGCGTCCGCACACGCATACTTGGTTCGCCACTCTAGTCGCAGTGTTTGGACTTTCTTGTCCTTTTCTTCGGTTTCCAACTCGTAACCACAGAAGCGCAGACTGTTGTCATTGTCCTCACATTTACCCTTGCCCTTGTCCTCTCTTCGCCTGAGCTTCTCTTCTTTCTTGTCGTCACCCTCCTTGTTGTCATCCTTGTTGTCGCCTTCGTTGTTGTCCTTGCCGTCCTTGTCGTCCTTGTCGCCGTCTTCGTGCGGGCTCTTGTCCATCTCATCACCTTCTAGTCCTGTCCGCTCCTTGTCGCAAACAAACTCGATGATAGCGCGCTGGTTCACGCCCTCTCTTTTGCCGTCGAAGGGAAATCTGCCTCCGTTCAGCGTCGCCCTAACGCCCTCTAGTCCTGCATCCTTGTTGCTCTTGGAGTGTCCAAGATTCTCGAATTTGGCATCGATCTTCCTCCCATTTTGTGTCGAATATGTGCCTGCAATGTCGATTGGGGTGATGGTGGAGTTGTCATCCTTGCTAAGATCAATATTCTCTCTGATGCCACACACCCTGGCCCCGTGATGGCACTCGGTTGCCAGACTCCCGCCTTTGTGCCATTTAAGAGAGTTGCAGATGTCGACGGTGAAGTTGTACTTCCACTCGAGTTCTTTGGTGAGATCGGATTCCTGGTAGTGGACTATGTGCGGCCCGCCGAGTTCTTTAAAGTTGAAGTGTGCGCCATCAGCGAGGATGTCTTTGCAGTCAAAGGCATGTGTCGAGTAGGGAAGAAGGGATGTGAGGGCGAGGATCGAGAGCAGTGGCACTCGAGACCGCGGTGGTGCCATGGTAGCGTTTGTAGGGCGATGCGAATGTCTAGGTTGATGAAAGGATGACGGCGGAGCTCGGGGGGACGAATACTGCGTTGGGGAGATGACGCGGGTCAACGAGGCAGCTGTCGGCCGTTCTGGGACTGTCACAATGTCAAGTTGACGAGAGGAGACGAAGCTTGCAACAGAGTGGTTCAAGGAGTGAAAAAAGAGATATGCAGGGCTGCAGTGTCACTTGAGCAGAGCAGCAATGTCGCGATGTCGCGTGGACCAACTCGTAGAGGAAAGTTGGCGCGGATGACGCTGGCCGGCCGCAATGGCGCTGCTGCTTAGTCAGTCAGATCGGGAGCCCTGCATCTTCGCCCGCTCCGCCAGGAACCATCGACATCGCAAGCTTCTGCCAGACTTTTGGTAAAGAAGAAAGCTACGCCTGAGACTGTGCGCCAAGGTTACTGCACAAGCTCACACATGCTGGACATCTAGGTTCGTTCAGCTCGGTCATGTCCATCACAGACCCCGGACTTGTCGCCGCATCACCTTCGGGAATGGTCCCCTCACCATTCAGATATCGGCCCCTCAAGCGATCCACCTAGTCTAACTCCCGGCTGTCATCTTCGATAGTTGTATCGTATCTATAGCATTGGTGGCTGTCGGTATCGTATCGTTCTACTCCACGGAGCGATCATTTGAATACGAGTTGCGGTACTTGGGCAGGTCTAAAAATAGACCACCATGGGGAAAAGCTTGAAAGTATCTTGTACATTCTATTGAGCTAACGTAATCTATTGTCTAGTCTATAGAATCGTCTCCACACTGTCCAACTCCAGAGGATGCAAGACTAGAAGTTGCGATGATCGAAAACAGGATTTGCGAGAATGAGTGAAATTCCTTCCTAAAGAGCTTTCGTATCGAGCCGCAATCATACTATCGATAGTCAACGCACTAGTAAGAGAGGCAACGGCCCGAAAGACAATGATGCTTGGAAGAAAACTGAATCGACAAGGGACATGTATATTCTAAGAGAAAGTAGACGCCGACCATGCAAGCTTATCCGGAGGAAAGAAAACGGGTTCAATGGCATGAATGCAAAGTTGAACGACTGCGGAGATGCAGGACAAAACTGAAAGCGCCAAAGGATACAATGGACCAAAAGTAGAACACGTGGCCATGGGGAAAATGAGAGTAGACCATGTATAGTGAAATCGACGGCAGAAGTCTAAAGAAGAAAAGGGTATCTCCGACGTCAGGGTTGCGACTTGATCATGCCGTGCAACACCAAAAGGACGTAAGAAGAAATTTGACCATACGAGCAGCGAGTCGTTCTTGCGCCATGAAATGTTCGCTTCCGTAAAAATGTCGACGGAGAGAGACGTGAGGATGTAAAAGGAAAACGTGATGGAGACTTCTATTTGCCTTGACCTCCCTGGCCCGAGCCGCCCCGGGGATTGGCAGGCATTGGATACGGAAATGGGGCATATGGGAGTTGACCGGATCCAGAGTTACTGCCAGCGGTAGACGTGTTCGATGGTGAAGACCCAGAAGAAGACATGGTGGTATTCGTTGTGGTTGTTGGGGTTTCGAGAGGCTGTGACTGAGATCGCTGTGGACGTTCGTAAGGCGTAGAAGAGCGTTGTTGTCTCTGAAGCTGTGAAGGCGAGCTAGATTTCGAGCGATGACGGATAGTAAGAGGACGACTTTGTGGAGCAACTGACTCTGGAGTTGGCGTGCGTGAGGCGGGCGACCTTGTAATGACGATTATGGGAGTCGAGAGAGATTGCTTAGCAGTTGATTGGGAAGTTTCCTTAAAATCTGGGTGTGCTGCAGAAGAGGTGGTCGCCTGGATTACTTCTGTTGTGGTATCGACACTGGTAGACCTCGGGTTCCTTGTCGGGCTGGACCTCTTGAATGGGCGGTTGCTCATATATCAAAAGCGAAGAGACAGATGTGCTTATGCTCCGTTCTGACAAGTAACCTGGTTCGAGTGTGACGTCGTTGCTGACTAGTGGTAGTCACAAAAGTTTGTTGGAGAGGCGAGAGAATGTGTTGGTGGTAGTGTTAATTGGGTTGTTGTTATGGTTAGTGATGATACTTCAAGCCAAAAGTTCCTAGATCTTATATTTCCAATGCCACTTCAATGGCCCCGAATCCTGAAGTTTTGAAGCCCCGGCTTTACGATCACCAAAGGTCGAAAATAGCAAGACTGATGTCTGAACAGAGGAATTTTCGAGGGATCCAAGCTGTTCCCGTGTTGCATAATCCAGTATGTGGCTTGTTCCTGCACGCTTCGGAGCCAAGAGCGTTCTTCTATACGGGTGACCCAAGCGTCCGTAGTGTCGGTACTGTAAGTTCGGTATTGGGTCATAAGGCTGTACCCGACCAGTTGGAGAAGGTGGTGAGATTGCGGCGGGACCGGTGAGTGGGTATTGAGCGTGCACGGAGAGAACCTTTTTAGACGTGTGGCGTCCGGATTATGTTCTTCTTGTAGAGATTTGTATGCACCTTTAGCGAACGCGCGGCGGGATAGTGTAGGGCTGCTGTCGTCAGATGCTTATTTGAGCCGCACGCACAACAACCGGTATGTGAAGGGAAAAAAAAGGGTATAGGTGGTGAGATGGGTCACCCTAGTGTCGTCTGAGAAGAGAGGTCTTTGCCGCTATGTGTGATTTATCTGACTTGCTTTGTTCCTTTCTCCAGTGACTAGTTCCACTTCGCCGGTGATATACATGGCCAAGTTCCCTTCAGGTGTCTTCTCGTATCGGGTGGCTCTCCAGAGAACCACCATTTGTCCTTTCTCTGGTAAGCATGTCAAATAGTCAGGTACAGTGAAAGACGGGCCGAAACTTTGAAGCGGGTCGTATTCGTGACTTGAAGCGCTCACGCGACTTTGCCGTTGCGCATTTGGCGCGCCCCCCGGTTGGCGACCACCACGCTCGGTATAGCCGATGGAGTGTTTCGATTTGAGATAATCATTTTGGCGCAACTACGAACGTCATTGGAGGGTTAGTAACTAGTCCAATACAGCCATACTCACAATGCTCGTGTCGAATGCGCCGACGAGTCAGAGGCTCCAACGGTCGCTAATATTAGCTGTCTTAACACGACTTAACACGAGGTGTAGTCACTGTGAGAGGATGTTACTCAGCTATCGCTAAGCTCGCGCCTTAGTCCACATACCCGCATCCTGTCATGCAGGAATTTGTGACCCGATGTATATGCTATGAAGTCATCGCTGTCGCATGAAAGGATAGCTGGGAAGCAGTGGTATCCAATGATGCGTATGGGCATGGGTGTTCGGAAAGTTTGTCAGCGCCAGGGTTACGCTCGCCTGTAGAGTTAGTGCGTGAGAATCCACTTAGTAGACTAATCCTTCCTTCCAGAAGATTACTGAAGGCAGATGCCACGAACGCCATCCAACGCGCAGTGGCGGCCATCGGATCTCACTCAAAAACCGGGTTACTACACATTTCTGGACATTCGTTTAGCGGTGAAGGTGCCCTTACAGCGCCATGACAATGAACATATTACAGAGCTGATCAACCAATGCTGCGGGCTCCGTGGAGAAGCGCACCGAATGATGCCAATTGCAAAATCCACATATGTTTTCGCTGTCGTCCTAACATGGTCTTCAGTAACTAGAGCCGGAGAACCTAACAACCTAACCCCAACCTGACCGACATCAATCGCCGCGCAGATGCGTCGGGCTCGAAACAGCTTAGGAGCCCTTATTTAGCATCCACTGCTACAGATCCGTCCTAATTACCAGAATTTGTTATGAACACAAATAACAAGCCTACTTTGCTGCGAGACACGGTTGTGTAAGCATAAGTTAAGCGATTACTCGAAGTTTTCGCAGATTTCCCCGCTTACGCAATCTGTTCGATGGCTTATCTGATCGTGTGCGACAATTGATGAAGGTAACAATAAGCCATCGCAAGTGAGCTAGATAACACGCAGCGTATATGCAATTACGGAGGCGCATTCGAAAACCGGGCGAGTTGCAGTGCAAACAAAAAGACCACAACCTGACTTTACACCTTCGATTTCGACACGCTTTTGATGTTGAGTGATATGCAGACAGATGCTAGCTGCTGGCAACCGAAGCATGTCACAGTTGTGCAACTAGGCTACACATTAGTCTTGGCCGTTACCAGTGACGGCATCGTTGTAAATCAGAAAAAAGGAGATCACAAGCTCATCATTGTTGACAGAGACGTATGCGACACGAATACACAAGTCAAGACTGACGATCTTGTTCAAACGGGCGCTGTGTAAACACTTCAAATGAGGAGCTCAGCATCACTCTGTTGCTACAGTTGTTATGTACCAACAATCATGTATCACTAGAGTAGACCGTGCCTGTGTTGGCAAGCAGTAAAAGTAATGGCTTCGGCCACAGCCACTGGAAGTCAGAGATGGTATGGAAATCTCGAAGCGAATCATTGCGGATCCGTCCAAGTGATCGTAAAGCTTCACCCTTCTGCGCAATCAAATTCTCCCTCCTGTTCGCGGCTTCATAAGACACATCGCCCAACCTTCTCGAACGTGCCCATCGACGGTGCGTGGTTCGCTCAAACTGCGCAGGATGGGGAGTAGAGAGAGTGGAGAGGTTGAAGTCACCAGAAATTTGCACAAAGGCATTGTCAAGCTAGCACATCTCACCAGGCTTGGAGGGGCCTGAGCGGCATTGCAGTGGGTGAGTCAAGACGTCTTGGATGGTACATTTAGAGGAAACCTTGTGTGAGTCTGCAGCACAAGTGCTCTGCTCCAACACTGAGGCGAGAGCAGGATCACAACGACACGTAAGCTACGGCGATCTGTTGACATAACGCTATGCTTTCGTTACTGCACTCGCAAATCAAGGTGTCACGGCTAAGCCGCTGATTGTCGGTGTGCAGTGTGTCAGCTTAAACGCACAGATGCTAGTCAGAGCGGCGGCATGACGGACATGATGACGGGCAAAGAAAATCAATACTGCGCTTGAGGAAATATGCCGCCATGGGTTTAAAGGTTGGTTTGTAACGCCGATGAGGATACGAGACGCCAAAACGGACGTAGATCGCGATCTTTGTGACTGTGTGCAAACCTAGACGCTAGCATTGCGTTCGCGTTGACGCCAGATCACATGCGCGCGTCAATGACGTCAACCATGCCCTTCAGTCACATCGGCTCTTTGTTGAAATTGCATTGTGGGGTTCGGGGCGTCCCTGTAGAGTTTGAACTAGGACCTCGAGATGCACTTGCCGTGCCTATGGGATGATATCCCTAGGTGCTAATCGGGAACCTGCATGCCAAATCTTAGATTGATCGCCCAACAAGTGAGGCCTCCAGGATCCAGGAGACATGGCATTTGTTCTTGTCCATGATGTGGCTGGCGGTACCTGAAACTTCCCCATGTTCTGATCCACTCGGTGACCACACACATTGACAACTCAGCATGTACTATCACAGATCGGGAGAGGTATCTGGGAGGCCCCTTACACAATGACCTCTTGAATCAACACAAACAGCTAGCGACATTCAAATTATGCTTGAAGCCTAGACCTCCCAGCCTGCGCGGCGGCTAACACACGAGATGCAAGAGACCTTCTAGGCCCAGATATATCCAAGGTGTACAGAAACCCGATCGTTGACGTAGCAAACTCCATGGGACGGATATCGATCACGCGATATGTTGCATCACACCTTTGGAGACCGAGGAATGACGCTACCTTGAGCGAGCTGGAGGTGTATAAGAACACTTGGATTCGTCCACTACATAACTATCATTACAGCCTATATATCGGCAATCCCCACAGTTCTCACAACACGTTCAACGATCACTACAACTTCCTCGCCAACCAACATCATCATGTCCGCCAACCCAGGAAACGTCGTAGGAGGCCACAAGGCTAACCTAAACAACCCAAGTACATCTCCCACCTCCTGTTGGACTTCAACACTGACATGGTTTAGACACATCCGACGAGTCCAAGCAGCACTCCAAAGAGGTCCTTCAGAAGATCGAAAACGGCGGTGATGCCAACGCTGTGTCTTCTTCCGGTGGAGATAAGAACCCCAACAACGTCGCTGGAGGGCTCAAGGCTACTTTGAACAACCCCAATACCTCCGACGAGGCTAAGCAGAGCGCTAAGGAGAAGCTCGGTCAGGAGTAAGCGGCCATTTAAGTTTGGACAAGGCATCAATGCCTATTGGTAGATCGAAGAGGAGGGAGGCATCAAGCCATGCGTGCGACCACTGTCGTGTAGCCTTATCCATGAACGCTACCATCAACACACATCTTGTTCCTTGGATTGTATCGTGACGTCCAGACCATCGTTCGTTTTCACAGCTTCGCCCAAGCTGTAACCATGACCCTCATTGTGGTTCGCCCGAAGCTTGCTTGTTCTGCCTACGCTTTCTCCGACTTCAGCAGGCCCGTCACAACCTCAACCACCCTTCGAAAAGCCTCCATCTCTTCTTCGACTGTCCCTCCCATGCCTGCACTTGCGAAACTGGAAGAGTTCCCTACATATACAGGCTTCCCCGTCTTACGCGCGAGTACCTTGGATAGACGAGTCGTGAAGTCTAGTGTTCCGCCGTGGGTAAAGAGGGGTGTACTGAGTGCTTCGGCAGGTTTGGCCCTCTGTGCATAACATTAGCTTGTATACTCGCAGAGCAGTAGTTGTCAAGCACATTGCTTACATTCGGCATCGAGTATACGAAGGAACCAAGTGGTGCAGAAGACGCAGATTCGGCTGTTGCAGTAGTCAGGAAGAGCAGCAGGTTCGGGCCATTGTTTGTGAGCTGAAGGTGGATGTTCGTATGTGGCGCTTTTGGAAGAGGAAATGAGACCTCGATAGGCGCATGCGACGCGTTGCCGTTCATGGTTGCAGCAGCCATTGCCGGGTGTCGAGAGCAAGTGCGAAGAGTGAAGTCGGGATGATGATGGACGGAGGCAGGTGGGGCAACAATGGCGAACCTCACCCTAGAGATTGTCCCGCACTGAGCATGCTCTGAGATTGCGTGTAAACGATTACCACGACCAGCTAAAGATTACGTGTTCCGAGGTGAACGCTGAAAAACAATCTTCTTTCGCTCATACAAGGCAAAACCGACCCAAAGTATTGAGTGAATACGAAAAATTATCGAAACAGTCAACACGTCTACAAATCAATCACAAAAGAGTGCATCGTCACCACTTCGCTGAGTCAAACATGGCAACGGAAATGCAAGAATCATACGACCCAACCACCGACCCTGAGGAACAAAGACTCATCCTCTCAGTCCTAGACTCTTTCCGGTACACTCCCACGTGCCTCACCAACATCAAGTCGAAAGAGACGATGCTAACATAACCACAGCTCCTACCGCCGCCTCGCTCACTACAATGGCACACACCTCCGCCGTCAAGCCTTTTATTCCCTCCCACAATCGCATTGGACACTGCTATCAAGCCCACCTTTCTCTATCTTATCCACACTCTCTCAAGTAGACGACCTAATCGATAGCAACGCCGAGCTAGCGGAAGCCATCTTTATAGCAGGTTTCAAAGCCTTCTTAGCACCCACTCTGGACAGTGACTGGGTAGCTTCAATTGTGCCAGAGAAGTATACTTACGACGAATACAAGGTCTTCGGGATTGTCATGGATGCATTGGGAGCGAAGACGAGCGAGGGTGATGTGGAGAAGGCACGGAGTTGTGTGAACCAGTTCTGGAGGGAGTGGAGTCAAGAAGGAGAAGCGGAGAGGATCAAATGCTTCAAACCTGTTGTCGCAGCACTGGAGCACGAGTTCACCTTACGAAGCAGTACGATCTCGGATTCAGATCGTGCAAATACCAAAGTCCTGGTTCCAGGTGTAGGGCTAGGCCGTCTCGTCTTCGACATATGTCGTACAGGCTTCAGCGTCGAGGGGAACGAGATCTCCTACCATATGCTCATGGCAAGTGCGTTAATTTTGAACGAGACAAAAGGGACTGGACAATTCAAGATTGCTCCCTGGGCACTAAACAGCTCAAATCACGTCTCCCGGGAAGACCAATTGAGAGCAGTCACGGTACCGGATGTGCATCCAGCAGCGGAGCTAGCAAAAGAGGGGGCTTCGAGAGTTCCGGCAAGTGAGCGGATGGGCATGTCTACTGGCGACTTTTGCGTTGTCTACGGCCGACAAGACTACGCGGAGGAATTCGATGCTGTAGCAACCGTCTTCTTCATCGACACTGCACCGAACATTATTCGGTATATCGAAGCTGTTCGCAACTGTCTAAAGTCTGGTGGGCTTTGGATTAATCTTGGTCCTTTGTTATGGCATCCACCACCACGGAGAGTGCATGACGAAGACGAGGTTGCGGAGGACGAAAGAAGGAGAGCCGATGTAGACGCAGGAATTGGTGATCCAGGTTCGGTAGAACTCACGAACGACGAGGTGATCGCGCTGGTTGAGCATTTTGGGTTTGTAATAGAGAAGCAAGAGCATGGTACTGTCGAGACAGGGTATATCTCCAATACACGGAGTATGCTGCAAAGTACATACCGCCCTTCCTTCTGGATAGCGAGGAAGAAATAAGCAAACACCGACACCTACTACTGGCTACCAGCCTTCGAAACTCCTTCGCAAATGCTCTTATTCTAGTATCAGTATTTTTCATATAACGTGTGCAAGAGACAGATCTGATCATAATGAGATTGTAGATTGATTGTTTGTGATAAATAGCAGTTTGAAATATGGAGTAAGGGATATCCTGCTGCCCAAGCCTTAAAACAAGAGCAAGAGCGAATATGGTATCATGCAACAAATATACAAAGAAATGCAACCCTGAATTCAGTCCTCATGAGTTTCGCTAGTAGTGTTTGTGTTACAACATAGCTCAAGCAACCATGGTCTGATTGGAGTAATCAGGACCTTTGCCTTCAGACCCACTCAGCCGAGCATTCGCATGTGCAAGGCTAGATTGTGCAGCTTCTTGGAGCTGTGTTTCTACATTTCGTTCCCGCTCCCGCTCGTGTGGGGTATTGCGGCCCGATGGTACCCGTGCATCGTGTGAACCATCACGCTGTGGCGGGGGTGGCTGTGTATGTTGATCTGAAGGTTGGTGATGAGCTTGCTGATATTGAGGTGTGTGCTGGCCATTGCCGTGTGGGATGTGTGATGGCGTCGGCCCATGATGCGAAGGGCTCATCATCGCAGCAGGACTTCCCGTGCTCGCGCGGTCACCACTCTCGTGGTCACTTGTCTCACTCTGACCATTGCTGGTGGTGCCGGGTGGGTATGTGTATCCACCGCGTAACTCGCCCTCCTTGACTTCTTTCCACGAGCACTTTGCGTGCTTCTTTGTGCAGCCCACACATGCTGTGAGGTTCTTCAAGCAATCCATGTGCAACCTCCGACAGCGATCGCACGGTGGAATTATGCGCTCACCCTTGGCTAGGCCTTCCATCCTGTGTACCATCTCAACCTTGAAAGGGCCTCCGTCGTCTTTCTCTGGTTGTTGACTGGCACGTTGACTCGAGGCGGGAAGAAGGTTGGATGGAGTGTTCGGTATTGGCACAGGTGAGTTCATCATGGAGTGCAGCTCAGACTCATTGTAAGGTTGCGATGGCCTTGTGGTATGTTGCAGAGAAGCCGGAGGGCCATCTGCAGGCTTTGGGACAGCCCTAGTTGGGATTGTTGCAGGGGTGGAGGGGTGGGAGACGGCATGGCTGCCCATAGACGGTCTCCGTGCATCAGCGGTGCTATTTGGTGACTGCGAGGATGAGCTCCGACCATTTGTTGTGTGAAACTTGGCTAGCAGTTCGTGACGGGTAGACGATGAGGTACCATGGCCACGGCTATGGCCGTGGCCGTGCCCATGACCGTTGGCTTCATGATGTTGACGTGCATTGACTGCAACGAAGCCACCACCACCACCACCACCAGGTGATGTTTGTGAGGTATGAGTGTGTGTTTGACCATGCCCCTGACTATATCCCGAGCTTGGAACGCTCGAGCTACCGCCGTTCATAAGTGCGACGTTGGAAGGGCTAGTAGGCCGAGGAATGGAAGGAGCGGGACTTGCGGTTGCTCGTCGGTCTAGAATAGCCTGCTTACGTCCCTTTAATCTGTGATTGAGCTGCCGAGTGCGAGCAGCGACTGTCGAATGTTAGTCCAAGTTGATGCTAGTTGATAATGCTTGATCAGACTCACCCTGATCGGCCAGTGAACATATCTGGCTCAGGTTCTTCTCTAGGATCTCCATGGTTCCCAGCTCCTTCTCTTCATCTTCGATGATGGGCTGTGGGGGAATCATCTTCTGCGGGATGCCCGATGATATCAGAACGAAGTCCTCCTCTGAGATCTGAACTCGACACTGCTTTGTGTAGAACTGGCAGACGCGCACGCCTTCGCTCATCTGATCCAGCTGGAACTGCTCCGGCTTGTTGCGCGCAAACTCGACCACGTCCAGCCAAGTCACCGTCGTTCCATCTTTGCCATGGCTCTTCAATACTCGCGGAGGGCCGTCGAACAGCCTTTCGAATCGCTTGATCAAGATGGGTCCTAACGGTCTTGCGCCAAGGTTACAGGCCATGCTCTCGTGGCGGTCCAGTACGCCCTGGTAGTCGCTAAGGACGGACAGGATGTTGGGTAGGGTGTCATCGTTGGTAATCAGCGGCAGGTCTTTTTCGAGGTGTCTTGCGAGGTAGTTGATCTGTAGGTGGTTGTGGGTCTTAGCGGCTTTGGGTACTGGCGCCGGCGAAGCCAGGTGCATGTCGTGAGAGGGACTGCGTTTGCGTTTGAGGTCGCTAGGCAGAGACGAGGCATGGTGTTGTGTCGCATGCGAAGGCATGGTGCGCTCAGCCGCAGCGTGCGATTCCGCGTTGGCCATACCTTGGCCTGGAGGGATGCCGGGTTGGAGATTAGTAGGAGGGCGGAATGAACGGATGGCAAGATTCGAGGGTGGAGCGGAAGACGCTAGGCGAGAACAACTCAGCACACTACAGGCGCTCGCGTCTAGTCGCGAAGGCCCGACTTTACAGGACAAGATACATTACGCACGAGAGAATCGCTGGGAGAGTTGCAAAGGCGAGGGTGGAAAGCCAAACGGCTGCTCGGTGGCTGAAGTGCTCCGAACGGAAAGCAGAGGGGCGGACAAGGGAAGGCACGCATCGCACCGGAAATAAGAAGGAGCTTCCCAAGAGCGGCCCTCCCAGCCAATCAATACTCTGCTGCAGCTAAAAGCGGCCCAGGCGTCGACCTGTAATGAATGCGCATCACGGGCGATTCAGTTTCTGCTGACTCTCCGACGGACAGCCACACCACGGCCACTGGCAGCGCTGAAACTGGGGGAGGCGCTATTTGCACACGCCGGCACACCTGTGGCAGAAGTGTGTGAGGTGCTTCATGGTACCGTGTGAGAGCGCAGGACGGCAGCAGAGACGTCGGCCCGGCGTCGTCGTCGTCTGGAAGCATGACGAAAAATGCCGCAGGACGCGTGGGCCTGGGTGAATCTAGCTGCTAAGAACCAAGCGCCACAGTGCGGCGGAGGTCTGGAAGCAATGGCGGAAATGAACTTTCCACCCCTGCGACGCCTGCTGCCAAAGCCACCGCACGTGACCCGGATGTGGGGTGGGAGCCCTGGAGGAAGCAGCCTTTCCCGGAACGGTATAGACCACTAACTCTTACTGGGCGCGGGAGCTGCACGTCACCACACGCTTCAACATCCAAATCGCGTCTCTTTCTCTCCACGCTAATACCATGTCTGAGCGAGGCGCATTCCGGGGTCGAGGCGGAGGTAGAGGAGGCGACCGCGGCGGCAGAGGCGGCGGCCGTGGGGGCGCACAAGCTGGAGGTGCTGGTGGACAGACCGAGCGACCAAAGAAAGAGAACATCCTTGACCTGAGCAAGTACATGGATAAGCAGATCACAGTCAAGTTCAGCGGTGGAAGAGAAGGTACGCACCTTGGCGGGCTCGAGGACACGATGTGGTGCAAAGCAGTGTCAGAAGCTAACTTCTTGCAGTCATTGGCACACTCAAAGGCTACGATCAGCTCATGAACCTCGTTCTAGACGAGGTCAAGGAGGCCTTGACTGGTATGTATCTGACCACTGCCTTCATGTTGATGTATCTGACGTTGTGTAGACGAGGACGGCAACATCCGGTATCGCAAGCTCGGTCTCATCGTCGCACGCGGCACCCTTCTGGTTGTCATCTCGCCCGTCGACGGAAGCGAAGAGATTCCGAACCCATTCATACAGGAAGAAGAATGAGCAAGAGGCTAGCAAGAGACATTCGGTCCTTCCCTTAGGCCTAGGGCGTAAAGCTCTCGATAGGACAGTGGCGAGGATCAGGGACGTTGGATGGGCCATGAGACTCAGTACGATACCCACGAGGCATGCGCAAGACGCAGTTATGACACAAAAGTATTGTTGGGGGAATTATAGCGTGTGAGAAATTCCCCACTTTTGATACTATCACAGACAGCAATTTGAAAAAGTTATGAAAGCTGGGGTATTACCATACAATGGGTGTCTGGGTTCAATTTTGTTCTGAGCGGCGGGCAGGACAGTCGTATGATGACACAGTGCACACACTCATTGCGAAGATCATACTCATTCTTGTGGAAGGACAGCTGACACTAGCAAGCAGGCGATACCGATGGTGGTGGTACAAGCCTTAGCTGAACGCGTAGAGCTCACGTCCCCAACCCTTTCCAGTATACGGCTTTTATGTCGTTGCTTCTCAACACCCGTACCACGTTGTTACATTTTCCATGGAGCAACCTCAAATCATGCCAAACATGTGCTACGACATCGTGTCTACTGGAACCCGCTTGGGTAAGTCTATACTATGAAGAAGCCCTTCTTTCAGGTTGTTTCCCAACTCTCAACGTATTGCCTTCCTGAATGCAAGCGCCCAGGTCTCGTAGATCTCGATTCCCCCTCGGCGGCCTCAGATTATGCTCCACCGGCGCGAGCCCGACGGAAATGCCTATCGAGATTGCCAATCATTTTGAAAAGGACGATTTGATCTCTCTAGCGCGAACCTCAAAAGAATTCGGCCAGGTTGCGCAGGATATTCTTCATCATCGCATTCGCCTGCGACAACGCAGAGGCATGGATGGCACCCTAGTCGTTAGCGGAATCGTCCAGCTTCTCTGGACGCTGGTCAGGCGACAGGACCTTGGTGCTAAGATGTTGCGTTTGACGATGTGGCCGAGTCACGCCACTATTGTCAAAACAAGGATCGCCGGCCAAGCTCTCGCTCACATCAGCTCTTCTTGTCACCTCACTACTAGCGACTATATCCTGGCAATAATTGAGGAAGCTAGGTTCGCTGGCGTGCTGCTGTTGATACTGCCTAGTTTGTAGAGGTCGCACATATGCTTTGGCCCCTAGACATACGGCACTGGCTATGCAATTTCTCAAAGGAGCATGATGCCAGTAGCGATATACACGTAAGAACAATTGCACATCCGTAACAGTAGGCTGTTGTGAGTGACGTCAATCATATCCACTTCATGCATACAGCTCGATCACAAGGGTTAGCGTCTTCTTTATTGTCACGAAACTTCAAGGTTTCGGATATCCTGAAATTTCTCATTGCAATTGAAGTTCCTTTTCGATGGGTTCATTCTCGTCATACCACAAAACGCGAGAAAGCATCGATCAAGGGGTCGGAACCATCGGAACGGCATTCCGATCCTTTCACTCGGAGCACCGGGCAGCGTCTAGTCTTCATCATCGGCGGTCACGAACAAGACTCTGCTCGAATCACAAAGCTCCGGATCAGATAACCGACGTCAGGTACCCGACTAGCTTAGCAGAACCTTACACCATCGATGACTGAATTAGTGTGGATTGGCATGACATCAGCTCGACGTCAAATGGTGACGCTATCGTATAGAAGTATAGAATGCCCCAGATTGATATCCATATTCAAAGCACATAACACCATCTATCTTACTCGAGGGATTCCACAGCTCATCATCCAACCACTTCAACACTCAACCTTCACATATCAAACACACATTGCAATCATGAGCCAGAACCTGAACCCCGACGCTGTCAGCGATGGACGCGAGTTTGCTGGACACGTCAAGCCCAGTGAACCTCTTATGACTGGCGGTGTAAGTACATACAAGCTCTCTCTCTGAATCTATCCCAAGATTGTGGGCTTCATCGTCTTCTGGACTAAATGCAAGCCGACGTCAAATATTGCTCGATCCTATACAATACGATTGAACTCAGCTGACAAGCCTCAGCACCAACTTGGAAAGAAAGTCGGTAACGATGCTGTCCCTGAGTTCAACGCACAAACCCTCCCCGCCGGCACCGCCCCAGCGTCCAAGACCTTCCAGCCTAACCCCGACGTCAACAACCAAAAGATGTACCATCAAGCCTCGGACACTCTGCAAGGCGCCACTTCTGCCGATGTCCACACCGGTCTCGGCCACCCAGGTCAAGGCCAAACCTCCTCAGAGCTCCACGATGGATCAAGGGTTGGCCAGGGCCTAGCAGGTCTCGCTGCTAACGTCAAGGATCAGCAATCTGGCGGCTCCATTGAGACACTGAAGGATGACCCTAAACACGCTGCTCAAAGGAATCTCGGTAATGTTCCTACCGGTCAGAGGGGCACGGCTGGCGGACCTCCCGCCGAGGAGAAGGAACCTTCATCTGCGGCATAAAAGTCATCTTTATGAGAGGTGGTTATATGAACGTATGACTGGCAGTAAGACTTCATCGATCAGCCTCTACAAAGTTATGGGAGCTACCGTCGGCGCTACAGTAGCACGAAGTACTGTTACATAGCAATAATGAATTAATTCCGCCAAATCTTGTCAATTGCATAGCTGGTAATGTGAGCGAAGCGTCAGCACGAGAAAAATATGTCTATAGAGCCCGCAAATGAAAGCATAGCGGTTTGGGGTGATACGGTCGAGTCTAAGATACTGAGACTGAGTTTAACTTGAGGGTTTTGATGAATTGGTAATAGCAGAGTGGCAGGACTAGAGGCCTGTTTCGTTATGATCCCTGTAGTATCTTTTATGTACTTAGACGATTGCCTACAGTAATCTCTGGATGGATGGTCCTGTCTAGGGCCATCGAAGGTCGTTCCTAAATCTATAGAACAAGCGTGCAGTGGGCTCCTACGGAACGTCTTGAATGGAGGGGCATGCACATGCACGGATTATTGTTGCGCTGGCGCTTACATGTCGTAGTTACTGGAGTGAGAGAAAGGGAGAAAAAGAATGAGCAAGTGCTGAGCAATGCTTTGTAAAAGTCAGGTGGAGTTAGTGGAAGATGAAGGTCAGGACATAAGTCGTCGAATCGAGATGAAAATGAGTGGGTTCTTGTTCCTGAAATCCCTAGTTAGTAAGCGACAATGTGGCTGAAGCACAGCGGGACAATAGATTGAAGGAGCTTGCCCTCCAATGCGTTGCATTCTTGATCCTAGATACGCTCGACAGCGCGATCTGCCAGCCAACAATGGCTTATGAACATCCACCGAGCGAGAACATCGCATACGAAGAGAAGCTGGGAAGGCTTAGAGGCATGTCGAATGCTTTTACCCATATGTGCGTGTGTCTGACACGGATGCATACATTTCGATTACCTGCTTCAAAGCGATGGAGATGTTTTGTAGTCAACGGGAAATGAAGTAGGGCCGGTCAACACCGAATCACGCATCTCTGGCGTTCTCTGCAAAAGCTCTTTCAGTAGCTCAAGCAGAGACGTCTCGCTCCCTTCAATCTTGTTACTGGACAACTCCTTGAGGCAAATTTCTCAATAACATACCTTGTGCGCCAACTACAGCAATGGCTCCAGGGAGGTACTCAATATTCCCAGTTACTGACGATTTGTATGGGTATTGACCATCTGGGACATGTGAGTAGAGCGTTTGGCCATGGACACTAGACGATGGCTTACAGGGTATAGTGATGAACGGCAAGCCAGCAAGAACAGCCATAACATTTGGCTTGTATCCAAATCCTTGTTTCTTGCTCGCACCTTCCTCCAGAGATCTCCTACATAGGGTCAGCTCCATTCAACTCACTTCATCATGTCCCGGCTTACTTGAGATATTCATGCCGGTCGAGGGGTTCGGTATCGCCGCTTGGAAAAATGAGTAGTCTGTCAAGGCTCCGTCCATCGGCTGGCTATGGTATGAATTCGGTGCGCATCCAATGACTAAAGGTGTTACGTTCCTTGACTGCTTGATCGTATTGCTCTGTTGTGAGGCTTTTATCGAGGGACCTTAGTATGATTAGTTCGGGTTTTCTCTCCGTGTCTCGCAATAACACACCATTTTTATTCTATATATGGGTCGGCGAATGCCTTTTTGTGAAAGGTCTGCTCGTACTCGCGGAGGAATGGTAGGTAGTTTTGATCACAGTCATGTAGCTGTATATGGGCAACCGTCTGATCTATGCATTAGCGTACAACCGGGAAGAAGATATCTGTTAAATCTACCGCATCCAGATAGTCCTTCAGTGAGCTTCCATTAGCGGCAGCTTGTTCCTTGAACAAACCGTCCACGTCGATCTTCTTACGCTTGATTTGAAGGAAGTCTTCCAGCTGACGTATGAATGGCTCGATGTGAGATAAATATATATCATCAGAGCCAGAGAAAACGTCAGCAGGATACAAGAGTTCGGCTTAGCATCGGTGGGTTTGTCGTACGAGCAACGACTGAGAATTGGAGCCCCTGATGTGCCGGGGGTATTGGAACTATTCAGGAACGACCAGTAGATCCAAGTATAGATGTAGCAATGGCTTGATGGGAAGATGAGATACGTACGTATTATCTCTATGTTCATCAGGAACCACTGGGAACTGAAAGGCTTCGTTTGCATCTTCGAACAAGCGCCACGCTTAACGAATGCCCGAGTTCGTGGCAAAGTATGGGCCACCGCGGAAGCTATCCTCGTGCACCGTCGAGTTTACTGATGTAGCATGTACACTTTGAGTGTTCCAATCCTTTAGTACGTTGACGCTCGGACCGTCCAGGTCAAAGGAATCCGTCTGTCTGAGGAATAGAAAGTATACGTGCTACAGAAAATCGACGTTGAAGACATCGTCAGTCCAAAGCCACGAATCGATTATTGAGGACAAGATGGTATGTGAAAAATGTGTCGCATTCTTGAACACGAGCAAAGAGACAGGAGATGGTCCGTCGTTGAATTCAGGCGCATTACCAAAGATCAAGCGGCACGAATCCGCGGGCATTGGCGCTAAGCTGGATGGAACATAACAGGGAATCGTTCCAACGCGGGTAAGTGTAACAGTGGAAAAGCTGGACATTGCTGGTCGTGCGCCTGGCCTGTGAAAAGATGGAATGATTGAGCGATGCATTGACCGTAGCATGGGATTTGAATATGGAAGAAAGTGAGGAGGCTGCAGAATCGTCGACAGATGTCTACGGCTGCGGCTTTGCGCTGGCCCCCACGACGACCTATACGGGGATTATGTAATGAGCTCAAGCGGCATGCAGTATACATATGGAGTGGCGCAAGGCAAAGGTTCGCCTGCTTCTTTTTGTGGAAAAGGCTATGTGTGACTTGGGTAGAGGTGTATGAAGGTAAGGTGCGTCGTGTTAGAGCCTGCCATACATATCGAGATCACTTAGTCAATCAATAGATCCGCCGACGCACTCCTGAGTTTCCCGCCGCTCAATTCCAAGAGAAGCACGTCCAGCCGATTCGGGCCGTTCACGTTGGTAAGCTTCTTGGGTGTTGTTGCAGTACAGATGGTCATGCGGTTGCTGATAGTACTAGATTCATCCCGAGGTGAGCGTGTTAAATAAGCTCTGTTGTCACTGGGGAAGGCAGGTCTCGATCCACAAAAAGGCCGTACGAAGATAATAGGGTGGGTCCGTTTGATCTCTACCTAAAGAGACTATCTAATATCGGAGTTAGTGTGTGGGAGCCTCTCAACGGCCCGGTGAAGGACGGGCCACTAGCCGTGTGCGATTATCGCAGCTGCGACTCGAGTGACATAGTCGATGTGGACCAGGTTTACGCAGACTCTATCGGTGAAGGCTGCAACATCTATCACGACGACAAACCTAGTTGGTAGTTTGCTAGTAACATGATGCCTCATGAGGTGTGGATCATGAAGCAAATGGACTCCGATCCAGACGCAGCAGATTGTGAGTATAAATTGTATGGTATGTCGCACTGTGTTGTTGATGTCTACGCTCGCCAGATTGTGCACACGCGGCCTTCCCCCATCAAGAGACAAACATCCTGGCCGAGATGAGAGAGAGTGTTGAGATTCGCTGTGTTTGTTACACGTCTGATGAAGGGTAAGGTCAGTCTGACACACTAGGCGGTGCCTGAACGACCACGATGACTCGCGTTAGATGAACAAATATGAATGAATACTTGTTAGCTTGGGAGAAAATGAACGCCGGTGGTTGGTATTTGCAAAGTGCCAAACACGAGATCAAACTTATGTCATTTCTCTAGAGTACTTCAGAATGCGCAGTCAAAATGGCAACGCGATTTGTTCATCACCGCCATTTCATGTTCTCTGTTAAAGAAATCGATCTCACTTTTAATTAGCGCCTATGTTGAGGCCCCGATAGTATACATCCATCAGCACATTCGGGATCTGTGCTGTTGTATGCAATCTGTCCTACACTGCCGCCGGGCTCGATGCTTGGGTCGCGTGGGCTCTGGAACATACGTCCAGTCTCTGGTGAAAGTAGCGTCTCGATAATGTCACCGAAGGGGTTCCTGATATGAGCTATGGGCTGGCCCTTTGTGACTGGCTCATCGACGGCCACGAGCCTCTCAACGAAACCTCCATACTGTGACCATGTGTCGTGGAAGGTAGTGATAATGTATGTATTGCTTAGGTCGGGCTCCACAGTTTCGTTCGTAGGCGTGATGTTGAGGTCCACCATGACGCGGTTTACGTAGTCGACTACGCGGTCAATGAGGCTGTTATTCCAGACCTTTGCCTGACCCATCTCCACGGTGAGGGAAGGTATACCATAATCGACAAAAGTCGTCTCGATAGAGCCCGGCTCGCCCGGGTCTATTTTAAGGGTATCGGGTTGGAGGAGTTTGGCGAGGCGCTCGACGTAGGGAAGGCGGAAATCGGAGTAGCACCACAGCGAGGTCTCTCCGCCAGAACTGGGAGTATCTAAGATGTTGTTAGTTCGGTTTTGGTAAGTACTGGACACGATGAACTCACGCAAGTCAATACCAACGTCCACGTTGGATGTGTTTGCCCTGAAATGTCAACGTACAAAGTCAGTGTATATTTCACATGCAATCCGTACAGCGGAGACTTTACCAGATCTGGTTCCATATATTGTAGGCTAGAATCTGAGGGCCACTACCTCCTTCCGTGGCCGCCGTACCGGGGAAGATACGGTTAACGTTTGTAAGAGATCCCGATGCGCCCGAGGTGAAGTAATTTCGCTGGTTGAGATAAATGCCCATAGGATTGAGTGTAGGAATACCAATGACTGGCTGAACATTAGTGATGATCTCGACGGATATTCACTGGGCGTACCTGTGCCATTGAGCGTCGCGACTTGATCCTGAAGCTGCTCGAAGATGCGTTGCACCACGCGAACTGGGTTCAGCTCATCGCCGTGAATGGAGGCTGAGAGGGACAGCTTCTTGCCAGTTTCCAAACTCTCTGGTGTTCCACGTGCAACCATGATGGGTATATGTACAGGGTGTCCGCCATTGAGCTCACCGGCTCGCATGTAGTACTTGGAGACGGTTTGCGGGGGCACATCAGCGAGGTCGAGCCCGCTGATGACCGGGACTCCGTTTACGACATCGCCAGTGAAGTTTACAGCAGAAACGCTGCCGGCGAGGACGGCGGTAGCTGCGGCTACGGAGGAGATGAGCTGCATCGTCGCGTTAGCTGGCGGAGGCTTGAATGGCTCTGTCCGACTCACCAGCTCTACTTTATAGTTCTGACATTCTGCGATAAGAGTCCAGCCATCGGAGTTCCGTTGTCCAAACTAGTTCAGGCTCTTTGCGCAAAGAGGAAGGTCAACAAGGGCTTTGTCCTCAAGAGTGACGATGCCCAGGAACGACTCTACGCCAATGCTCGGCGTCTCATCAAGGCCGAACCCAAGTGCATGGAACGCGGTGCTGGTGCATCTATTGTGGGATTTTGGCGGGTCCTGTGACGATCAGCATACGGTTGAAGAGACGTCTATAGTTATGGCAAGGTGATGTGATGGCTTCCAACTCAAAAAGGCGTGTCCATGGAATTCCAGTTGGGTCCTTCGGATGCTAGCTCGCGCGAGTCATGTATAGCCGAATGCGATATCGATAGGTAATATAACTAAGCCTTGCCTGCGATAGGCGATCGCAATCACTCGGACTTTTCTCAGGCTACTCATCACCTTCGGCGTACCGGACTGATCTGCATCATAACGGTCAGAATCCTTTGATTCGTGGCGGCTGTCAGCCACGCGCTCGAAACCTGTCAACACTCGACGCGTACGGAAGGCTCATCCCTCAAGGATCCGCTTGGAGCAACATGACGGAGAAAACATTCTGCAAACAGAACGAGCAGACCTGACAGGCTCGCTAGTGATAGTTCGTGAAAAGGCTGCGAAATGTGGTACTACACGAATTGAAACATGCAGGAAGATGCATTCCAGGCGCGCGAGAGTCGTGTCAAGCCAATGTAGATACAAAATCGGACGAGTTTGCCTTCGCAACGTGTATTGACGCACGTACGGCTGCCTACACTCTGCGCTTCCTCCCTATCGCATTCCAAAACTCTGGACTATTTAGCCTCTGATGTTTTTCCTATCAATGCTGCCGTATACGATGCAACGATATACACGTACTCAAGAGACTCTTTCCCACCGTAAACATTAGCGCTGCACAAAGCTCACCAAGTCCAATAAGGGACCAAAGTATCATATGCGTCCATGATATCATCCTTGTCGGGAGCAATACCCCTCAATGTTTGTCTGCCATGCCTCGCCTGCTCCATCAGCTTTTCGCCTTCAAGCGGGTCACCGTAGAGCACGAGCACAGAGCCAAGTTTATACCGCGTCCGAATGATGTGCGACTCCATGGGAACATGAGTCATCTCGAAGATGGTTAATGCGGCGCGAAGACGCTCACTGGAAAAGATCAGACTTGAAGAGTCGTAGAGCGCGTACCTTGCTTACATAGCCTTGTCGGTCTTGCCTCTCCGCTCATAGTGGCAACCCATACGGTGAGCCAGAACGTCTGTCTCGAAGTGCTTATCACTCCATGTCTGTATTTGGAAGTGAAATGCCAATTTGTGGGTATCAAATGCGTCCTCCCATAGCTGCTGGGCGAGATACACATTTCCGAGTACTCGCAAAGCGAAGTTTCGATTGCCCAAAGTCAGCCTAGATTCAAGACTAGTGAACAAGAAGGCGGCTTCAAATATACTCACGCTCGACATGCTTGGAAGTCCTGGTTGTTCATGTCCAGTGCAGTTTGCGATGTCGCCAACACCCAGTCTAGCGTCTGCTCCGCTTCGTCCAGTTGGCCGGTCTTCCACAAGGCCCAACACTTGTTCACAAAGGCGATAGCGAGGTTGATAACATCTTTCTTGTAGTATTCAAGCAAGATTTGAAGGTTCTTGTCGTGCCAAGTAAACGCTTCATCATAGTGAATGAGTTGATGCGTTGCTACCGCCATGTGCTCGTAGGCGATGGCGACTTTTTCGTCGTGGGCCTCGCTGATGCCGCTATGAACTGCTTCTTCATATAGTCTGATCTCTTCACTAAAATGGGTGACAGCACCCGCTGCGTCGTCTGACTTACGATGTATCGTCCCGAGCGTGCCTTCGAGGAATGCGAGCTTCGTCAGGTTGGCATCTCGTTCTTCGCTGTAAATAATCCGCGCGATCTCGAAGTACGGTTCGGCTGTTTTGGAAAGGCCACGGTGATGTAGATACCTGGAAACATATTAGCATTATTGTGGAGACAAAGTTAACGTGCTTGCGGCCCATGCTTTGGGATTTACGTAGAGGATGAGTAACGAATTGAAACGAGGATCTCACCAGAAGACATGCTCGAGTAGGTCATAGAGCTCTGGGGATGGCGCTATGCTGAGCTTATGATCCCTGTATCTGCTAAGGGCTGTGAGTACATAGGGGTAGAATTGATCGCCTAGCTTTCGAATCTCATCGAAGCCTTTCGTTTGCGCAAGGCTCTTGGTCGGGAAGTCACGATGCAGAAGCTGTATAGTCGTGACGATTCTGACGAAAGCATCAATCTTTAGCTTATCATCTAATTTGGTCATTGAAGAATCCTGGAGCACGCGATGTATCTTGAGTATAGCTTTGGCACGGTCCACTGTAACAAGATGATGCTTCTGTAGAGGTCGAATGCTATCATGTAACGGCAAAGGCTGGGAAAGATACAGAAAGTCTTTGACAAGGTTGACTTTACGTGATGTGTCTTCCAAACAATGATTGGGGATGCATAGGAGGAGGTCAGTCATTGATCATTCTTGTCTTGACATTCCTGAGTCGGTCTTACCATCAGGGTCCTAGAATGCAAGTAAGCTGAGGGTTAGAGTGGCATTTACGTGACTACTCTTCAATAATGCGATGTTCATCTCCCATACTGTTGATATATATAGTGTGTTTGTAAGCTATTGTTGAGCCCGGTTTGGCTCTGCTGTGTAGCGCTGACCGGTTGCCAAAACTGTCATATGTAGCAAAAAATGAACTTAATGAAAACCCTGATTCTTCAATGTAACCTGACATCTGGCTCAGAGCAAGTGGGGAATGACCGAGACGATTGGCTAATTTCCTAGCAGTATCTTGAGCTTGTGGCGACATGCGCTCCGGTAAGCGCCCAAGCAGCATCTGAACGGATGCATCATCGTCCAATGGCCCTAGAGGTATGTGGTGTGGGATGCTAAATTCTCGTTCCAAGAAGACCGTATGAGTCGTTATCAGGATGGAACCGAAAGCGCCTTGAGGCCAATAGTCTTTCTGCAAGAATGTATAGTCTTCGTCGGGTGCATTGTCGAAAATCACCAGCCATGAAGACTGCGTTGTTCGGAGCCATTGGAGAACATCACCACTCACCTTAGTTGCATCGGCAGTTGAATTTGACCGTGTCAAGGGCATACTCAAGGTACGTGCGGCTTCTGAAAAAGATGTCTGGTTCTTCTGTTGTGTCTCTGCTGCAACCCAAAGGATGGACTCAAAGTTGGCGAAGGTGTCATATGCAAAGTGTAGCGCGAGCTCTGACTTCCCTTGGCCTCCAAGGCCATGCACCACAACAGCTCTAGCATCCAATAGGAATGGGTTAGGGTGAGCGTTGGCTGCTGGGGACAGCCGTGCTGCATTTTTAGGGGCCTGCACAAGGTATGTCCGTAGCTCCTTGAGCTCGTGCTTACGTCCCACAAAACCTTGGTTCTTGGAATGCGGGACATGTTTGCCTGGCTTGACTCTAAAAAAGCCATCCAGTGGCGCATTGAGCAACCTTTCTATGGTCTCATATCGTATCTTAGCTGCTTCTTGCGCTGCTATGCGGCTTTCTTCTTGTATCTCTTCTACCTGAACGCTGATCATATCGCTCCTTTTCTTCAGCTTATGTTTAAGCTTCCCCATGAGGCTTTCAGCGATGTCCTCTGCATGAGTATCAGAAACTGTGGATCTCAGTGGAGTTACTAAATGGTTCCAACCTACTGACTGAATTGGCACGAAGGTAGTTAATGTTGTATATCGAAGATTCCGCGAAGCTTTCGTACAGGCGCACAAGCGCCCTTTCTAGCGGGTGTGCCATAGGAAATACGGCGTGTAGCCTTTCAAACCTGGGAAAATGACGACAGACTTTATCTAGAGTCGTGACCACAAGCTCAACCACCTTATCCGAGATGGTAACGATCTGTTTGTTTCTTGGGGTCAGTAACCGCAAACGAACAGGACAGCGAGTAAGACATGCATACTGAATTCACTGACTTCAAGGACAACCCTGATACTGCCCCACACGAGGCATAACACGGTAGGGTCTGAATGAACAAAGACGTCGGTTGCTTTCGAAAACGGCTTGAGATGGTCAATAATGCGATGGCATCGACGCAGAAACTTTATCATGCGCTTGTTACTATACTTCTTTTGCAGGTCGTCCACAAAATCTTGCAGCTCTCCTGGAGATCTGAACTTTTCAATTTCACTCCAGTCGTTCTGTCGAAGTCTGCTCTTCCACTTCGCGTTAGCTTTGTCCCATTCTGGGATGCGGGGTCGCGTTGGATGGGCAATAGCAGCTGGAGACGCGCTAGTTGTTTGGGCACTAGTCAGGGATCAGTGAATACAACTCTCTCGCAAAGCTCGCTGCGTCCACGCAAGATATGCACGCCGTAAATCGCAGCCATCGCCAACGCACGAAAGGAACAAAGGCTGTATCGAGGTACTCTTACCTCATTTTCCAGAGTCAAGTTTGCAGCCATGTTAGTCGTAGACGCTCCTGTGCAAATCACCTAATCCCAGCTCTTGGTGCTCATAACACACCAGACGGAAGCATAGGTAAGGGTAAAGAAGTTTTGTTGTCTACGAGGACTAATCATGCTTTCGTTTCGCTCAACAATCGTTGTGAGCATCCTTTCGAATACCAAGAAGGCTGTGTTGCCCCAGCCTTCCGAGTGTTGGCCCAAGCCACGATTCAGCCTTGTGTGAAACCCACAGCCCGAAAGCCTGTAACATGCTTCCGCAATAACACCTTCAGTTCTGCCTGGTCTCATGTATTCGTAAGTTATCAGACGCATTATCGATCCAACAAGTCCCATCCAACCGTTCGCACAGCAATGCACTCGGCCGCATCGCATATGCGCATGACCGAGAGCCTCAGTAGGCAAAAAGCCAGATCTAGTTAGTGATGCGCAAGGAGAGGCAAAAAAAAATAAGTTGATTAGTCTCGGAGCAATCGACCGGTGAGTTGCAAGCTGTAGGGTCTCAAGGTAATGAGCCATCTGGCCCCATCTCGATGCTGTACGTGCAAGCCGCATCACACAGGCCCACACGCATAACAAGCACTATGGGCACTGATATCGCTTCACTTCTTCTTACTTGCAAAGCCACTGGTCGAACGAGCATGGCTACCCTCCGTATGCATCAGAGAGCAGAGTCACGTAGTACATGAGCTCTAGCCGGCGGATGCATTACAACATCATCTCTTTAATCCTCTTACTGACAGCCTTTACCCCTCAATCAGCCTCTCATACCGCTCTTTGTTCAAGGGTTCTATAAATAATGATACTGAATCGTCTAAGTCTTTTGCCTCTCATTCTCTTCTTGATTTTTCCTAATGAAACTGTAAGCATAGGGTGGTCGTAGTATCAGGTCACATGAATGAGTGTATTATTCTGTGTATGTACAAGTATGTGATCTGAGCTCGAAAGTAGTCGGACGCATTAGTCATGCCTGCAGAGCAGTCATGTGATGTGGTCCTAGGCTTACAGAAACATTAAGGCTAGACTTATTTTACCTACTACCTTCACGCTCCTTCAAGCAAGATGTTCGATCGTCCTGACTGGCAAGCGCCTCCAGATTTGAATCAGCCATGGCGAGCCTGGTACCATAAGATCGAAGAACAAAAGGCAGAATCCACGCCTGAGGAGCTTGAAGCAAAGCCTTGGCTTCAGGTCCAGGATTCGACCATGCCTTATGATGTTGTTCTAGACAAGCCGTTCTACAAGTGAATGTCTGCAGAAAGTTGCAAGCACATGTACCTTTGTAACCAGGGCAGATAGTGTGTGTCTATGTGTGTGTCTGTAAGAAGTACATCCACCGTACCACGTAATAGGGTGTTAGCTGACAAACAATGTCCTAGCTCTTCCACGATACATCGGAAACATTGTCTCTTCATACTACCCATTAATGATTACGACCCATTATGTTCACGCTCTGTCTCTCGCCATAGAGACAAGTCTTTCGGACCAAGATTCCCTCAACCACTATACGGCCGTAGGAAAGGGCAGCGTTGATGCGATGTGGAGGCGGCCAATAAGCCTATAGATTGGCAGAGGGAACTTCGTTCACTTATTCAGATAATAGCGAGAGTCGTGATACATGACTTTGATTGTAGCTCTCTTCTACTTGCACGGCTATTGGTTGCGTGCAATTCACCATATCAAGATTGATGATGATCTATTGGAAGCTACTGCTTTTCAAACCTCAGACTCAGTTCCTCTCTAGAAGAGGCTTGATACTTCAGATTTGCGGCGAATGGAAATGCCTAGGCATGTTATACTGGCCAAAGCTCTCCTCCCTTCTATCATTTTGGTCATGTCATAGTACAATGCTGGTATTTTCCGTATCTCACACGTCTTTCTTCGCCCAAATCCCCTTCAATGCGAATATTTATGTAGTACATCTCCAGCTTCCCCGCGTCTCATCCTACCATTCCTGCCTCGCCTTAAGGATTGCGATCTCTTCTTCTGTCTAGGTAATCTTATACTTGTTCGGAGAAGAAAAGAAAAGGGAGGACACTCTTGAGATGTGCGATGGCAGATGTTGCGATTCTATAGGGGACGTGGAGGAATATCCGCCGGAAATGAGCTAATATAAGGGTAAAATCCAGTGGTGTTCGCCATCGGTAGATGAGGTAATTTGAAGCGTGGTCAGATTGAAGACAAGATCGAACTACAGTAGTGCTAAAAGGCGAGCTGTGAGTAGATTTGGAGAGACTATGGAAGGGAGTAGTGGTGAGCGGACTGAAATGTGGCGAAAGAGGTGTAGCACTTGGAAGCCTGGGATCATTCCGTTGTACTCTAGAATGTTGGCGCAGCATGTAAGTGAAAGAAGAGATTTGTTACTTGCAGAACCATCGTCCGCCTATATAGTCGGGCACGCTATCCCTCGCTTCGTACTACCGAAAGCCTGGGGGGCTTCGGATTCATTCAAGATGACTATCTCGACGCAGCAGCCAACTCTAGGTCTGCTCTACCATCCATCAGTGAAGAATCTTGTTCATCTCCACGACCGTGGTTTGCCAAACTCAAGTACTTTACACTAGCCTCCATTCCTCCCACCATCTACCCCATGGCTTTTCCCCCAGCATGAAGCACCAGAGAATAGATGAATATTCCGATCGCTGCGCTCAATATTACTCCGATCAACATCAAGCCCTAAAATTTCAGTAGCCGCAGTCGATCCGCATCATAAGAGTGCCCATCTTCTCCAAATACACCCATCTCAATGTCCGTCGCGTGGGAGTTATACGCATTCAGTACAACCTCATCGCTTTGGGCAGGATGTATCCGATGTGTAGGTGGATTGACCAGTCGCTGTAAGAATGACCGCTTGGGTAGAGGGCGTGGCGGGAGGTTGGACGAGAAGATTGGGGAGGTTTGCTCTGGCGATAGACGCTTCAGCTGCGTGTGAATAAGCGTTGGCGATGCGTGTGAATGATGAGTAGTCCAAGGATCGCCTGCATCCGAACGGGTGGTGTTGAACGGCTGTGCTCCTATGAGGTCAAGACTGGGTTCAAGAGGCTGTGGCTTTGTGCTTTTGGGTGGTGCTGCATGAATAGAGTTTGCTGATGTTCGAACTTCCGTTTTGTTGGGGCTGTTGGTTGTACATGTGGTCGGTTGACATATTGCCGCGCTCTCCAGCCTGATGACGTCGGTCACTAAGGTCGCGGTGGTTGTAGCTTGAGCGATCATATTTGACCGTTGCCTAGAAGAGTCGCCGATCGTCTTGTTCTGAACGCGGTCATCCAAGTTGGTTTTGACGGGTGGGACCTCTTGGAGCGGAACGCTCCTGTCAACGGACACAGAAACAGCTGCCATGTGCTCACGCCCGGTTACGTGAGAGTATTGTAAGCTTAACTAGACCAGGGTCAAAGTGCAATGAGAGGAGAAGTGCGGTTTATTTAATAATGGATTCTGGAAGCAGGTAGAGCGGCGAGGAAGCGCTAATGCGTGAGAGACGACTTCACCTTGCCTTCTTGATTCCCCTCTCACTTATGCTTGAGTACTTACTTAAAGACTATCACTGTTTATCTATATTTATTTCGGGTTATGAGGAGGCTTCAAATCTTCGTCTACACGAGTTTGAGATTGTGCTATGGATTTGCTGAGTACGCGGCGTTTAATTGATATGAGACTTACATTTCCCCTCTTCTCTAAACTATACCTTGACATCATTGTCCGCACTTGAGCCTTTAAAAAACTATAGTATACGAACACGTTGCAGCTAACGCTTGACAAACGTTTCAAGTTCCAGCAACATCATATCGACTTCTGCGAACATATTGGCAATCTCTTGAGCCACTGACCCTACGTTTGCTGGGGCACCTCTTGTGCGCCGGATAGGCACATCTAGCTAAGTGAGAACGCTGAAGCTTTAGGGTATTGACGAAATGGCGCTGGTCCTCCGCAAAAACGATGACGAAACCCTTGAGATGATCTGAGACGTTATACGAATCTAACGTAGCAGAGACACTATGGACATATAACGTCGTGTATCTCATCGGTCCAATCAAGTGTGGCGTGACTAGAGTTGTGGGGACTAAGGACATCAGTAGCTAAAGGACCCGAGCCGTCCCGAACCTATACCATGAACCATGTAGAGATGCAGAACGAATAACATCGTTGTCGCCTATGACGCTAGCTTGGAGAAAGGAATTTATGCCAGGTCGCCATATTAGGCGAAATGATACAAAGTATATCCTTATCTCTCAGAAGCTACACGCTCATATACTAGGGCCACTCTAATGTGCGAGCATACTACTCTAAAGCCTCATACAATAGTTATCTTCTTGCTAGGAGAAACGATTGGCGCTTCGCCTTGTTTCGAATGTACCTGTATGAATCCTCTGGCGTGCTTCTGGGGGTCTGTTCATAGTTGGGATGTAGCTGAAGCCAATCGACCGGTGTAGGCGATGCTACATGAATGGGGTTAGTGGGCCGGTAACTGATATAGATTTGATCCCGAGTCTTTCGTGGAAGGCAGAAAAGTCAAAATCATTTACGAATCATCAAGGGTCTCATTTTGAAGCTTTGTGTGTCGCGCTTTACTGTGCGAGTTATTCCCAGGCGACTGCTCCCTGGAAAGAGCTTCCAACATCCCAAGAACGTCTTCTCTGCTTTGACTGGCTTATCCATATTCTCCAAGGCCTCAATTTGAATGGTTATAACTTTGTTCGACTGTCGTGTGGCGCGAACGAGTGGTGTCTAAAGCTCTGGAAACCTAATACAACCTGCGAGTCTGGAGTGGTGTGGAGGCCGGATGCCGTCGCGTCTTCGAACTGCCGCAAGCACTCTCATCTTGTAGGACACTACACGGAAGCCTGCAATACGAGACATGGATGTCATATACATGAGGCTTCTACATCTTGTTGAGTCCCTACGCGTAGCAAGCTATGCGTGTTAGCGCACCTTAGGTGTACCTGGGTCAACTCCCGAGGTCCCTCACCTGAGCACCATTTCACCTCTGCCTGGCCTTCGACCACTTACAAGCCAATGACTAGATACAATCTGACAGATGTCTATGTCAACACCACCAAAGGTAGGCAGGGGGCCTACGATGCAGAACCTGTCCAGTGCTGTATGCTCAGATGCCATTGCGCCCCACATAGCTCTTACCCCGCACAATGCTTCTCGCAACACCACATCCGTCTCTAAACACGAGGACTTCTTGGAAGGCGATATAGACGAGCAATGAGTATAAAATGAGAGCCGTGGGTGGCCGCGTCGTTGCTCTTCATCTTCCAGGCCGCCAAAGCATCTCATTTTCTCCAGACACCTTCCTTCCTAAACACTCATGGCCGCCTCATTTGATTACATCGTCGTGGGCGGAGGTACTGCTGGTGTGGTGATCGCGTCGCAACTCAAGCAATACTTTCCTGACGCGCGCATCGCTTTACTGGAAGCAGGAGCAGATGCAGTGGACCACCCCGGCGTCAATGATGTCAGTGACCCACTGGATTGGACGACACATTTCCAGGAAGGCTTAATGGTTGACTACTCAACCACGCCGCAAGAACATCTTGATGATAGAAAGATACCAAACCCGGTTGGACGCCTACTGTCCGGGTCAAGCGGCGTCAATGTTGGCATGTGGATGCGCGCTTCCACTGCTGATCTGGATGTGCTTGCAGAAAGAGCAGGTAATGAGAGATTCAAGTATGAAAATCTGCTCAAATACTACCGGCGTGTAGAAACCTATTTCGACACGACTGCGGATAAAGATCGCTACGGGTTTGATGGACCAATCCATACTGTTGGAGGGCGAAAGTACCCGCTCAGGAACGCACTCCAAAAAAGTGCGGAGACTTTGGGCCACAAGTACAATCCGATCAAGGGTGATCCAATTGGTCTAGGAGATATCACGCAGTGCTGGCTTGCTACTTCCGATACGACAGCTACACGGCAGCACAGTGCGAAGGTATACAAACTCGACACTGTCGAAATTTTCTGCGACGCTCCAGTAGCCCGTGTTTTACTTGACGAGTCGAAGCGAGCTATAGGTGTTGAGCTAATCTCTGGTGGACTGATGATGGCGAGCAAAGAAATCATCATCTCGTGCGGCGCTCACAGAACTCCGCAGCTCCTGATGCTTTCTGGCATCGGCCCTTCGGATCATCTCACTCAACACGGTATATCTCAGATCGTAGATTCGCCCGCCGTTGGTCAAAACCTCAATGATCACAATGTTATTACACAATACTACAAACTAAAAGACTCTTCGAAAGGCCTTGCTCGTCCTTTTAACGGCACAATGAAACCTGAATATGGCCAAGGGCTTCCGTTTGATTTCGTTCTCTTTGCGAGCCTCCCAGCGGCAGAAATAAAGAGACATCTGAAAGAGGACGGTATCAATTCCGATGGCTTGAACGAGCAAAACCTGCTACTAAGGTCACACAGGAGCCACTACCTCAGTATAGCATGGTACTACCCACTTCTTGCCCACGCCAGCGCGTTTCCGACAGTCCAAGAAGATGGTGCTCACATTTCACTCTCCGCTTTCCATATGCTTCCCTTGTCTCGCGGTACCGTAACACTTCAATCCGCCGATCCGAGGGACAATCCGGTCTGTAATCCACGCTACCTGTCCACGAAGACAGATCGCTTCATCTTCCGGCAAGCCATACGCGAGAACCTTCGTCTTGTCGAAACGGAGCCACTGGCCTCAGAGATCGAGAGCGAAGTGCCTCCGGCAGATCCGAGGTTCCCAGCGCTGACAACTACAAGCAGCGACGAGGAGATCGATGCAAGAATCAGGGCTTTTGCAGTAACCATAGCTCATCCGATGGGAACTTGCGCTCTAGGAACAGTGCTAGATGATAAGTTTAGGGTGAAGGGAATGAAGGGGTTGAGGGTTTGCGATGCTAGTGTGTTTCCGGAACCAATTGCTGCGATGCCGAGCTGTACGATTTACGCGTTGGCGGAGTTGTGTGCCGAACTCATTGCCAGTAACGCCTTGAATGTGTTATGATGAGAGATAGTTTCCCCTCAAATTGATCGGTCTCATTCGACCAAACTTGAGGAAGAAGTAGAAACAACCGATATGGAGAGCATGCACAGACGAAGGGCGATAATTGAGAAAGTTCATTACATATTAATACCACTGTTCAAGACTACCAAAACAAAACCACTGTTGGCATATATTACCCTATCATATCCAGGTCTACCTGCAACGGTGAAAGCCACCACTTTACTCAATATCCACCTTGCGGATCTCAACGTATCCAGAGTCTAGTTTCGGCACCTCGACCCTCAGGACACCATCTTCAAGTTTCGCTGTCATTCCATCAGCATCAACATTCGCTGGGTTCGCCCTCGTGCCAAGACGAATCTTCCTCTCGAAGGCTCCGACCCTGCGCTCATCCAAGGCAAGTGTCTTCAAGAAATCTTCATCACCAGGGCGGTATATGACACCGGCAATGCTGAGCTCGCTCTTCTCTGCATCCCAGTTCACACCGACGTCTTCCTTTTTGGCGCCAGGGAGCGAGACATGAACGACGTAGGTGGAATCGGTGTCGAAGATATCGGCGTCAGGGGTGTAGTCTTCAGACTCGGTGGGCTTGGTAGCGTTGGTGGCGTTGGAGGGGTGGGTGCCGGTGAATTGGTTGAAGAGCTGTGCAGTGAATGTAGAGGGGTCGAAAGAGGACCAGGAGTTATCACCGGCGCCAAAGGGTCCACCGCTCATGCCTCCAAAAAGCCCTCTGCTCATGCCTTCAAAAGGCCCTCTGCTCATGCCTCCAAAAGGTCCTCCGCATGTCCAGGAGCCCCAGCCTCCGCGGTGACCGCCATGATGGGGTCCGTGGCGGGGCGAGCTGCCATAGGGATGGTAGGCATGGTGGGGTCCAGAGCCACCCGACCCACCAGGGCCACAGCGTCCTCGACGTCCTCCGCCACGGCGACCTTGTGGGCGGCCACCGTGGTGAGCTTCATGGTCAGACTCAGAGGTACCTGAAGGGCCTTCGCCATTGTCGTTCTCGGTGTTCATCCTAGCATCCTTCTCGGCCTCCGTCTGGTCTGTACGGTCCTGATTGTGCTCACCCGTAGCTCCCTCGCGACGATGCTCGTGGCGTTCATGTGGAGGCCCTCCACGATGAGGCATCCCCCTGCCGCCACCGAAGAAGTGTTGACTCTGTCTGAACGGAGCAAAGGGATCTTGGGGATCCTGAGGAGATACCTCGCGATCGTTCTCGGTCTCGTCATTGCGGTTCTGGGCAAAGAAAGGATGTTGTGAGCCTTGCTGCTCGAGGCCAGCGATGAAGTCCCAGAAGGCAGCGGAGTTGTTCATGTATTGCATGGGTGGCATTATGATGTTTTGTATCGTACAGTGATAGATGGAGGAAATATGATTTTCGAATGGCATATCTCACCTTGTCGGGCGTCTTATACAAAGCAAGCGACTCCAGGCATCAAGTCGCACGTGCAAGCATACGTATGTGCACCCCTCCTTGATTTATCCGCCACGCAGCCCTGTTGGTGACCAATCCTGCCATTTGCGGCCAGAAACCAATCGCTCGTCATTTTGTGTAGCCTGGATAAGCTTACAGAAGTTACCAGAAGGACCATCGACAATAGGCTTCCAGGCCGCGTCTCTAGAGCGTCGCCTAGCCAGGTGGTGAGTAGGCAAACGGGTGTTGCGCGTCCAGAAGTTCGGGTAGATCGGGGCTTGATCTCCTCCGTTGTGGCGGTGGCTGTGGCGGCACGAGCATGATTGGCTGCAGGTATCTTCTGAGGGTGCGCTCTCATCTCATCAGATAGGTCATGAAGACCGGCGCAGGTATCCTTTGCCCACTCTCAAAAGCTAATAATGAATGGGCTCGAATGTTGTCAAAAGGAAAAGCCCCGGTACGCTCATGTTGTGGGAATTCCTTAGATAACACTGGATATCTCATGGAAGAAGTCATACCCTGCAGCTATACATATTCGCCATGTCCAGTGTACCCAGATGTGCATCCCTTGTGATGTTAGCGTATGACAGCCTTGCTGTCGCAGCCTATTAGAGTTCCATGCAGAGTCTGAAGTGCAAGAAGTGGTAACAGTCTAGACGAGAAGCAGGAGAAAATGTTGAGTCATGACAGAACTAGATGTAACCTGTACTCACATGTCACTTTCTAAAAGAATGAAGGTGCTTAGTGGCGAGATGTTGAGCAAGGGCATTGTAGAGGAGGGGTAGCTGCAGCTTTGCTAATGACGTTACTAGTCTGCAACAAAGTGGGTGCCCCACCAAACTTCTCTTCTGCCCTACAACCATCACCACCAATCTCCATTCAACCAACCATCCACCCTTAGAACCAGTCAACACACTCCCAATTGTACCACCCGAGTCAACATGTCTGGAAGTATCCCCACCTCCACCTCAGTCAGCGAGTCAGCTGTCATCGACGCGTCTTTCAGCGATGTTTGGCACTTGATCAAGCTCCAGGACTTCAGCAAGTTCTGGTCCAAGCTCGAGAAGAGTGAGTTCGTCAAGGGAACTTCAGAAGAGACGGACATCGTCAAGTGGACCTTCAAGGACGGTGCCGAGCTTGAGGTCAAGCAAGAGGAGCACTCCGTAAGTGATGCAGCTATGCAAGCATACCCTGCAGCTACTGACTTGTGTTTGCAGTCAATCGACCACTTCATCACATACTCTGTCATCACCTCCAAGCCCGAGCTCTCGTACTCTTCCGTCGTTTCAACTATCCGCGTATACCCCGTCACATCCGGCACTCACGAGAACAAGACATTCATCACATGGTCTGGCAACTTCAGCAGTGATGCCGATGCTAGTACGTGAAAACAATATCTTTACAATGGAGCAAAACTGACACAAGTAGGCGTAATCCAGGATGCCAAGTTCAAGCGTCGCGAAGCCCTTGCCGACCTCGCCAAAGTCGCTTCCAAGAAATAGATTTCGGGCGATGGCTGCTTGGCTTTCTCAGAGGTTGAGAAATTCATGCAGTAGAAAATATATTATGGCCACTCGCGTTATGCGATGGTTTGCAATAGCGATAACAATGACATGAAAATCATGTGGGCAATGGACTCAAGTTCTGTGGTTGAGCATAGTAATATCAATCATGTTATGACGTGCAAAGAATTCTTCCATCCTTCCTTCCCAGACAATTTGCCATTTTCAGAACGGTCTAAGGTCCTCCGCATTGTTGTTACTGATCACGTCTAGTTTTATGTTACGTCGAATAGCAAAGGCAGTGCTCAGCCACTCCACCTGCATCGAAGCGAATCCTTCGAATCATATGATAACCTATTTATGGTCACCACGAACTTCTACTACAGCTTCAAAAATCAGGATTCTGAGAGTTTCATAAAAATTCAATTGCACTAGTAGTTCTTTTCTGACATATATTCTTCCTTTGTTGGAATCACTGGTGCGCTGCCTACAATCGCCGAAGCATCGCCTGCAGCAGATTTATCACCATGGATAGCGCTGGAATTGGAGCAAATTCGTTCAGCAAAGCAGAATGTATAGCAAGTCCTGGCGTTTGCAATAAGTTGTTCCCTAACTAGTAGCAGTAGAGAAACAATTAAAGCTTGAAGAACAGCGAAAAGCCGATGAGAAAGTAAACCAGAGTAATCATGAGGAGTTAAAGGAGGGCAGGGACAGGAGAAAGAAGGGAAGGGTCAATAGGTGGATCAATTATGCAATGTCGAGTCTTGCCGGCTAAGGAGGGGAAGGTGAGATGAGTAACGAGTTCTCGCTCGTAAGAGTGAAGGCTGTGGGACTATGAGGGGTGATAAATCCAGATGAAGCGTGCCTGAACGAATATGAAATGAAATTTCCGAGTTACAGAGACATGCGCAAATAGTAAATGTGCAGAACTGGAATTAATGTCGAGCTGTATTGAGGACCTAAGCCACGACAGTTGACAGGCAGGTACTTCGAAGGCGCTAGGAGAGCTAGCGCCCCAGCGACGCCAACCTCGCACATAGCTGGCAGCTTCTTACATCCACAACGACATCGCCACCGACCATATCCATCAAGCTAGAGCAGCTTTCTGAGAGCAGTACGGAGACCCATGAAACAAGAACACGATTTGGGAGCTGTTGACGTGTCGGAGCTGGTTGCTGAACAATAGAGCTATGGCACGACGCCGGATACTCTGCCAACAGCAGTCGTTGAAGCCACGAGGAGTTTTGATTATCCTCGTCCTTCCTTCGATCTCTCACTTCTCCCCGTCTTCAAGACCTGCCGCAAGGGCCAGCACACAATGAAAAAGATATGTTTACAGTGACTGCAGATTGACGCGCATATCTATCATGAGGAGAAGATCTGTGGTATAGGCTTGTACCTACAATATAAGCAAATTGCTTGCAGCTAGCTTTCACATCCTGCATGATCTCGATGTACGACGAACTAGGTTCACATTAACCGCAGTAAAACTTGTGGTACACGCCTCTCATATGTACGTCGAATCCTGTGACTCGCATAGCCCACAGTTCTGCTGTGAACCCAATACTCCATTCTAGATCAGCCGAACCTTGCGGTTCGCACTGCCCGCTGTCTCCTGCAGCATATGTCGCTCTCCTACGTGCGACGGCCTCTCGGTCGCATTGCCCGCAATCGCTTGCAGCAAAAGTTTGAGTAGCAAAACCCGACGGGACCTCAGTAGACAATGATACCAATTTACTGGACGGTAGGAACGCATCGGATGGCGCGTAGTTGATAGACTGAGAGCCCCAAAACAATAAGATTCCTCTAGCGCGATTGAGTGGGAGCAGTGGGGGGACGCAATGAGTGTACACAGAAGGAAACAAGATAAGGGTAGGGTAGGTTGTTGAGGACGAAGAGGAAAGCTTGCTTCATGGCCTTGCTAATCCAATTAAAAGGCCTAAGTAACGTTCGTTGCGCATCAATCCGGACAGGTGAGGTCAATGGGGCCTTTCACGTGCTATGTGCGGGAAGTATCGCGCATCTTCCAACCATGAATGTAATGGTGGACTATAAACAAGACGTTTCCAATCTCCTGATTCAGACCCATTCCTCATGGCTAGATGAGAACAAGTTGCAGTAATTCACTGTGGGCTCTCACGATGAGCATTGTACCTTGTCTCGCGAGTCATAGAGCCTGCAATGCACCATACAACATGTGTACTCCAGGCTCCTCTGCAGGTGGTCTCCCTATATTTTAAACCTAATAGAAGCCTCTCAAATGTTAGTGTCAGCTGTAAAGCGGCACCTTCTGCTCAACAAAGACGCATATTACGATCATGTCAGTTAATCAAGATCAAACCGTCATAGACAGCCTAGGCAAGACAACTCTTGATTTAAATAGGCGAAGAACTACAGGTATCTTCAACTCGCTGCGAAAGACACGCAGCTCTTGACACTTCAGGAGAGCGGTCACTGCAAACTATTATTATGGCTGAGTCAGAAACATGGATGGTCAAAGTGTACATCTCTCAGGACAGATAGGACAATGATGGGCGAGAAGTTCAAAAGCTGGTGGCGGAGAGCAATATGAGCGACAACATGGAGGCGCTCGAACCTAAGCACGAAGAGCTTGTTGATGCAGTCGAAAAACTGCAAGACACACTACAGATCTCGAAACCATTGTGGCCGAGCTCCATAAGCAGAAGGCAGGCTTGCTAGTTGAGATTAGTCAGATGAATTTCCACATCCAGATCAACATTTACCACTTTAACTCGTCTATACCACAAGCATCAAACATTAGGCGGCCTACCCAGAATCTTCTTGCACTCAAATATTCACCATCCACTACCGCCACTACAACGGCTCCACGAAAGCGCTCAGCCGAGAATTCAGTTCCCATATCGCATGCTAAAAGTTTGGACTCCAAGGCCAAAAAACAACGTACTCGGAAAGTCTGAGGTCAGCTCACAGTCTTTGATGCATCGATAACTAACATACAATAATCGAGTTTATGGCCAAACCGATCGTGTCCTCATTATTATACCAGCATGTAGCAGCAGTTTTCATCTTGGCGGAAGTACGCCAATGCTCCTGCGGCTATGTGCATAGAGGGAAATTCGCTGCTTTTAGAGCTATCGCTATTGCTGCGCTGCTTACGTTGCCGCGTTGTAGTCCCTTGGACCAGGCTAAGAGTAGATTAATTATAAGGGATTGAAAGAAGAAGCAAAGGGCTGTATTTGGTCTTGCGTGATGCAAATATCAGACAGCGTGGAATGTCTCTATCTATCATATACTGGAAAGATAGACCTTCAGTGCTGTTCCATCAGCACCTCAACGTAGAAGACAGCAGATATGTCTACCGTGCATTGAAACTTTAGGCGTCGCTCGAGTTATAGACGCTTTTTTCCTGGATAATTTTCCACTTGTCAATGTCGAACGACGATCCCTTCCATATAACGCAATGTGTGAATGATGACCTCGAGAGGCTCTAGATTTATGTGCCACAGACGCACGACAGCTCTGTCCATACTGGAAAGCGTGAAAACTTTGATGAAGAGGTCGGGTGCCACCTTCCTCCAAGCTTCTCTTCCAAGCTGTTCGGTCAAAACAATAATAACTCCAGCCTTGTCCTTCCTCTAGTACAAAAGCTAGCAGTGCCGCCAACTGCCCGCTATCGCACCTAGCTTCTTTTTCTTTTCATTCTTTTCCCAGCGACCGAGCTTCATCATGTGGCTACTCGGACTAATGCTGCGCGTCCTGAACTGCCTACCATGCTACCGTGGTTCAGGTTCGGCATGATGCGTGATGCGCCAGGGGCCGAGACTGTACCAAGGAAAAACAACGGGGTGGCGGATGGAACGTCAACTTGCATCACAATATCGGCACGGCGGGATGTTGATCGCCGAAAGAGATTAGAAATCGCGATAGGGGTCAGTGGTGATGCCTGGATGCGAGGTGGTTTCTAGCTGCAGGGTCGCGTTGATGGACTTCTATGCATGACCTGTTGCAAGTCTGAATTTAGGTGTTGGTGGGGTTGTTTGAACGGATTGCTCATTTCATAATTATCATTATTACCATGGCTAGAATACCCTACCGATTGCTAAGCAGAGCGCGTCCATGAGACGGTGACATAATGCCATTTTGCCCAGGCATTCATGACGGACAGTCATAGAAAGAAAAGAGGAGAAGAAGAAGAAGAAGAAGAAGAAGAAGAAGAAGAAGAAGAAGAAGAAGAAGAAGAAGAAGAAGAAGAAGAAGAAGAAGAAGTGATACAGCGAATAGAAGACGAAAGGCGTCGATTCTCCAACCGCCTATAGTCCAGAGTCTCCAGGAAAGAGTATACCGTTGGGATGGAACTCTGTGTGGTACGTTTGCCAGTTCTTGCAGGTCCTCTTCATTTCGGCGAAGCCATCCTTAGCCGTGATCTCTGACTCACGCTCAAGAAACTGCACACCGAGACCTGCTGCCACGTGGAACGGGATATGGCAGTGCATCAGCCATGCTCCTGGATTGTCAGACTCGAAGGCAAGAACGAGGTAGCCTCTGGCTGGAAGATTGGCGGTGTCGCGCCGGATGGGGTTGTCGGTCTTGAGGCGGGAAATGTCACCATTCCAGACCGCATTCTCTTGCTGGTCCAGAACGTAGAAGTCATGGCCGTGAAGATGAATGGGATGAGGTAGTGGTGGCGCAGTGTTGTTGGTGGTGTCCTGTTGGATGACCCAGTATTGCCACTGCAAAGATTGTTAGTTGTGAAAAACTGTATATCGAATGCTGGAGACTCACCTTGTGCTTTTCATCAACCTTAAACACATGTCGGTTATTTCCATACGTGACGTTACCATCTAGCACAAGTTGCAGTGTGGGTCGGTCAAGGTCGACTGCCATCGGGTTGCCATTGACGAGCCACTGCACCAGTCCCTGGCTCTGCGTTACATCGCTGGTGTAGTTGTCGTTGAAACCGAAAGTCAGTGACTCAGGCATCTCCTGGGGAACAGTCGTCTTGGCGTATGGGACGATGTTTTGCTCGTCATAACAGCCCACCGGTAGAACCCTAGCAGTCGAGTCGGGCTCACCAGCTGGTGCGCCAGCATATCTGAAGATGCTCTTGATGTTCGCCGCATTTGCATTGGGACCATCACATCTACCGCCAGTGCCTACACGCCACCAGTAATTACCAATAGGCTCAGTCGCGTTGATAATGATCTCATAACGTTGGCCTAGTGATCATGTTAGTGAAACGTTCTCCAACAGTAGTTATCGTGACTGCATTTTCGTGGGCGGGTGCGCGTCGCACAAGCACATACTGTGAAAATCGCAACGGGCAGGTAGATGAGAAACGATTCGGCTCGACTTACCGACTGAAAGAACAAGGTTGTCAGTGTAGAAAGGCTCGATTGGCGTGAAATCAGCAGAGATGACCTGAAAAGAATGTCCATCGAGGCCGACATGTAAGTAGTTATTAATACCAGTGTTAACGAGTCGCAACAAATGCGTCTTTCCAGGAGTTAGAATTGTTTCTGCGTATTTTCCTCCAGCGGCCGATGTCATTGTGCCGTTGATAAGAACGTTGTCCGCAACTGGAGGACCATTGGCATGAACAGCTGCGGCGTTCACTGTGAAGGTGGTCGCGTGGAACCAATCTGTCATTGGCAGCACACCAAGATCAATGTCGTAGTTCGCTGTTGCTGGTCCTCGTATGATCATGGGGCCTACAAGGCCATCGCCGTACTGTACTGAATAGTGCGAGTGATACCACTATGGCCGTCAACAACATTTCAATCCCATGTCGCGTGACTGAGAAAACTTACGGTAGTGCCGTACTGTGTCGCCTTGAACTTGTAGACCTTGGAGTCACCGGGCGCGATCGGACATTCGGTAATACCGTTTACTCCATCTTGCTCGTTTGATCCAAGTTGCCGAAGCCCATGCCAGTGCAAACCAGTACCGTTATTTTGGAGGTTGTTAGTCACAGTAATCTCAAGGTCATCGCCCCAATCTGCGAGGATGGTCTGTAATATGTTAGTAGAGACACGACCAATGTGTAGGCGATGCGCTTACGGGTCCAGGTGTTTGGCCGTTGATCAGTAAAATTGGTCTCTCAAACCCGTCCGGGGCTCCGGTTGCATTTGAAATTGTCAAGTGATACTTGACGGTCTTTCCAGTGTTAGGCCAATGTATATCCATATCCGTGTCGATGTCGAAGTCGCCATTCCAGCATCCTCGCGATTTTGGGCCATGATTACACTTCGTCATGTAACCGTCTCGTCTTTGGTGACCACTCCATAGACCGTTCTTCTTCCACGGAACCTCAGGAACTCTGGGTGTGAGCTGTTCCACGGAAGGCACAGTCAATGAAGTGACGGATGGTAGGAGAAGCCCTAAGGCGATGGCTGCTTTGAATATAGAAGCAACCATTATGAGTGGAAGAAGGAGGAATGAAACAGCGTAAATGTAAAACGACAGCTGCCAGACCCTTTACGCACAGGGTCAAGGAGGGCAGATGGGCTCAGATTAACTGACGTAAACCGGAAAGCGAAAGGCTGGCTGGTCGGATAGACGAAGGGTGGTACGGGTGATTATATCTTCAGCATGGCAACTTTGCCCTGCTTCTCTAGTGGACAGAGGGATAGGCCCAAAAGGCTGCCAATGCCAGTAGTGGAGAGTTCCCACCACTAGCTAGTGGTATGAGCACTCCATGTAGAGAGTATCGCCGCGAGAGTATCCAAGATCTCCATGAATACGGCCTACGGCACATGAACGGTAAGGATGCTGGCTTAGTATGGCGGCCTTGCCCAGAGCTGTGAGCGTAAGATGCGGCTGCATATCAGCCCTAAGTAGGTGAACGGAGATTTTTAAGTGGTTGCTTTCGTCTCAAATGTCGGCATCGCTCGTGTTACACGACTGAATGCAGCTAGATTTACCGAGCCTCGGCGGCACACATTGACTGAAGACGGTGGGCTGGAAACTCGGCAGAGCTACAGCAAGTGCTGAGTCGTACTAGGAGGCGGTAGCTCCAGCAGGCTGTATGCGGCATCAAGCGGTGATGTGGCTTGGGTCGCGCAGCAAGTGGGGCATGTGAGGTTTAGCTTCATATGTAGATACACGGAGTAGATGCCGCTATGGGGGGTTCGTAGAACCGTCGCCTGAGCCAACGGTGGAGTCGAGCACCGCCCCTGGGGCTTGTAAAGCTTGATAGTGGACAAGCGGGAGGGGGAAGGATCGCAGAAGCGCAAGCGAGCCAACATCTGGAGACGACTTGTGCTATTTACTACCAACGCTAAGCTGTGCTGACGCTAGCGTGCCATGTTGTATCGGAGTTTTGTGAGGGGTGCCGGACCACATCGTCCGACCACAACATCAGCACATCACGATTTTGACCACTCAGAACGCATCCTGCGAAGAAGTCGTGTGGATTAGACCTAAATAGACGCCGCGATTCGGCCATAGTTGCCACTTCTTTCACGTGCCGCACCGTTTTCATGACGTTCAGGACCAAAGTCAGACTATTGATATGCACCAGAGCTGCATTGGCCGTCTTGGGCTGCCACAGGCGCTGAGATAGTGTCGGCGAAGTCATCATATGTCTGATGAGAACTTGATGCCTCAGTGTTGCCACTTTGATGCCACGGGTGGAGCAGATACATTGTTCCAGACTTCGGTCTACGCAAGGACGTGAACAACGGATTCAGGTCATGGCTGTACATTCTTCATATTTGCAGTAGGTAGGAGTCGAATCACTCATGCTCAACGGACGTAAGCAAGTGAATTTAGTGTACGCTAGGCTACTACATGGTCATTTCCCACGTCATCCTTGCCAGGAGCGTGCACCGGCCATGATACGCATGCTTATCGCTACCAACACAAAGGTTTTGACAGAAAGCGAACTTCCAACGGTCTTGTGTCAGATTTGGTGCAGCTTCTTCTACATCGGTTTCTACAACACTGACAGCGAAGAGCGCCACAATATTGAAGGAGTAATGCGCGCCTGCTTACGTGCATACTGCCACAAATCCTACGTTCAGCTCGCGATTCTTGATACTATTTTCTCAGGTGAGGAGTCAGCCTTGGAATTTTACTCACCGTATCCTCAGCCATTGTACGTAAAGTGCTTATTCAAGTGCGTTGTTCTCTGGACGCGCTTCTGGGGTCCATCTTCCCTGTGCTATCGCGCTATCGCGCTATCATGATTCAGGTTTCATGTTTCAAGCGAAAATGTACGAATGTACGGATCGTGAGGGTCATTTAACTGCTTCTTACACCTCGCGTGCGAACCGGTCGTTCGGCGTCGCGTACGTCAATGCGGTACCAAAAACGCTCTATCTGTGCGGAAGAAGAAAGCTCTGGCGTCGTACAGCTCAGCCACACGTCTTTCATCGTGACATTTTGATCAATGCTCGCTCGCTCGTTCGCGGCTGCGTGCTGCGTTACCGTGGTAAATTCCGGTTGCAATGTTCAACTGAAGGCACTGCGAGTATTGCAATCCCTACTCCCTCACCTAAGGCCGGATAACTGGGGCCCATGTTCGCGAAGAACCACTTCATCTGGTCGGGTATCTCGACCCCCCTGATCATCAACAGGGAATCAGTCTTCCGACTTGCATGGATCCCAAAAGCTGTATGACGTCCTTCATCTACCGCCCGCCGCATATAGAGACATGAATCGCACGGAATGATTATAACTCTGGCATCGAATTAGAGTTAGGGTTGATCTCGCATTGAATCGGCTTCCATGGTCCGGCAGATCGATCGGTTGCTATCCACATCTCGAGGCGTGCAGGTAGATCGCGAGAACCCTAACACTAGCGAAGTCCGCTTCTGCTCTCCAGCGAACCGAGTAACTGCCCGTAAGATAAACCTCATTCCGTTCCTGCATTTCAATCTTTCCGCGGAAGACTTTGTGGCAACGCGGCAGCTCTTCTATGTAGGGCAATAACAGGGTATATGAACAAGTGCATGCGTCTACATGGGTTCTGAACGCACGAACGCCTCATCATATATATCCGAAACTGTGTAACCTGTGCCGTCTGCAAATCTCATGCACAGTTCTGGGGCATTTAGTGATCTGGAAGAGGCTGGTAGGGCAGTGATATGTAACATCGCGTGGGTGTAAAGCACAAAATTTTACATGAGTGGCTGGTGTCATAGCCACATTGAGTTTTGGACGTCGTGTTGCTGTTGTCACTCTGATAACCTACTACGCATGTTGCTCAGACAGGTGTGAGGCGCCGTTAGCAACGAGGTTCCACCAGCAAGGTACCACTGCAGAGTCCTCAACGCTGTGCAGCTGTCAGGTACGACTTGCAACATCCGGATTGGACTTTTGCGTCATATCTTCCCCACTCTTCTGACGATCTGGCATTTGTGGCGTACGTAAGAGCAGATTCCGTGCATCTGCGGAATGACGCGTTCCGTAAAATCCTTCCGTGGATGACCCATGATCGAGATAAGCGGTCGCAGTTCCCTGAGCAACACAGAAACGCCATCCTGTGCGGTAGGCGCCGTTCGTGCATAGCGTGAACATGTGGCCTCAACAGGCGTATGCAAGGTCGATCATTGAGCGAACGTTTTGTTGAGAGATTTGCATGCGGATGCTTGAGGATGAGGCTGGTGGAGGCTGAACTAATGTAGAGCTAACGGTTTCCCAGGTGACATAGACCGTAACGCACGTCTGGAACTACGGCGTTGCTTTTGTTAGATTTACGGAAGGATAACGCATTTTAAGAGCTACACGTGAGTTCTGTCTATTGCATCGCTCTAGGTTTAACGTAGAGACTGGTATCCTCGTTCTACCCAGTTATTCTACCTATCCATTTGTTCAGTAAAGTACCCAACGGCCCGGTTAAGCCCACAAGATTCTTAACTTCTCAATACTGGTACCACCCGCCGCATAGAATGTTTCCCAACTCGCAAATTCGCTAAACGGGAGCATGCCGGACTCGTCTCCAGTATGGTTAAGATCGGTCCGATACAACAACGGGAAATTAGAACTCCATATACCCGTGGTCAGCTTCCAAATACCAACAAGCTCGCCACGAGTGGACAATGAGATCCAGATCTGGCTTCGGCACTCCATCAACTTCTCTAGAGGTTCAATATGGACGTCTGCGTCGTTATGGAAAGTAACTTTAACCTTTAGTAGGTGATTGATGAAAAGCCGCCAAAGTGGTGTAATGTCGCTCGTCAGAAAGTTGTCGGTCGTTCTCTGCCCAACTCATAGATGCACTTTATCCGTAGGAAAGAACTCCTCGTACGAATTGATTTCACTGTTTGTGGCAAGAATGAATGTCTGGATATATAGATTGGCGTCGTCGATGTTGACAATCTGCCGAGATATCCACCACGACTGGAACTCGCATCGTATCTGGTTGCGTACATGTGTAACAGCCAGGAGCTGCATACATCCCGTGCTGACTGGACGTGAGATAGAGGCTAAGAGGAGGCGATATGTGCGGTTTCGTATCTCTGGAGGCGTCTAGCACATGTCGCCGACGCAAGTTATTCAATTACCATAACGTACCGCCTGGTAAGTTCAGGAATTGGAAGATAATATGTGATTGATACACAGTAACGATGTGTTGCGCAGAGTCAGTGGGAAGATTTAGTGAAAGCGTTTGTGAAGGAAGCCTTGGGAAGAAATAAGTCACATGCGGATGTAGTGGTCAGCTGTTCCATCTCGTACCAGAAGCCATAACAGGCAGAATGACACCTTCTATGGTTTATCACAGATGACAGCAGCAATGCTTTTCCATGCTGGCCTGAAGAAAAATGGAGGATTGCAGTCGATCTCGGCACATCGCATGTAGCTCCTGCATTGTCTAGTTGTAGATATCTAGCTCATTCCTGATCTATTTGACCATAATAAAATCTGGGTCACGGTCGTCGCCTCTACCCTCAAACTCTGCATACTTTCCACTCGCCTTATCTTTGTTAATCTTCCATACCCACGCAACATTGGCTGCAACCCTGCAACGCGTTAGTATAATGCTACTGAAGGAACAGCAATCCTTGCCGGAAGAACTTACAGCACCCAGGCCGCGCAAAGCAAGCCCAGCATAATACTATGACTCTTATGAAAGTATGGGGCTTCACTCTTCGGGTACACGAAGCTCGCTACGAAGCCTCCCGCATTCGCAATCGCGAGCTGAAGTGCAGACGTAGTCGCACGCTTGTAGTGGCCAGCAGAGTTATTGCTGTTCCAGGACAGGATACAAGGTACAGTGGCGTACATGCCAGTTGCCATGAGGAAAGTCATTCCGTATTGAATCTTGGGGTTGGTAGTCTGGCTTATGACGCCGTAGCCGATGATGGCAACGGGTAGTGTGCATAGCATGACTGGGCCGCGTAAGTTGAGACGATCGGATAGTAGAGCGACGGCTACTGTGAAGACTGATGCTACAGCGTAGGGAATGACGGTCCAGAGCTGTGTTTCGTTGGGATCTTTGGAGAAGCCGTTGTTGATGATGGTGGGGAGGAAGAGACCGAAACTGTATAGTCCGCTTAGGATGGCAAAGTACGCCGTTGCGGTGAGCCAGACTTGGACGTTGAACACTCCGCGTTTTACCTCTGCCCAGTCGAAGCGTTCGTGAGAAGCACTCTGCTCGCCGAGACGGAATCGGGCGTGCTCCTTCTCGTTGGCTGTGAAGAATTTGGCGGATTCAATAGAGTTGGGTAAGAAAATAGCAGAGCAGACGCCAACAAAAACGGTCAAGAGTCCTTCCACTATAAATATCCACCGCCAACTATTCGCCCAGTTAGGTCTTTGTAATGGAAGGTTGGGCGCGTATCACTTACCCTTCGAGCCCTCCAGCAGGGCCAATCGCATTGAGTGCTCGTGCCAGCAGACCACCAAAAGCCCCGGACAATGATGCGGCGGTGTAGAAGATACCGATGCGTAAAGCCAACTCTTGCCTGCGATAAAAGCCAGTAAGGTAGAGTACCATGCCCGGCAACAATCCACCCTCCGCGCAACCAAGCAACGCGCGAACGGTAACAAACGACGCGAAGTTGGTAACGAAACCCAGGCACATCGTCAAGATCCCCCACACCGATGTCAAAAGTGGGAGCCATATCTTCGGTGACATCTTCTTGAGCACCAGATTCGACGGCAGCTCACTGGCAATGTACGTAGCGTAGAAGACGCACAATCCGATGGAGTATTGGTGGTCGTTGATATTGATATCTCTTTCCAGACCCAAGATCTTCGCGTTGCCGACATTGGTGCGGTCGATGAATGAGCACAGGAAGAGGAGAGCGAGGACAGGTAGGATGCTGCTGCTATTCAGTACATTGGTGTTGGGGGAGAAGGGGGATTGAACATACCGGACATCCAACTTGAACAAGACCTTCTTCGAGATAGCATCGTCGCTGAGCCCCGCTTCCAACTGTTCACTCCCACTCCGATTCTCAAGTTTCTCGTCCTGCATCTTATCAAGGCTCATGTTTGCGAGCCGTCAGGATATCCGCGTCGAACCCGATCTTAAGAAGCGTTGGAAAAGTCCAGCGTATCTCTCAACGAAAGCAAGAAAGCGGAACCAGCTCTCTTATCCACTCAACGGAAACCCGTAGCGCACACCGACCTGCCAAAAAGCGACCAGGACCACCCTACCTGACCCCATGGGGGCGGGCGCATGGGTTGCGGCACAATCGGGGATATCTGGCATGCTATTGGTGGAGTTGCTCGGCTGTCGAGCGAACCTACCTTAACTCACTCGAGTTTATGCTGAAAACAAGCATAGCGCTCTTAGCCACACTGGCGATCGGCAGGCTTGACATCAGCGTTACCGAATCGGTGCGTGCTTGCGGGAGTTGTTCTGTTTCCGAGGGTTTGTAATCATGTAGAGATACGAAGAACGGCGCAGGATGCTGAGGATGGTCAGCACGACGGTTTATGTTTTTGGTGGGTTGTGGGTGTTGTTAGAGGTGTCGATGTTGGTCAGCGCAACCAAGCTTTCGTTGCACAGAACGGAGGGGCGATCAAGCCGTGCGAAGCCTTTAAGCCCCCGCTTGGACGACTTGGCTTTCCCGAATTTCGGATGGCTACTGCGACAACAAATCCACTGCATTGAGAATTCGTCAATGATGTCGCAAATACGACTACAACCAGTTTTAAGTTCTATTGAGAGGACAGACGACGTATTGAGATTCTGCGCGTTATACTACTGAGGCTCTTATCGCAACGCCAAAAAGCACCGAGCTTGTGCTTTGGGTAGCCGACGATCTCACTATCGCAATCCCGATGCTTTGTTTTTCTTGTTAAGTTGTGCGGCGCCCATCAGATGATTGAGCCGATCGTGATGGCCGAAATGGCGCATAGGGTGAAATGATCAACTCTGTTGGCGTCACTGGATATTCGCATTTTGGCTGCATCGTGACCTTGAAGCGCACACTGGTCCTTGGCGAATATTTTGTGAATTAAAGCTGATGAAATTGATTGCTGGAGTATACTATAGAGGGACGTCTATTCCATGGTCTTGACATCTGGCGCAACCTCAAACTTCGCATCCGTCTTCGCCCTGACATCCTCAACACTCACTCCAGGCGCAGTCTCCGTAAGTGTCAAAGTACCACGCTTCCTGTTAACCTCAAACACGCACATGTCCGTGATGATAGTGCTAACGCACTTGGCCCCGGTCAAAGGCAGCTTACATTCTTGGACAATCTTGCTTGATCCATCCTTTGCAACATGCTCAGTAGCCACCACCACCTTAGTAGCCTCCGGGTTGCTGACGAGATCCATAGCACCACCCATGCCCTTGAAAACCTTTCCAGGAACCATGTAGTTTGCTAGGTCGCCAGAGGCGCTGACTTGGAGAGCGCCTAGGATAGAAACATCGACGTGGCCACCACGGATCATGCCGAATGACTCTGCGGAATCGAACGTTGAAGCACCAGGTAGGAGTGTGACGGTCTCTTTACCAGCGTTGATAATGTCGGGGTCGAGCTCCTCTTCGGTAGGGTAAGGGCCCATGCCTAGAATACCGTTCTCAGACTGTAGCCACACCTTCACGCCGTCGGGGACGAAAGATGCTGCTGCCGTTGGGATACCGACACCCAAGTTGACGTAGTATCCTTGCTTTAGCTCCTTTGCTGCTCGGCGAGCGATTCGGTCGCGACGCTCTGCGGCCTCGTTCTTGGAGGATGTGTCTGTGGAAGCAGCGGGTTTTCGAAGCTTCTTGATTTCCACGTTCTTGGGCGCGGTAGAGGGAACGATGCGGTCGACGAAGATACCAGGAAGGTCAATGTCATTTGCATCAAAGGTACCGATTGGAACGATCTCTTCGGCTTCGACGATGGTTAGGCGGGCAGCTTTGGCCATGATCGGACCAAATGCCTTGGTTGTGTATCTTTCGGAATTGTCAGCTAAGATACCCACATCCTTGAATACCGCAATTCTTACCTGAAAACACAATTGCCAGCCTCGTCCGCCTTGTGTGCTCGAATGATCGCAACATCGCCGGTCAAAGCAGTCTCCATGAGAAACTTCTTGCCATTGAACTCTCTGACCTCCCTCTTCTGGCCAAACCCGACAGCTTTTCCTTCCTTGTCAAATTTGGCGGGGATCTCTCCGTCTTGTAGCAAGGTGTTGACAGCTGTGGGTGTGTAGAATGCTGGAATGCCTGCACCACCAGCTCTTATCCTCTCCGCAAGCGTACCTTGTGGACATAGCTCAATCTCGATACCGCCACTCAAATATTGCTTCTCCAATGCCTTGTTGTTCCCCAGAAAGCTGATGATGAGCTTCTTGACTTGCCCATTCTTGGTAAGATGCGCTAGGCCTCCTACATCCTCAATGCCAGCATTGTTGGAGACGGCTGTCAGGGAGTGTAATGATTGTGGTCCTCGTTTCTTCATCGCTCTGATGAGTGTTTCTGCAACACCGCACAGCCCGAAGCCTGCACTCAGGACCGTGGAGCCCGGTTGCACATCCGCGACTGCTTCATCGGCGTCTTTGAAGAGTTTTGATTTCGACCGGTCGATTGTTGGAGCGCCTTGACTGATGCCTCGCAGCTGACCCGTAAACCGCCATCGCGGTGGGAGTCGCGCGGCTCGTAATTGTGCGGGGAGAGGACGTCGAGAACATAACCGCGACGGCAGAGCTGTTAGCAGCCGATATGATGTAGGTAGTGAGTCCATTGTGAAGCGCGTAAATAACAACAGCAGAGGCAGTCAAATTAAATCATCAGTTAAGGAGAATCAAGAAGCTCCGACCTGTCCAAATACGGGCTGAACTTTTGCGATTGATGTCCGAACGAAGGCCATCAGACGCGTGCGTAAACCGCGCAATAGCGTAACGTCATGCATCTGGCATCCGTCGGCATCATTTCAACTACCGAAGATCGAGCGACCTTCGAGCTTGGAGCGGGGCTTCATTTGCCGCCAAATCATATGAGGTTTAGCTTCTGGCAAATTCCGAGGTTGTGCCACCCTCTTAGTTCGCTTGACGCTTAGCGACCCGTCATGTGCCGTCCACTCTGCCCCGCGACTGGCACGAGCTGGAAACAAGTAGCATGAAGTTATTCTTAGAGAACGAAGATCCGTTCATAATTCTCGTAAAGCCCTGGGAGTGCTTTGAGAGACTCTCAGATAGCTTCATCTGATGGATTACGGGAAGTTGAAGTCCGGCAGATTCATCCAATCTGTCCACAATGGGTTGCTGTCGTTCCATGGCAGATCCAGCAGTGCCGTGGAAAACAGGTCCGAGTTCGTCACAGTCTCATTGACTTCATTGTAAGACATGGCTGAGAAGTCCAGCGTGTCCGGCCAGTAGCTAGAGATCGGATCGGGTCCCATTGTATGGTTTTCAGGCAATGCTTCATTCACCTTGTATGACGGCGATAAAAGGTCCGGTATGGCCATGGATGGCGGTGCAGGATCGTGCGATGGCAATTGGATCATCCTCTCGATATCCGGCGCCTGCTTGACAAGAACGCGCAAGAAGCGACCGTAAACGACCGAAGCACCGTTTCGATGGATTGGTGTGCTGCCTATACGCTCAAGAACCGTTGCGGTGTCTTCAATGAGATGTCGAACGCTCGGAGCAAGGCTCTTCTTGTTGCCACTACCCTCCGGCACGGGTGCACTCAAAGCAAGCGCTATGCTCGCAGCGAAACAAATCATCGTGACTGTGTTGTTCGGCATCGACTTGAGACGAGACTCGCCTTGGATGGCCGCGCGCATAACGTTGAGTGCAGAAGATAGTGCAGACTTGCGGAACGATCGTTTAACCTCCGGAGGTGCGCTCGGGTGGTTAAGAAGCATTGAGTAGGTGGAGAGTCGTGTATGCGTGACAAGAATCTCGACGTACGGAGGCAGACTCTTACTCGCTGGATCAGCGATCACAGAGGGCCAGGCTCGAGACCAACCGTCAAAGAAGCTTTCAACAGACCCGTCGATTTCCTGTGCGACCTTTGAACCCACTTCGACCAGGCGGTAGTTGTCGCAGCGCGTGCGCACCTCAGCAAAGAGGTCGTCAAGATCGCGGCGGAGTACTGCCATAGATACAAGCGGTCCATCCTGGGCGTCGGCATACTGATTGAAATGCCATTTGTCGCAGTACTGAATCAAACATGTCTTGGGAACGCAGTAGCTGCGGCCGCGGGCTAGGCAAACTCCGCGTTCCAATACAAACAGAGAAATCCAGACCCTTTCTCTGCGACGTAGAAGGCGCTGGCCCCATTCCGAGTTCGAGTCGACATCTTCAAAGCCATCCATAGCCAGTGCTTTTCTTGCCTGGAGGCATTCGGCCTTTGGTATTTGTCTAACGAGCTCCTGATCGAATGATGTAGATGGTGTGATGACTTTATCTAGCATAAGATCCAGCGCGATGGATAGCGCTGTAGCCAGATAGAGGCTCGTATCGTCATCGCTCGCATGCGACCCTGGAGGCATCCAAGGTATACTGACCATGAAGGCTAGCACGATTTCAACTGATCTGTGCTTTCGGGTGATGACTTGCTCAGCTAGAAATCTGCGATGCAGTAGCAGTCTTTTGGCCAGAGCAGAGGTCTCCGGCAGGAAAATCGCGGTCATAGCCAGCAGGGTAGTAAACAGAAAGGCTGAGCGATTGCGAACGAATGGCAGCGTGTGTACCAATGGATCGAGTCCCCAGCGTGTGTGAGCCAATCTCTTGTGGAAACTAGATTGTGTAAATCCCTTTTGTCCGTCCGTGATTGATGCTTTGGTTTTCAACTTACTATTGTAGAAGCATTTCGGCTTCGTCCTTTGTCACAAGGCCAACATCGATCGGATCCAAACCTGAACCCTGATCGAGATTTGCCTTCATCGGCAGGAAGAAATGATGAACATCCAGGAAAGCGCTCTGTTCGCTGCCGTTGAATCTGCCTTCGGGGCTGGCGGTGCTCGGATTATACGATTGTGGAGTTGCAATCCGTAGATCCGACGCCCGAGCGAGCAGCTGGAGCGGGTTCTCGACATCTTCAACAGCGAGCTGGTCATCGCTTGAAGTACCAACAAGATTATTTACTGATGCTTGTAGATGTACCTCTGAGGCTGGGGATGTGTCCGGGTTTGGATTCTGATTTGAGTCATCGCCCTCTTGTGCCTCATTCAGGAGCTGTTGCAGTTGCTGCAACGTACTCTGACTGGTAGCTGCATCTGATTTCCTCTTTTTAATGGCTTCCTCGACTTGATGTATCGCTTTCTCTAAGCCTGATCGCTTGCTTTAAAACTGTTAGTTGAGCTGGTATACTCAGGATTATTCGCTTACTTTTTCACGCCCTTCTGTCTACCAATGTGAAATTCCGGAATTATGCACTCGATCCCGACGTTCTGGCATCGCTCGCATACCGGCGCACCCTCTTCACGCCGACATTTGATTTTACTTTTGCGGCAGTTCAGACATGCCGCTTGTTTGACATTCATTCCTTTGCCCCCCTCCTCTTATGTTACGTGACGCTATATGACCGTTCCGTAGTCTGAACTGGGGGTCTCCGGCATAGTTTGGCTAGCCGCACAGAGTCTCCAGAGCTGGGGATTTTGATCAGGCTTCTGTCCACTCACCGAACCTCAAAAACGATGTCCACAATAAATCCAAGGATATGAGATGCGATGTAAGGCAAAACAAGAGAAGATGGAACGCGCCGAAGAGCTACTCGGGGCATGTGCGTGCGTGTGGAGGTGTGCTAGTTGATTGTGCGCTAGCATGGACCCTGGTCTTGCACATGGCAGGCACCCCAGATTCAGACTTCGGAACACGTTCCGCTGACGTCGAGCTTGTCCCGACCCAGTCACGCATTGCGGCAAGATATAGCTAGGCTAAACTTGTTGCAAATATTGCGCGTACTTCGGGTCATTGGTGGGCGGCCAAACAGCAATTGCAGAGTCAAAAGTAGTGTAGCGACGGATGGGACATACTCCACACAGACCGAGGATAAGATATATGTATATTGACGACTAAGCATGGGTATCTGTTTGCAAACTGCTACATTCGTGTAATGACACTGCATTCCAACATCATGAAGCGGAGCCTGAAGCCTCGTCTTGCACTGTTACTGCCCTCTCCTTGCCTTTGGTGCTCGCACCGGCATCCAATCCTTCATGCGTTCCGAGATCGGTCTCAGACTTCTTTTCATCCTTTTGCTCACGCTGTGCTTGAGCCTCTTCTTCCCTTCTTCTCGCCTCTTCCTCCTGACGCTCCCTCTCTTCTTGAGCTGCCACCCTTTCAAGTCTCTCCCTTTCTTCCTGCGCGTGTACCATCCGCTCTCCAACGCCCGGGAACAGGCTGGCAACAAACAGCGCAAAAGCGCGTTCGACTGTACGCATACTATCTCGGATCCACCCAAATCTTTGGTCCCTTCTCTGCTGCAATATCCTCCTGGCCGCTTCTTCGGGTGATAGATTACCTCGCTGTTGGGTTTGGCGTTGGTTGTTGGGCTGAGCCACGCGGTCGGCTAGGGCTCCTACAGGAAGAAGGGCCTCGAAGTGGCGACGTATAATATTGAACTGCTCTTGGAACACACCGATTTGTGCCAGGTAAACCACGCCGGCAACGATGCCAAGCATGATGGGCCTGTAGAGGCCACCGCCTCCTGCGAAGAAATAGACGAATGCAGCCAGCTTGAAAATGAGCCATAAGTGCCCGAAGACGTTGACCATGCGATCATTTTCTTCGGGTTGATTGGCATTCGCATTTACATTTGCATTCTGGTTCTGGTTCTGGTTCTGGTTCTGGTTCTGGACTTGATTTTGTGCTTGGTTCTGATCAGGAGCCTGGCCACCAGCCGCCGGCTGTTGTGTTGGTGTCGGCTGAAGATTGGCCAGTTGGTTATGCAACTGATTGGATCCATGTGCCATTTGTTGTCCCAGTCCAGCAATAAGCTGTCTGTTCTGGGCAAACTGGTTTGTGAAGCTCTGGAATGGCAGAGTAGCCACCATGGGAGCCGTAGTATATGTACCTTGCTGGTCAAAGAGAAGGCCGACCGGTCCCTGCGGGCTCGATAAGAGGAACAACTCGGCTGGCGCATCTGTGGGTATCGTTGGTGTAGCGTTCTGTGTCCGTGGTTGAGATGTAATAGGCACGGCTGGTGTCATGATTGGAGCGCCAGGTGTACTACTGGAGTACACCCCAGCAGTTGGAGGGTCGGTGGATGCAACTGAAGTACCTGGTTGACTGGGAGCAGCACTGCTCTGTTGCCGGTCAAGTATGATGTTCAATTCCAATGCGTCTACCCTAATTTCGGTGACTGAGCGTCTCAGCGCTACCACTTCCGGTTCGGTGGGAAGGAAGGCGAGGGCCCGTTCTACAACGTTCAAGTTTTGGTTGATGGTATTCAGGTGTTGGCGTATATAATCGATTCGCCAAACGGGTAGATTCAAAGGCTGGGGGTTTGATATTGAGGACCGATCAGTCTGTGTATCTGGCTCACGCGTAGGCTGTAGTAGCGTACGAACATTGTCCATCTCCCGTTGCGTCTCCTGGAAGATGGTCCGAATCCGAGGCAGCAAGCGCTGGGTATTGTCGTGACCCATTGAGGGAAGAACGCCCGGTGGGATTGGTGGACGAGCGAAGCCTAGCGGATGTGGAAGAGGGAACGGAGGGGCAGGCTGCTGAATTCGTGCGGGTATGTTGACCTGGTTGTATGTGACTGTCCACCGCGCCCCATTTGGTCCAACGCCTTCTCGTCGTAGTGGTTGGTCGCCATTGCCGGGGAGATTGGGTAGTCCCAGCGCTGGTAGAGGTGTTGCACCAGTAAGTGGTCCCTGAGCAGCGTCTGCAGGTCTCTGTATATTTTGCCCAGGCTGCTCAGATGTCGAGTTTGGAGCTCGCTCATTGTCCTGCTGTCCTTGGTGTGCCATGGCCTGAGCAAGTTGATGTTGTACTTGTTGGGGAAGAGGGATGGGGATCACGTGTGCTTGACCCCCCGGAAGTGGGTGCTGATGCGGTTGCGGTAATGGCGGTAGTAAATTTGGTCGAGCCTGTGGCAGCGTCCTGAATGGATTCGTCTGAAGCGGGTTTGCGGGTAGAGCTGGAGCTTGAGGAGGATGAAACGGATTCGGCGGAACAGTCGACGTTCGCAATGCAGGCGACGCTGGAGAGTTTCCAGTGGTAGGAAGCTCTCGTAGGACCAGATGGAGGCTCTGGTCCTTGCTTTCACGTATCTATATTCACCATTAGCTTGCGTCTACTACCAGCGGTCGGCGACCCTACGTTGTCAACACCAAACACATTGCCCAGAGTATCGGCATCGTTGGCTACAACTCTTCCCCGGTAGATCAGGCGCATGCGCTCAGGTGCAGGCTTGGAGGGCGCTGCATCCTGGATGCGGCGCCGAAGCTCTTTGACCGTGGTTGAAGCGGGGATGTCTGCAAGATTCACGCCGCCTTCCACCTCAGTCGAGGGTGAAAGGATCCTGAGGTTGATTGTCTGCGCTTCTTCCGCCATGGTCGCTGTGTGAGTAGTGGCAGACTATGGTGAGAGGTGAAGTGTGCAGATGGGAGGAGAGAAGTGACGACGTGTCCGTATCAAAGCTCAGTATCAACCTTGGGAGCCACGGGTGCGCCTGCCATTTACAGTCTTGTTCTCGCCAGGCAGTTTGAACATCAACTTGGGCCTCAGTTCCAATGTCCCAAGTGTTTCCACTCTGCGCGCGCACGCGATGTAATAGTCGACGATGAGTGATGGCGGCCTCCGGAGCCATCGCCGCAGCGCGCTAGAGACCCCATCGCAGATAGATACGTCATTGGTCAACCAAGGGAGTTGATTTTCCCTCCACGCGACGCCTTCGCCGTCATCCTGGCTAGCGAATTGCTCGTCGCCCTGTCTCGCGATACTCGAGAAACTTGGTCTCGTCTTCGCCGATGCATTGAACCATGGCCATGGCGTCTTCCTCTTCACGCCAGCTCATGCGAGCTCCTCTCCACCCGCGGTTCCAAACTCGCACATACCGAAATGCGCGTCTCTCAGTCCCATCACGCACCTTCTCCTCGACTCGCGCAACATGTGACAAGCAAAACTTCCACAGGAAAGAGTCCTTCAGGTCACGGCTCAACGCTGCACTCAAGAATACCAAGATCAAGTGGGAGCCGATACCAATAGCACTGGGTATTGGCTTCCTAGGCGCATTCCAGCTCTATCGCATACAACGGAGAGAGAAGCACACAGAGGTTGAGAGACAGAATGGCGAAGAAGGGGCAGTGGACAACCAGGGCCGGCCCAAGAAGCGTGAGAGGATACGACCGAGTGGGCCATGGACAGTCCAGGTCATGTCCACGCTACCGCTAAAGGCTCTCTCGCGAGTCTGGGGGCGCTTCAACGAAATCGACATTCCATACTATCTCCGAGTCCCCGGCTTCAAACTCTACTCCTGGATATTCGGTGTCAAGTTAGTAGCCATCCCCCTAGCATCGTCGCTCCATGCTGACCAGCCGCAGTCTCTCTGAAGTCTCAGAGCCCGATCTCCATGTCTACCCTAACCTCGCTGCCTTCTTCTACCGCACCCTCAAACCCGGAGTCCGCCCTCTAGATCCCAATCCCAACGCCGTCCTTTCTCCCGCAGACGGCAAAGTCATCCAGTTCGGTACCATTGAGCACGGCGAGGTCGAACAAGTCAAGGGCGTGACGTATAGCTTGGATGCACTGCTAGGTTCCACCAAGCCAAGTGCACCTGGTCAAAACGTCGCAAACTCACAGGTCATCACTAGTGAGCACGAGAAGACAGCAAAAGACGAGGAGGACACTGTCCGCGCCGACGAGGAATTCGCAAACGTGAACGGCATCTCCTATACTCTCCCCAACCTGTTTTCGGGACCATGGCCGAAAGGCGGAAAGCCATCAGAGATGCCAACCGATCAGTCTACCGCACCAGCCGCCTCTTCAGAGGCTGAGGTACGCGCCGAGATGGCATTGAGTGAAGCTGAGCGCCCTTGGTGGGCACCCGCATCTAGCAAGACCCCTACAGCACTCTACTACTGTGTCGTATACCTTGCACCAGGCGATTACCACCGTTTCCACTCTCCAGTTTCATGGGTTGTCGAATCGCGCCGTCACTTCGCCGGTGAACTGTACAGCGTGTCACCATACCTACAACGCACCATGCCCGGCCTTTTCACATTGAACGAGCGCGTCGTATTACTCGGCCGCTGGCGATGGGGATTCTTCTCCTACACACCCGTCGGCGCAACAAATGTCGGTTCCATCAAGATCAACTTCGATCGCGAACTCCGCACAAACAGCCTCACCACCGATACTGCCGCCGACCGTGCTGCCGAAGAAGCCGCTTCCCGTGGTGAACCGTACTCTGGGTTTGCTGAGGCTTCTTACACGTCCGCTAGTCGTGTGCTAGGTGGCTACTCCCTCAAGCGTGGTGAAGAGATGGGTGGTTTCCAACTGGGAAGTACCATTGTATTGGTCTTCGAGGCGCCAAAAGGTATAAGGCCTAGTCTTGATGAGGGTTTCACTGGTATGGAGAGAAAGGGTGGATTCAAGTGGAATATTGAACAAGGGATGAAGGTCAAGGTTGGAGAGGCTTTGGGCTATGTGGAGGAAACACAGCAATAGTCGATTTACTCTACTCATGCATATGCAGCAAATGATACCACTTAGCAAAGTTGGTTGGTGCAGCGGTTGTCTACTACCATTTCAGCTGAATTCACCATGACATAACAAACGATCTGCTGACGAAGTCGGCGTCGATTGGCTTTTGTTAGTGCAGGGTTTGACCGCGAGAAGTAATACTGTGTGGTAATGGTAGAGTTCGGTATTTAGCTCAGTTCAATGTCTGGAGTATTGTCAGTGTTGATAAGTCGCTTGGAAGGAAAGTGAGCTCAGGCGCAGATGCCACTCTTGGTTTTGGGTTGGATTGACTCCTGGATGTTGTCTTCGGATGTGGCTATGGTGGTAGCCTGAGGAGACATCAAGTTGGGAAGTAGCGACTCTGCTAGAGTACTGGGTTGGAGAAGTGTAGTAGTACTGTTGCAGTCATGGCTTTGAATATTAAGCTTGCGACGAGGCACAAGAGAACTGCTTGGACATCGTCATGCGAAGAGTCACGTGCGTGAAAAGGAGTGAGCATACGGGGTGGTGGAAGTTTTGGGTGCCGAAGGCTGAAGTATCACAAACAAAGATATTGTAATTGAAGGTGACAGTTCCCAGTCGATGCGGATGTAGAGAAAGAACAGACATGCGTATCGGCTAATACTCTCATTTCTGACTAGTCAGGTAAATGAGACGTAGTAGCAAACACATCTTCGTAACCCCACACCGTCATCTCAACATACCTAAGACCCTCCCTCGTCCGGCATCCTACCTTAACCCCCCTCTCCTCCATCAACCCCATCTCTGATTCAATCATACTCTTTGTCTCTCTCCCTCCTCCAAACTTCCATCCCAACCAATCCCCAGAATGCAATGATAACTATTATCACTCCAGCAATCTTAATCATAAACACCTGCTCATCTCTTCTGATCTGTCCCTCGCCCATACTCAACATAGGAGTTTGCTGCATACGGCGCCGGGGAAGCGTACCAAGTTCCACGTCGTGTGGATGAGCGGGCGCGCGCTTGAAAAGACGAGATACGAAGTTTCCGTTTTGCACTGGTTCGGGGCGGAGTGGTAAGTCTGCTGGAAATGATGATGTGGGCGACGAGGGTTCTGGAGCGGAGGATATGATGATGATTGGTGTAGAGGTAGGCGAGATAGGTGATGGCGGCCATCCTGGATGCGTGATTGATGGTGAGTCGGGTGGCGATGGTAGTCGCTCGTCTGTTTGAGGGGATGGTGGAGGCCGAGGTGATGTCTCGTATGATGATGGTGCTTCTGCAATCTTTGGATATAGCAGTGAGGATAGTGGTTGGCGTGGGGATGTTGGCAGTGCCACTTCTGACGCCTCTGGTGAGTGAGACCGAGGTAGATTGGTGAATGAAGCCATGACTTTGAATTTTGAGAGCTGCTTATTGAGTGAATGGCTGCCGGAGTCGACTTCGACAAGTCCCCGAAGTTTTAGAGTCGCAAATAGATATGGAGTGGGGAGGGGAATGGATGGTAGCCAAGTGCCTGATAAACGCGTAACAACCAATGAGCGCTTGGGCTCGGACTGGAAGTGAAGGTAGGATTAAAGTGAGAACAGTATTAACGTAGGATAAAACTGACAAGTATTGCAGGAAAGTGCTTGCGAAATACTTGGGGGGTTTTTTTTCATTCAAGTTTCGAACATCAGCTAAGTGTCATCAATGGTTTTCCAGTCAGACTTAGGCAGTGCCTTCAGCTCAACTTCCCATCACTTGATGCTTTTCCTTTTATTTCTGCTTCCTTGGTCATTATGGTAACGTCTCAGTTTCTGCCCACTCTCAGTCCCACTCATCTTCACCGATAATGTCACCGCTGTCAATGACCAAAAGTAGACGTTCCATCTTGTAACACTCGTTTGCTCCAAAGCTTGAACTTTTTCATAAGCTTCTTTCTCCCAGGGAGTCAATCCAGCCATAAGGAGATGCAAACGCCGGTCAGTGTACGAAGACAGACGGTGCTAAAGGCCAGTCACGCGAAGACGTAGTACTAGATCATAAACAAATTTGCCGTAGAGGTTATACCACAGAGCCTCCATCCTAGTGTCACAGTGCTGCGCGTCTGCTGCATCTCGATCGAGGAAGTTGAAGCTTCCCAGAGAAATGCTGTTCACAATTATCTGCGCAGGACCTTCGCTAATGGTCCGTAACTTTAGATACAGAATCGTACCGGCTCCTGAGTGAATTCCGTGACAGGTAGCGAGGACAGCAAGGCTGGGAAATGTCTTGCGAACTACCTTGATAGAGTATACTGGCAAGTTGCAGTCCAAATGAGGACTCTTGAATTGTGGTCTCTTTTCAATAAAATGGTCGACTGTGTGAGCAAGCTATTCATAAACCATCAAATGCCGTTTTTTTTTTTTGGTAGATTGAGGAACTGAAACACGTCTTCATTGGCCATGTTGGTGAGAGAAGAATCGAGTGATGTGTGAATTAAGTGGGAATGGTTGTGGTAAGAAGAAGCCTCGTACGAATCAACTTAATTATGGGTGATTTTCGAGAAGAAAGACTGGTTTCGAAGTCTGAGCAGGTCCTACAATACAGTAGAGTGACTTGCGTAGGTGAATTACTCGAAACGAGGGATATTTTGTTTACACGGTGTCGTAGTGCGGAATTTTCATCAGTGTTCACGCACTTTGGTACAGTACCTACACTATTAACTCAACATACAATGTTAGAAACGTATTGTTAACTTGATTCGTACCCATTTCCTGAGTAGGCTCGCAGCAGATGCCCTATGGTGGGGTGTTGAATCAATATTACCTCCATGCATGTGCCATCGGAGGAGAGGAAACGCGGAACAGTGTCTCATACTGAGATTGTTCCTTGCAGCGCCGCACTTGTGCAGATAGTAGGCTATCCATGCACCATTGAGGAGGCGTGCATAACCGCTTTGACCTGCATACCTTTGCGCCAACCTGCTGTCCGGCCACGGGTTGAATTATGACCGTACAGCGCCGTTGAAGTCTGGAAACACCGATGACTGAGCGTGAGTATATTGCGTGCAGAAAGTGGCCGATGGTCAGCCTTTAGAGACCTCAGCCTCGGGTTAGCGTTTGGACGGAAATAGTGTAATGGTAGAAGCTTGGGAAACCTTACACAGGCATCACAACCGAAGCGGTAGCAAGCTAGTCTAAGGAAGTTAGGGCATGTCAGACGCTAAAAATAGCTGCATGACATTTGACAGAGCTGAGGAAGCAACATGCAGTAATGGCCCGTATTCAGGTTTGCTCGCTCCGAGACAGTCTTTGATGGTTCTGATGCAACTTGTTACTGCAAGCGTTTGTTGCCTCGAACATGTGGCAATGTTACAATTGCACAGACAAATGCCGCATCACGGGGATTGTGTGAGTAGAAGTGACGAGAAAAGGTATCAGTATTTTGCATGATCGCGGGAACCCTAGTTGGTAGGCAGGGCGCCTGCAGCTGCATGCATCTTGATGAAAGAAGGCGCCGCCTACACTAACACCTGTTGTCCCCACTTGGTGTTCTTTTTGCAGTTTACCATGCGCCGGGATTTTGGGCACAGCATACGTATCTGGGTTCAGAAATGTTTGTTGTCGCGTTGTGTTACTGAGATGTGGGAGTGCCAGCCACAAGACGGGATGGATGAAACGTCGAATACCTGGAACGACATGGAAGGCCTCAGAGGTGGTCTGGTGGGTACTGGGTAACGACAAGGCAGCACTGCCACGGCACCAGATGTCGCGATCTCAGCGACTCATTCCGGTGTTAACTGGAGCGGGACTGGTGTTGGCTTCTCCATGTCATTCCAATTGCTCCGCAGGCCTGCACGTGCGGCAGGGCCTAGGCTGATCACCTACGCCGTGCATCTATGGAGCTCGATGCATTGTACTTGAGGAAAGCTGTCCAACCGCGCGCAATGCAGTCTTACCCGGGTATAGTTCATGGTTGCTCAGTCTTGTTTTATTATTAGCTGAGCGCGTTCGTCTCCGCCCCGCCATCGACAACCTGCTTCCAGGCGGAGCTCTGAAGCTGCCAACACTGCGATGCCTAACTTCCCATGGACCAAGTCGAATCGGTCGCACCAATCTGTCGACAATTCCTCGTCAGGGCAGCATTCGCCCGTGCCATCTGGTAAGGAAGCTTTTGGTCGGCCAATCGTCGGCACGGCTGACGGTCAAGCGCTGGCAGTGAACGAACAGGTTGCAGGCCAGCAGCGATACCATACATCGGACGGCCAGCAAGCGCCTGTACAGGCTCAGCAGCCTTCTGTGCAACAACAGCAACAGCAACAGCAACAGCAACAACAACAGCAGAACTTGGCTGGACCTCGACCGCAAGCTCAATATAGCGAACAGCCTCCCCAGCGCACCACAAGTCACAGGCTGAGCGCCCATCTCTCTCTGGGTCAGTCGTCGCCGTCGCAGAATTACCAGCAACAACCCGGCCCTCCGCCAGCGTCTGGTCTTGAGTCGCCTCATCGCGGCCCCTATCAAGCTCAGCCTCCGCCCGCTGCATACACGCCAGAGCCTAAGAAACAATCGCTGCGCAGTCGCATCGCAGCCGGAGTCAAAGGACACAAGGACCAGGAGGCCAAAGCACAAAAGAACGGCCTGGGCAGGCGCCAGTCAGTCCGGAAGAGCGATCCCCGTGTCCAGGAGTACCAAGCGCAGGAAGAGAGTCGCCTGCAGCAGTGGCATCAACACCAAGGGCCGACCTCTCATCTGCCCGCCTCCAACGAGCAGGACGAGGACAATCTCGATCCATTCCTGCAGAAAGACAGCGACGAGACGCCCCAGGTACCGCCCAAGGACGTCCAATATCAGCAGAACCGGCAGCAGCCTCAACAACAATTTGTTCCCCAGCCGCATCAGGAACAGTACAATCGGCCCCCACTTGGCAGGGTAAGCACCGAGGGGAGCTATTCGACCCAAGGCGGGGTAGATCAATACAGCCCCGAGCAACACCAAGGTCAGGGTCTGCAGCAACAACGGCACCAACAACAGCAATACCAAACCTACCAGCCTGCCGTTCAATCCCCACAACCCTCGAACGACTACCAGGCCTTTAGCCCACAGAACGTGCCAAGCCCTCTCCTCCAAAACGCTCAGCCGCATGGTCAAGGTGGTCAGGTACCACAAGACATCCAACAGACTTACCACCTATACCAACAGCAGCAAGCAAGACAGCAGGCGCAAAGCCAGTCGTCGCTAGAAAACGCTCAGCAAAACTCTCTTTATCCGCAGCAGCAGTTTGCGTCCCAGCTTCAGCCGCACCAAGATTCACAACAACAGCCTCAATCTGTGCGACCTGCCTCACAGCAGCAGACTGACTTGCAGCACCCGCAGACAGCTCGTCAGCATCCTCAGATTGCCCAAGAAGCCCAGAAGATTGAGTCGCAACAACGCCGACCCCCCTCGTCCCACCAGCTGGCCCCACCATCTCCCCTTCAGCCGTCGTCCTATCAGACCTACGACGTCCAGCATTCGCAATCATCCGATCTCCTGCCGGCAAACATAACACCCCCACAGCAATCGCAGGATAATATGGCACCTAGTGCTCAGAGCAATGCGAGGAACACACTGAGAAAGGTGGTCGACGGCAGCCAACCGCAGCCAGGGGCACCGTCTCGAGAGTCATCGCTACTCTCACAGCCTCCCGCTCAAGGTCAGCCACTCGGTCAGCCGCCTGTATCGCCGGGCCTCGCAACATTCGACGCTAACGTCGTGCCAACAGCTTCGCAAGGGCAGCCATATCGCGGTGAGAAGCAGAGCCAACAGGGTTCAGAAATGGGACGGGCAACGCCTCCACCAGGGAAATCTGTCACCGATATGTCGGAAGAGGATGTCGAGAAGCTTCAGAAAGAGCATGACGTCTTGCGTAAGTGGATTTTCTCTGAATGAGCTCATCTCATCTAACACTGCATAGGCGAAAAGTACCAAAAGGTCAAGCGATACTTCTTCGAGCAACAATCACAGGTTCATCAGCTACAAAACACCCTCGCAAACCAGCGCTTGTCGCTATCTCGCACCTCTTGGGACGATAGTGAATATGCAACGCGCTTCAATCGATTGGACGGATTGATAGCACAGCTGTCTTTTTCCATCCGTAAGGATTGGAAAACCATACCCCAGTGGCTGCATGTCGTGGTCAACAAAACAGCTGTCGAGACAGGCAAGCAGGAAATGACGGCTGTTGGCCGTGCCTTCATCTCGCATTGGTTGGTGGAGAACATATTCGACAAGTACTTCCATCCGGACCTCGAGCCTGGCTTTTCGACACAACTGCAGTCGATCGTTTCGAATATCCGCAAGTTTGCGCCACCTTGCCACAGCACAGAGGATGAAGACACACTTGCTGCGAAGATCATCAACTGGCGGCTAGCCACATTGGAAGGTCTTGCTGACACGCTGAGGGCACCACAAGCTACGGCCAATCGTGAGGCACTGACTGAGACACTCAATGAAAAACTCATTGCGTCTCTCCAGATGCATTTGAATGACCCTGCGCCTGCAGACCTCAACGGAGGCGTGCCTATGATCATCGAACTTGCCATTAGCATTGCTCAACATTTACCCCTGGAGAGCCGCGAAGTACATATTGAATACTTTCCTCCGGGTCACGGCATCGTGGCCGACTTCATGAAGCTGGAATCCGGCATCCCCGCATTGACAGCTCCCATTATGGAGTTGGATGACGCCGATAGAGCTTCGATCAGAAGCATGGCATCCAGACCTGACGACAATATGTCAATCGTCGATCAGGACCAAGCACAGCTACAAGGTAGCCAGCCACCAAAAGAAGACAAGAAGCGCAGTATGTTTGGATTTGGCGGATCAAAGAAGCCTATAGCTTCCCCTGCCACCCTGGGCAAGCGGGAATCGTCGCTCGGCCAAGGAGGCAGCCAGCAAAGTCTTACTCAACATCCGCCGGGTAGCTCTGGAGGACCAAAAGACGAGTCCCCACCACCACGTGTGCGCATGGCCGTTGGTGTCGCAGTACAAATTCGCGGAAAGAGCATCTTGATCAAGGCACCAGTGTACAGCACTTGAGTGATGACGATAATGAGATGGATGATTTGGATTGAGCGATCTAGCAAGCAAGCGTTTCGATAATTTCCTTCTTCACTTCTCCACCGTAGGATTGGGCTCTCAGATTGGATCTACTGCATCTAATATACCCAGGACGATTCATGGCGTGTTTTTGAGCGTTTCGTTAGTCGACTTGAAAGTGCATACCGATACCCTCGCTGCTGTTACGGTTAGGACATGAATAGCAACATATTGCCTTGTATCATGGGGCAGGATTTATCTTTTCAGAGTGGCTTTGCCGGAATAGACATGTGTGGGGTTTCTCACAGCCCGACAGGCATGCTCACACTTCACACGCGACAACCACGCTAATTGCGGCCACTTTGAACTCCTATTGGCCAGCACCCGCACCTGCCCTTTGTTTACCGAATCCAAACATTCTCGTCGCATACCTTGAACACTGCCGATAATGGAAGACATATTCGTGACCACGCAATTCAAATGTAGGCGATGGTACGAGGTCATAACATCCGACAGCTACTGACCAGTGCCAGCAACTAATGCCTCCGTCCCGTCACCGACCGCAACGCATGTCGCATGCCTCAACGGCGCACGTCTGCAAATACGATGCCTCACCACCTTGGAAATCGTGCGGAGTATCGCAATATCTTCAAGTCAAGATCTGAGAAGCTCGAGAATCGCCTGGTCACCACCAACCACACCGCCATTGACCTCTTCCACGTCGAAACCCTCACCCAACTCAACACCTCCCCGCCGATCGTCGCGTACGCCACGGCCTTGCTCAAACCGCGTCCTCCTATGTGATGACGACACAACGCGCGTATACGATCTTCGCGATGAGAGATGGAACGCTGTGATCAGCAATGGCTCAGGTGGCATGGGCAAGAATGTACATGCCGAGTTCGGCGCGAATGAAGACGAAGTGCTTATCTGGAGTGACTTCACCGCATGCGTCAAGATATGGTGTCTGAAGACTGGGAGGGCCGTGGAAATACGTGATCCAAAATTCTTGGGTAAAGACGGCAAGGGGTGGGGATATCGACCTTCCGAGGATGCGTTATCGAAAGGCGGAAGAGCAAGAGGGTGTGTTTTGGCATTATTATGTCGCGCAGCAGGCGCTGATATTCTACTGCTTCTGGCGCCAGGCACATACAAGCTTCTCAATCGCGCCGAGCTTACGACAACCGATGCAGTAGGTCTACGATGGAGTCGCGACGGCCGCTGGCTGGCCGTCTGGGATGCGGCCTCTGCTGGCTATAAACTGCATATTTACACTGCCGATGGACATCTGTATCGCACCATAACTCGCGAGCCCTCGGACGACGCCAGCGAGTGGGAAGTCGAAGGCTTAGGCATCAAGACTCTTGAATGGCTACCTGGAAACGAACGTCTAGCAATTGGTGGCTGGGACCGTCGCGTCCGCATCCTCTCTACGCGTACCTTCGCACCCGTCGTCTTCCTCGATCATACACCCGTCATCGATGTACCCAGTGCACCTGTACACAGCGAACATATCGATAGTCAAGCCAATCGCAGCTACACAACCACTCAACAGCCCGTCACCCCTCCCAAAGCTGCTCTGGAGAAGAACGAAACAGGACTAATGAAGCAAGGGATCGGGATGTTGACTTTCAACGCAGACGGCACATTATGCGCAACGCGCGACGACAGCACACCCTGTACAGTGTGGATCTGGGATTTGACAATCCTCCGACCACGATGTATATTAATCCAACATAGCCCAGTTAAGAACCTGCTCTGGCACCCCACCGATCCCAACCGTTTACTCATTCAAACAACGCAAGACGAACCTACCGTATATCTCTACACAGCTGCCTCGCCTCACATACCCAAGTCTTCAACCTCTTCCTCCTCAACAGTCCATGCATCATCGCATTCCCACCAACATCCCCCAGCCATCCTTACCCTATCCCATCAAATCACCAAACCAGCCGGCTCAGCACCACCTCGCTGGACGACATCCTGGCTCTTGACCCTTCCGGACAAGAAACCGGCGATTATCTTCGGTCATCAACAAGCTCATGTACTGGTCTGGCCAGAGGGGAAAGATAAGATTCTGCGCTTTGAACATGAGGATGAGGATGAGCAAGGGGATTCGGATGATAGCTTGTTTGATATACTTACGGGGCGGACGCCGATACCCGAGTTGAGCGTGAGTAGGATTGAGGCTGGGGGGGATGGAGAGACGGAGGGGGAACAAATGGAAGACGAGGATGGGTTTGGGTATGGGGATAGTGTAGGGACGGTGCAGGGGTTGGATGATACATTCAGAGGGAAGAGGGGGCAGGAGTATATAGATGATGAAAGGGAAACAGGGGGCAGGGAGCCAAGTCTTTACGAAGAAGGAGTATTGGGTGAGAGCGGTATGAGTGAGATGTTTTGACCGCTCTTGGTTTACCAAGCCTCTGGAGTTTGGGGGTTCTTTGAGGGATATATATACCCATAACGTCATTTCTTTTCCTAGATAACACAGAGCTGAGAACTTTGATAAACCCTATCCTACACTAATTACCTTTTCCCATTTATTATTTCTCATCCTGGAATCCCCACCGTCCCGTCTGATCCAAGCCCAGGGGATTCTGCCCTGTCTGCTCCTTTCCAGCAATCTTCTCTGGTCTACTCTCGTAGCTATCCTTGTTCTTTCCGCCTAGCAACTCGGACCTCTCCTCCTCGTGGCCCAGGAGGGGACCAAGAGCGGGTCGTGTGGTGCCGCCGAGGGCGTTGCCGAGGGGGCCTGTTACGCCTTTCTCTAAGGGGGCGCCAATAGGGCGGAGGGCTGTGCCTAAGACGTTTCCTGAAGGAGTGAGGTGTTAGAAAGTGGGTTGGCAGTTGTGAGAGAATGCAGGGTTAGGCACAGAGGTGGGAGAGGGATGGAAGACATACCAATGGGATCTCCAATCGTGCTCAAAAGACCTCCAGAGCTCTTCTTCTCTTCTTGTTCATCATCCTGGGGTTCAGTCTGAATGTGCTGTTGTTGAGGCTGCTCTTCTTCCTTCTTGTCTGACATATTGGACAACCTTTGGTTCGCGCGTTCGATACTTTGGATATGTAGACTTGTTGTTTATTTATTTTGGAGGTTGGGAATACGTGGCAGGAGCTAATGAGTTTCTAGAGTTAGTTGTTTAGGGGTCTGGAGAGGAACGGGTTTTATGTGAGTTGCGTGAGGTTACGCGGCGCGTTTCCAAGCTTTGGGTAAGGTTGTGACGTCACACGTCATGGGTGGGGATGGTTTGACGCGCTCCCTTTCTTTTGGCGGGGTACGCGACAAGGGGGTTGACGACATGAACATCGGTATCACACCACACAAGGGGTTGAAGAATCTGCGAAAGCAAGTATCTTTTTCAGAGAAGGACCTATGGTATGGTTTCAATGCAAATGGGCTGTAATAAGAGTTGCAAGATCTGTCTCCCTTCGATGCCCATATGCGAGAGACTCCGCTAGATGCAAGTGTTACCACGACACATAGAAGAAACTGAAGGAAGAAGCAATTTCCGTTTCATCATCATCATGATGAGATGCTTACCACGGTGAGTTCGCAGTGCTGCAAAGCAAGAAAGACAATTTGTGAAACACTTTTGGTTGTGTAAGAGTAGGCACGCTCGACCGATCTGCGTCGATGGAGTGATGGAGTTCTCAACGGTTGATGCTATGGCAAAACCTTCTTTTCTTCAGACTAGCGATTGGTGCCTGTAATGTGAGTGGAGGGTTATCTGAGTGGTCGCATATGACTTACCTAGCATCGACAGCAGTAGTGTACGAGCATGTTCAGCCGGCGACAGTGGGACGAGCGCTTGGATCTATATCCTCATTGGTATGGTGCGCAAAGATCGAAACGTCCACAACTTTATCGTACTTGTATCCAACTTTTGGGAGTCGACCAACGCAGACGAACTTGCAAGCGCTCAGGAAGTTGCCTCGCCAATCAGCATCCAAGTCTTCGCCGTTCTCGTGGTGAACGTTGAGCAGAACGGTCTTGATAATCCTCGACGGTCCAGTTTTGAGGTATTCATCATCGTTGACGTACTCATATCCACCACGAGCGCGGTAACTGGTATCAACCATCTCGAGAAGTCGATCCACAAGGCATTTGCCGAGCCCCTTAGAAACGAACCCCGGGTGGACGAACAACTCCATCTCAAACGTATAGCGGTATGAGCTTGACTGATCACAATAATCGTCCAAGTTGATGAAGCCGGCTATCTTCTCGCTCACATATCCTGGATCAGCCCTGGACTGGTTACTCTTGGAGACGGCTACCAAGTATGGAAGGCCCGCGTTAACAATATCGAGCATCCGTTGAGCCATCTGAACCAGGGTACGTTCGTCAAACTCAGTGGCACAGATAGTGTTGTTGATATAGTAGTTGTAGATCTCCTCATGATGATGTTAGTATTGTTTGTTTGATCTTACGAGTTTACGGAGAAGTCGGGGATCGCGAAGCCAACTTACTAAAATGCCTTGCACGTCCATCGCCTTTACAGGTCGAATGTATATATTGGCTTTAGGGTACAACCGACGGTCTGCCATCTGCGGAATAGGGGACCTTGATTCTGGAACAGGGCGACTCCGCTTCGCCATCACCTTGCGATGCCTTTCCGCTACACGCTTGTTCTTCTCCTCAACCTTGTCTAGAGCGGAAGCTAACATCCAAGATGCCGACGGATATTTAGGATCGTCAAAGTTGACCCTGGCATCCGGAACGTCTAAGGCGCGGAGGTAGCTAGTGGCGTGTGTAATGATCCTCTGGTCCTGGCCGTCGTCATCGTTGATGGTTTCCGTATGAACCACATCTTCGTATAGCTCCCACCAGGGCAAGTAGTCGACGAGGTCGCTCTCATCCAGAGGCTTTGGCTCTTTCTCTGGGTTTACGAGATCCTTCCAGACCTCTCTGAGGCTTTCACCCCCAACCTTTACCTCGAGCCAGTAACGAGGTGCCAACTCTTTCGCGTCGGCAAATGTATCGGGTGGGTAGTACGGGGTGACTCCATCTTTCCAGTGTGGAGGATGTGTATTTATCCATTGCTCTATGTGCGCACCGAAATGACGGTCTGTATGACCTTTGCGAGCGGCCCATGTTTCAGGAGCAGGCAGCCAATCGCCGCTCCAGTCCGTCAGCTTCTTGATGTCGTAGTATGGGTCTCCATTGCTGTTAGACTTGAAGTCGATGCCGCCATCACTATCGCTACTGGAGGGTATGTACTTCATATCCTTCGACTTGGGCCAAACTGCCCTCTTGTATGGCTGTGGGCCTCGAGGCCATCGTGGGTTTTCAGAGTTCTTGGGAGCAGCTGGAAGATCAGCTTTGGGCTCGTCCCAGCCATTGTAGAGGGCTGGCTCCGGCGTCGCAGACTTGCACTGCCCTTTCTGCTTATGCTCTAGCGAGGTAGTTGGCGATGGTGATGATGAGTCCTGCCGATGAACTGCACCGTTGCTGTGAGTGTGTTAGTAAGTCTAGATCATATGCTGTCTTCCATGACTTCGAGACGTTACATGGTAGACTTACGGGATAGGGTCAGTCTTGCTGGCAATTGCTGCCTTGGACAAGTCAGATGCAGCAGAGGATGCATTCACAGCAACATCGCTACTATGAGCAGAGTGCACCTTTCCAGCGTCGGCAGAGCTACGGTTTCGCAGATGAGGAGGGACGTATACCCTTGCTGTACCGTTAGGGGACCTGGCCATGTTGTTGCTCTTAGCCTTCTTCTTCTTCTTGTTGCGAGACCGATTCTTGCACAACGGCTTCTGTTCCTTGATCGCGTCGTTGATGTGGGGTGGAGGTGGGCGAGTCGGTTTGGAAGATTCGATGGCACTAGCGCGGTGAGTGGCTCCCTTACCACGTGCGTTTCGGCGCGGCTGCTCGCTTGAATTAGAGAATTCGGCTTGTTGAGCTAGCCAGCTATTGTTGGCATCGTCTGGTACTTTGGAAGGTTCCTCAATAGGCAATATCTTCCACTGTGGGCGACCAGAGGGAGGGGTTTCAAGCTTCTGTTGTGTGTTAGTCGCAAGAGCAAGTGAAGTAGGAAGGTTGAAGAAGCGACGAGATTGATATACAATCTTCTTGCAGCGGTCTGGAGTCGATATGGGAAGCTACTTGCGCCTTCACTTACACGGGATTGCCCGAAGTCCTTCTCCTGCTGCCATGTCATGGGCTCATTCTTTGGCTTCGTATGAAGGTGAGGTTCTTTGATCGAGGAGTCTTCCACTTCGACCAGTAGTGGCAGCGGCGGCATGGTGCTACGTGGACACCAGCTGTGCGCGGTTCGGCTCATGGTGCAGGTTTCCGATATGTCCCAGGACCAGAATGAGACGAACGAGGGCTGGAGAGGGTTTGAGAGACACGGAAGGAGCGGTCTCAATAAAGAGGAAGAAATTAACCTTGAGGTTCAAGACTCATGCGCCACTTTTCTATAGTCCCTTCGATGAAGTTGGTTAGTAGGTTTGGTGAGAGCAGACGGGTTCCCTCACCTCCTTCCTACGACTGAGTTTCGACTTATTGTGACACATCCCACGTGTTTGCCGCTAGTGCCTTCCAGAAACGACAGGCAGTAACTGCAAGCAGCTCAGGTCCGGCCACTGACGGTACATCAAGATATGCTCAGTATACTTGAGACGGCAAACACACATGCTGCCGATGACGGGAAATAGGAACCGAACATTGGATAAGATGTTCCAATCATATCCTCCATTCTGTGTAGCTGACAGAATCCGATGGATCCGTAGCCAAGCTCCTTGAAGAGCGACGTGGTTACGGTGTTGTTGCTGTAGCATGAAATGCCGTCGTGTGCAAGCGTCCGTAAACAGTTTAGCCGCTTGACGGACGAGCTCCACTTATTCAACTGACTGCCTGACGGACAAGACCGAACCTGGAAAGTGAAAAGCACAAAATGCTGTCGATTTTGCGAAAAGCGCGTCTCAAGGACAAGGAGATGCGAATTCTGATGCTGTGCGTATCTCGAGATTGTTTGGGAAACTGAAAGCTCACCACACCAGTGGCCTTGACAATGCAGGAAAGACGACTATAGTGAAGAAGATCATGAACGAAGATGTGAACAGCGTCAGTCCTACGCTTGGATTCATAATCAAGACGATTGAGTACGATGGGTATGTTACATCGACCCAGCCTGTGTACTGAAACTGATGAAAAAGATACAAACTAAACATATGTACTGCACCTGCATGCTCCCCGACAAAGCTGTACTAACAGCGCAGGGGATGTTGGCGGCCAGAAGACACTGCGGACGTACTGGAAGAACTATTTTGAGAAGACAGACACGCTCATCTGGGTCGTTGATGCAACTGACCGCGAGCGGATAGACGATTGTCGGCAGGAGTTGGCGGGGTTGCTGCTGGAAGAGGTTTGCACAAGCATGATCCCTCCAGATCACCATCTAACAAGAACAGCGCCTTTCCGGAGCAAGCCTGCTTGTTTTCAAAAACAAGAGCGACGTCGCCGGATCCATGACGGAAGACGAGATTTGCGAGGTGGGTTGACGGCTCACAAAGATGTTGAGGCTGGTTGGCGGGCCAATGCTAACGGTGGCGTATAGGGACTGCGACTCGACGCCATCAAGACACACAAATGGCACATTATGACCTGCAGTGCTATGACGGGAATGAACTTGCAGGAAGGTCTTGAGTGGGTGGTACAGGATGCAAAGGCTCGACTCTTCCTGTATTGAAGCGTGTCGGCATGCATCGGAGTTGCAAGGGGCAAGGCAACCCAAAGGCTCGATGCGGGTAGTGCATCGGTAGTGGAATGACAAGTTCCAACCGCCCAATTGTGGAGCTGGCGTCAACTGGCCGCAGCTGGAACGCTGATAGTATAAACAAACAGCCATCAAGGCCGTCTTCACGACCTGCATTACACTTTTCCTCTGCCACTCTCTTTGCCATTCGCTCGTTTGATGGTGTCTGCCCGCCAGCCTTACGTCTACATCCCTTCTGCAACACATGCGAGCATTTGCAGCCAAGAATGACATAACCGAGTCGAAGCAATTTAACGTCTGTCTAGCTCAAGATCCGCCTGGGATTCATTTCACTGCCGGGCATCTTCAACCCTTGCGCACAACTCCCGTAGCGCACATTGGCCTGTGATTGCCCAGCTTTCTCATCGCCCACACCACCATGTCGTCTGAGGATAGTAAGGAAATCGATCCTTCCGAGTTCGTGCAGCGGATTCAACGGTTAGGCGACCAACGAGACCGCGAGGATGCCGAGCGCGTCAAGAAGCTGGAGGAGGAGCTGATACAGGGACGCAGCGAGCGACTAGCGCGGAGAGCAGGTTTGTTTTTATGTCCCTTGGACCTGTTCACGACTGATGTTTTCCCCAAACAGAACGAGCCCGTTCAATCTCCCCCGACAAGCCATATACTCCCCAATCGCCGCGCTCTGCCACCGCCACCCCCCGAATGGTACAGGAAAAGGCTGCCAGCACGCCCACACCCACCATGAGCCCTCCCGCTCCAGACACGGCACGCGATGAGTCGCTGCAGCGCCTCACGACCTCTCCCACACCGGCGACTCTCGAGGACACAGAACCCAAGAAACCTGCCACCAGCGCGGCAGCATTGGGGCGGTCAGGCACGCTATCGTGGAATCAGAGGCCCAAATCGGGCAGCATACGCCGGCCACTGTCCGTAGCATCACGCTCACCCGAACGGGCTTCTGCTAGCAACACGCCCGAACCGCCGTCCTCGCCTGAGGCCAACCCCTCGAGAAGCTCCATCGCGGCGTCATTAGGCGCCAAGGATCCCGCTTTCTTCAGACAGTCGGCAGATGGCGGACGGGGCTCAGCGGCTTTTAGGAAAAACCAGGATGATGCCGCTTCAGAGACGGGTTCCGTGTCAGGCAGGCGTCAGCTACCGGGCATGTCACACGAGTCGACCATAGAGCCCGAGGTGAGCAGTCCGCCTACAGAGAGCATACGTTCAAGCTCGCCCGGCTCTCGGGCTGGCTCCGTGCGAGGGAGCGCCATGATGAGCAACCGCTTCTCCACCAACACATCCGTCTCCGGTGGTGATGCAGACTCTCTCGCCAAAGGACGGTCGCACCTTCCAACGCTCGACTCCCAAAAGTTCGCCCCGCCTTCCGAACAAGACTCTTCGATCGACGGTGGAGACAGCGAACGTGCCGCACGCGCCCTCGCCATGTCACCGACCCAAGGGAGAATCTCGCCCGAACGGGAACGATCAGCGTCGCCTACCAAGGGCATGGGCGGCTTCGTGCAAAGTGCAATGCTCAAGCGAAGCGATAGCGTAAGCAAGAGGTGGAGCACGCAGACACCGCCAGCTCTGAGCAGGCAAAACTCAACCCTGAGCAACCGTGGGAGCGTCTATGGCTCAATATCTGGTCTTGAGCGACCTAACCTAACTAGAGACAACTCCATCGAACCCTCCTCCTCGCGCCCCGCCTCGAGCTACAGCAATGCGACCATAACCGGGGCCGACAAGGACAGCGCATCAAAGGACGAGTTTGTCAAGCCAGCCCTGCCCCACCGTCACAGTAGAGCCAAATCTGTTGCGTCGACCTTCAGCGACAAGGACGCACTACAAGACGATTTCTCTCCCCCAAGCCCCTCGAAGCGGTGGAGCCCTACAAAGTCGACCTGGTTAGAGAGCGCGCTGAGCAGGCCAGAGTCGCCAAAGCCGAAGCAATCAGCACCGGCGCAACCCGCGTGGATGGCAGAAATTAACCGCATCAAGCAACAGCGTAGTAGTGTCGACCTGGGCAAGGGCAGCCCATTCGGAGAGCCGTCTGGGTCTGGTCGCACATCACCTATCAAGGACATACAACTGAAGCCCGTAGGCCTTCGCAGGCCGGAGTCCCCGAAGAAGGAGGAGTCTGCTGAGCCCAAGAAGATGGAGACTCTCAAGGAGCAGTCGCCCAGTCCTACACCTGCGTTGGCACCAAAGCCCTTGTTCAACAAGAAAGAGGAAACCAAGCCTGCAGCCGAGACATCACCAACGGCAACTGAGCCTGAAGTGGCAAAGGATGTCCCTGAGGAAGCTGCTACCGAAGCACCCGCCCCTGTCCCTGTCAAGTCGGTATCGCCGCCGCCGGCCGCTGAACAACCACCAACACCAGTAGAAACCAAACCAGTAGCGTCGCGATTCAACCAGGATACTGGGCGTGGTCTCCCAGCGGCGAAGCCGAAAACTCCGCCGAAGAAAGACTTCCGCGCTGGATTGAAGCCGCGTCGACCGCCTCCTGATAATTCAAAGAAGGACGGAGAGGTCAATGAATTGCAGAACGTATTTGGCAGACTAAGAAAGGCTGAAACCAAGAACTATGTTGCGCCTGATGTGCTCAAGGATAACATTACACGAGGCAAAGGCGCTCTTAACATAACTGGTGGCCCCAAGCCTACAGTTCGCAAAGACGAGTTCAAGGAGAGCCTCATCAAGAGGAAATCTACCATCTTTGACAAGGCTCAGGAAGAGGGCTCTGCGTTGAAGAGGTCGGACAGCGCATCGAAACCATCCCCTCCGACACCAGAGGCTATTGCAAAGAAGAAGGGCTTGAACCGAGCAGACAGTGACCCGAAAGCTGCTGCACCGAAAGAACCAGAGCCCATCCCGGAAGCTCTGATGAGGAGGAAGAGTTTAGCGGCGAATAGGCCTGTCATCAACGACAAGGCAGCACAGCCCGCACCCGTCTCCACGACAAAGGAGCCAGCCATGTCTGGCAAGCTCGCAGGTCGCTTCAACCCTGCACTAGCTGGTATGCTCGCTCGAGGCCCACCTCCTCTTGCAACGAACAAGTCTACATCAAGTGCTGAGGTAGACGTGTCTCCTACCAGGCCTGCGCAGGAAGAGGAGAAGACCGGACCCGCCCCAGAGCTGCAACACATGACCAAAGGTCGCGCCCGCGGACCGAAGCGAAGGGCGCCCGCCTCGAAACCCATGACTGCCGAACCGGAAAAGACTCAAGAAAAGGCTCAAGAGAAGGTACCTACTGCTGCCGTTGCTCCCTCGGTGAAACCAGAGCATGTCCTTCCTAGCTCTGAGCCTTCCAAGACTAACGGAAAACCAGAGGAGCGACCAGTAGCCAGGACGCCAGCCAGACAGTCGTCGACTGATAAGCCTGCCACCCCAGCCAAATCAGCGCGCATCTCTTCCGGAGCTTTCGCAAAAGTCTCCACCCCAGAACCTCCTAAGAAGCCAGAGTCCTTGGAGCTGGATCGAAGGGTTTCTGGATCTCAGGTCACGCCCAAGCCTTCCCCACGACCAGAGTCTATCAGCTCACCGAAGCCGTCATCCCCAGGAATACCCAAGAAACCAACATCTCTGGAATTCGAGAGACGAGTCTCCGGGTCACATAACACGCCGCAGAAGTCTCCATTGCCCAAGCAAGTCGAATCGCCAAAGCCGGCCTCACCTATATCGTCCCCAGCGACACCTCATTCTCGATTCTCGCGTCCTTTGCCTACGCTGCCCTCCAAGCCAGCAGCGGAGAGTCCCAGATCGACACCACTTCGGGAGATCTCGACACCCAACGTGGAGATCTCGCCGGCGAATGATGAGCCCTCGCCTGAGAAGACTACGCTCTCATCGGTCAAGAGTGCCACCACGCTATGGGGCAGGTCATCAGCTTCTTCATCACCCGCTCCAGCACGAGTCAAGTCTCCAATCAAACTCCCTACACAAGCAGACGAGCAAGCCGCGATGAAGGATGCCGGCTTGGTTCGCTCGTCGGAGCCAGAAACCAAGGCTCTGCCCAACCCGCCACCATCGAACTCACAATCACCGACTGAATCGAAGCCCCTGCCACCAAAGCCAAAGCCTGTTGGGTTGGGCTTCAGCTTGGGAAGCCTGGGTGGGTTCGTCGCGTCTCGATCACGGGAATCTAGTCCTCAACCACCCAAGAACGCGCCTATGTCACCACCAGGAAGCGCAAACAGGCCATTCTCAGAGCCTTCCATCGTGTCACCGACTCTCCCAAAGCATGATGGGATGTTTGCAGACTTCTTTGACGAAGCTCCTGTGACTGAAGGCCAGCTGCCCGAAAATATCGATACCATGTACACACTGAAGTCGCCACCGCTTGACCTTGGTCCATCGGGGAAGATTCGTACATTGCGCAAGCAGATCCAAGAAATAACTGGTGACGGAAGACTCGCATCTGTGCCTGTGCAAGAGGAGCATATCCTGTTCCAAGATTCAATGTATCTGTGCACACATGTCTACGACGACGCAAGGGGCGGCAGGCATACTGACGTCTACTTATGGGCCGGCAATGGTGTGGCAGAACCTACACTAGAAGATGTACAACTCTTCACGAAGAACCATGCACGCCAGATCCAAGGGACGCTTTTAGTCGTTCGTCAAGGTCAAGAGACACCCAACTTCTTCGAAGCCCTGGGTGGGATCGTTATTACAAGACGTGGTGCAAAGCCAGCGTCGAAGGAGTTTGTGCTTTGCGGCCGTCGCCATCTCGGACACCTTGCCTTCGATGAAGTCGACTTCTCGCTGAAGAGTCTATGCTCCGCCTTCCCCTACCTTGTCTCCACTTCGGCTGGCAAAGTGTATCTATGGAAGGGCCGCGGCTGTTCTGCTGAGGAGCTGTCCGGTGCACGCCTCATGGGTATGGACCTTGCGCCCACTGGCGACTACAACGAAATCGATGAAGGTGCCGAACCTCAAAGCTTCCTCAACAACACATTCCCGCCCTCTTTGGTCCCAGCAAAGGGTCCCGCCATTCCCCGTTCAGCAGACCATTGGCGTTACAAAGCCACGTCCGACAAGTATCGCGTGCGCCTCTACAAGATTGAACAAACGATTGGCCAGCCGGCAGGATGGGGCCAAGCACTCCAGGTGAGCAGCTCCTTTTTCGCGCCGCTGCTACGAAGACCATCTTGGAACGCTGCTGAACAGAGGCCACAGACGCCGCTTACACCCAAGACGCCGCAAGGTGTTGTCAAGACCGAGGTCAAAGAAATCATGCCTTTTTCTCAGAGGGACCTGGAGCCGGAGAACGTATATGTACTAGACGCGTTCTTCGAGATGTACATGTAAGTTGTCTCGTCATTGCACTTTTCAAACACAGTTTACTAATGGTTCGCAGAATCGTTGGTCCCTTGTCTCGCACACAAGCGCCCGCATTCTCCACGGCCCTAATGTTTGCGCAAGCCTACGGCATGCTTGCTGTGTCAGAGGAAGACCGTCCATTCATGCCCGTTACTACGGTTGTACTAGAAGGTGTGCCTCGCGACATGAAGGTCCTTTTCCGACACTGGGATGACAAGCTCATTCCCGCTGCTGGCTTGATGAGCGGTAAACTTGGTCGAGGCAAGAGTTTGAGGATTGTTGGCTTAGAGAAGGCTATCGAGGCTACGCGGAAATAGATGATAGATGCATGGGCTGGGCTGTTCTGCTACGTTGTCATGAGCGTCTTGAGGACGAGTGGCATATTCGCGCCTTCTGTTCCCTGTACATATCTTATACTTGCATTATATCTGGCGGCAGGTGCATCGGGCTTACACATCGGCGTCACGGCGCCATTACGGACCGGCCTAAGGGGTAAGGCTATTGAGTCCGAATTTCCGCTCACACGGAGTTGCTATGATTACAACGCTTAAACTCGTGCCTCGTCGTTATGTGCTCATCGTTTCGATGACGGTAGCGTTTTGTCTATGAAAAGATATCGTCATTCTAGACCGTTGGAGTGATGCCAGGCCCAGAACGTCATCGGAGATGAAGGGACGTTTCTGAGGCGGATACGCGATGTTTCAGTTGTACTGATGTGTTCACCCGCACCATCGTATCCTTCTCGCCCTCTCTGGCCAGCTTCCCTGGTCTCACTCCGCGGACTAATACCTGGGTTCTTCGGTCGTTAACAAAACAATGTATGCAGTCTTCTAACGGGTTTTGCCGTATTGTTATTATCGGAAGAAAAGCAGGAGGCGCGACACTGGTGTAGAACGTCATGACGCATGGCGCTGTCTCATGCGTGGACTGTGCCTAAGAAACAAGACGGGGTGATGGATGGTTCATGCTTTGAGCTTGTTTCACGGTGGATCACATGATCGCTCTTGTTTTCGTATCAGCGTCGTGATGGAAGAATGTCTGGAGTTCGTAAGTGCAACGAAGGATTTGGATACGTATCAGTGGGCATGCAACAGAATTACTTCACCATGTACCTACTGAACCTAACGTCGTTCATGTCACCCAAACTTTCTTCCCATCAACCTTTCGCATCTTCCCGCCGGTACCTTCTTCGGCTTCTCTAGCCTCCGCGCTGATGCACCTTGCCCAAAGGGCTATCGGAAGACGCCACGTCAAGATTTGCCTCGAAGCGACCAGCACAGGTACACATGACCCATTTCCCCCTCTCTACACCGCATGTACAGTACAAAAAACAACCACGTCAATGCTCCGGTAACAGAACGCGTCAAGGCTTGTTAGAATAGCCGGCGGTATGTTGGCTCGCATAGCAGGAAGGTCCAGGGTATCCAAGCCTCCCCAAGCTTTTGCCGAGGGAAATAAGCACGACGATCCATGCATCGTGGTGCATGAATGGTAGGCTTCCCCACAGAACACTTTAGGTATCTACCGTAGCTTGACGGAACTTAATTAATCAAGGGTACTGCTCATTTGCGCTACTGGTGGAATCTGTCTTAGGATCTGAGGTCCGTCCGAATGAGGGACTGCCCATCCTCGGAGCGCGGGAACATCGTTCACATCTGGATAGGGCACAGGGGAACACTGGTGAGGCTTCGGTGATGGACCTTGAAACAATCGCAATATGTTTGGTGCCATGTGTTTACAGCCTTTTAACCGTTCAGTTGTATATAGATCAAGGGCTTGAAGGAAGAATAAGCTCACCACCAAGCTTCTCATCTCATCTACACAAGCATCCTTCACTTCCATTCTCTTCTCTTACCAATCAACTTCCTTCAAAATGGTTGCCTTCAGCTCTCTCGTCCTCGGCCTCACCGCCATCGCCGGCTCTGCCTACGCCGCACCCACTGCCGATGTCCCTGACTTCGAGCTCGGCGGCAAGGGCCTCGCTGCCCGCCAGGACTACAACCAGAACTACAAGACCTCTGGCAACGTCCAGTTCTCCCCCACCAACAACGGCTACAGCGTCAACTTCTCCAACGCTGGCGACTTCGTCGTAGGAAAGGGCTGGAGCAAGGGCACAACCCGCAATATCAACTTCCAGGGTTCCACCTCCCCCTCTGCCGGAACTGTCCTCGTCTCCGTCTACGGCTGGACCACCGGTCCCTTGATTGAGTACTACATCCAAGAGTACACCTCCAACGGTGCCGGTTCCGCCCAGGGCACCAAGATGGGCCAGGTCACTTGCGACGGCTCCGTCTACGACATCTGGAAGCACACCCAGGTTAACCAGCCTTCCATCCAGGGCACCACTACCTTCACTCAGTACATTAGCAACCGTGTTAACAAGAGGCCCGGCAGCGGCACTGTTACCACCAAGTGCCACTTTGATGCTTGGGCCAAGCTCGGCATGAACTTGGGTCAGCACAACTACCAGACTCTCTCTACTGAGGGCTGGGGCAACGCTGCTGGAAGGTCCCAGTACACCATCACTGGCTCATAGATTCTCCACTATGGGATGAGGCACTGAGTGCCGATGGCAAGGACATTGGCTGCTGGCGCAAATGCAGTGGTCAATTTGAGGAGGAAGATGTTTGGATGTTGATGGTTATTCTGTTGTAGATTCTTGGTTTTGTTCGTTCTTTTCGATTTCGATTCTTTTGGGGTCTTGACATACTCCTCGCATGTAAATATTGCACTTATATATAGAAACGACTTTCCTGGTACTGTTTGTCCTGAGGACAGACAGCGAAAAAATCTTTCTTCTTGCTACATGTGACTTGACTCTTAATCCGAAGGTGATGATGAACATGATTATTGGCTCTTCTGAACATAGATAGACGTGGGCCTGGCTGTTTACATGGCAAGACGGTGATGACTCGGAAACAAAATCCTGGAAGGTATCTGGATGAAGGTTGAAATATCTGATTTTGGGAAGAGTGGAACTGGAGCGAATTTAAGGGGACGCGGCGACTGAGATCTGGACAGCACACACGAGTGTGAGTAGAAGTGTGTATACAACTGAGATGATGAGATACTTCCCTGGTAATGGGCGGTCACAAGGATGCTGAAAGCTGTGAAGTGATGTTTCCATGTGCAAAACGCCAATAGATGGTATAGCCCCGCTTCGCAACTCGACGAGAACGCATCTAACTTACAGAGGCGTGACTGTTTCGTGCTGATATATCACCCACAGATACGATAGAGATGCATCTCAAGAATGTCGCAATTTTGTATGTATCTCAATGATTCAGCGTTGCAGTTCTATCGCAAGGTGTGCTTATAGTGCTCCTTGTCCGATGTGCATTTGTGCGACACATGGTCAGACATGTGCAGATACACTTGGAGCTAGCATGTCCACACTCAGCCTGCCGCTTGAGAACACGGCCAATGTAGTCTCTTCCCAGTCTTTCTCCGCGATCTTTCTAGTGATCAAACCGTGCATGTGTGTACAAGAAATAATTAGGCGAAGCAGTGTGGCTCGATGTCTTCGGCATACGAAGAAGCTCGCTTTTATGTGTTACACCCTCAATATCAAACCCATCCTTGGAGGTATATACTGTTACCTACTTAATGGGTTCTCAAAGCAGGTTACTGTGTATATCCTTACGGTGTAGTATCGCGAGGGCAAGAGTATAATCTACAAAAACGTGCTTCTTCGGAGAAACTTAAGAAGACAATAAACAGGCGGAGGCTGGCGCGAAGTGCAGACAGTTGACGTAAGATTGATGAGCATACCATGTCGATTGGCCCTGCATTCTGAGGTGTTCGCATGAATTGGAGAAAAACCAGGCCTTGGTGTTGATGTTCATGACGGCCTTGGTGTTCTGTCACAAGTGGGAGCCTTTTACACTAGACCCCAAACGGCTAGCCCCACACACGTTCGAAATTGTGTCTCGCTAAGCTATTGACCATATTCTCTCTTTCGAACTCCAACGACCGACATCCAACTCACATCAATACCGTCGTCATGGGTAGGGTCATTCGCAACCAACGTAAGGGTCGCGGCTCTATCTTCACGGCCAACACCCGCCTGAACAAGAACCCCGCCCAGTTCCGCACGCTCGACTTCGTACGTCCGCCGCCCGCACAATCGCGAAATTGGATATACTGGAACAGAGGGCTAATGGGTACAGGCTGAGCGCAATGGATACATTCGGGGTGTCGTAAAGGAGATCGTCCACGACTCCGGCCGTGGTGAGTACCCAGTCCACGAATTGGATATTTGGGCCATTTCTAACGAACTCGTGAATAGGCGCTCCTCTCGCCAGGGTCAGCTTCCGCAACCCGTACAAGTTCAAGCACAACACCGAGACCTTCATTGCCAACGAGGGCATGTACACTGGCCAGGTTAGTTGGACATTTTTGGGCAGCAGGAAATGGAACAGCATCTAACATCGCAAAGTTCATCTACGCCGGAAAGAACGCTGCGCTCACCATCGGCAACGTCCTTCCCCTCGCTTCCGTCCCCGAAGGTACCGTTCTCACCAACGTCGAAGACAAGAACGGTGACCGTGGTGCGCTCGGCCGTACCTCCGGTAACTACGTTACCGTCATCGGCCACAACCCCGATGAGGGCAAGACCCGTGTCAAGCTCCCATCTGGTGCCAAGAAGGTCCTCCCCAGCTCATGCCGTGGTATGGTTGGTATCGTCGCTGGTGGTGGCCGCACAGACAAGCCTCTCATGAAGGCGTCGCGTGCTAAGCACAAGGTACGCATAATCATAATCTGCCAAAGAGCGCAGCCACTAACACATGATAGTTCGCTGCCAAGCGCAACAGCTGGCCCAGGACTCGTGGTGTTGCCATGAACCCCGTCGACCATCCTCACGGTGGTGGTAACCACCAGCATATCGGTAAAGCCTCGACCATCTCCCGGTACGCTACCCAGGGTCAAAAGGCCGGTCTCATCGCCGCGCGGAGGACAGGTCTGCTCCGTGGTACCCAGAAGACAAAGGACTAGAGTGGTGCTTTGTGATCTGGTGGCGTTGGTCTACGACAGGAACGACAAAGATGCGGTCGGTTATTCTCTCCATACCTCTACATGCGGGTGGCCGGGCGTTATAACGAAATGGAAATTTCTCGGCAAGCTAGGCTTTCTTCTACTATGGCTTGCATGCATGATAGGTCCTTTAGGGAATGTGATTCCGAAAAATGTATCTGGTCTGAACTTCTGACACGTACCATTCATTGGTCTTGGTGATGTGCTTGTACACCGTCACACATTGAAGCCCCCTATGCTCCACCCATCTCCACGTCACCATCTCTGTCTGCCTCACTCTCACTCTCGCTCCCACTATCTTCATCTCTGCCCTCCTTGTTTTTCTTCATCATAAAGTCCAAATCCAGCACCCTGTAATGTTTTTTATCGCTCCCTAACACTACAATCACCCTCCTACCTTTCCTGCCATTGACGATTAACCTCAGTGGTGTGAACCGGCCTTCAAAGACGTGTCTCGTGTGCTTCTCGATCGTCTCACGCGTGATCGACATGTTGCCACGCGACAGCGAAGGCGGCGGCGTGCCCTGTGGAAGGAGATGATGTTGTACCGATGCGTGTGGAAGTGGCGTGTAAGTAATAAGAGGATGTTCATGAGACGCGCTATTCGTGGTAGGAGTATAAGGTAGGGAAATGATGACGTTCGATGTGGATTCATCCTCCAAGGGAAGTTGGAGGAGGACGAGCAGAGAAGTGTCGTCCGCGAATTTTGCATCGAGCACCTTCATGCCCTTTGTGGAAGGCGAGGCGGAGAAGTCGAGGGTGGAGATCGCGTAGGCGTGTATGTCCCTGCGTAGATTGGATATACTTTGTGTATGGGAGAGGCGATGGATGTTTATAGTGGTAGGTGATGATTGGGAAGCGAGGGCGACGTATGTGCTTATAATGTCTGAAGACGTGGATGGCTGTGTAGTATTAACATGTGGATTATCGGATGGTAGTAGGGTAGGAAAGGGGAGCATACCTCAAACACCATTCTCATATCCAGTACACCCATCTCACCCGTCTCCCCAGCATCTTCAAGTACCACACCAGAATTCATCTGTATGTTAGCTTCCTGCCACCTACTAACCTGCTTCAGCAGCCCGGTGACACCTGCATTTAGATGCCCAAGTACATGTTCCAAACACAACGCCTCTTCTTTAAACGTCGCACCTTCCTTCAACAACTCAACAGCCTTCTTTGTATCCTCATAGCTCGCCGCTTCTCTTCCCTTAGCCTTAGGATCCAGTTGCGCTTCTGGTTTGAAGAACGGCGCAACATCCGACCTGGTAAGTCCATATTGGATATACGCCAACACCTGTGAAATATCCACTCCAGGATCCCGTTGTTCCATCTCAGCTCTAGACTGCGAGTCCAACTCTGTAGCCTCGAAGTCAATGGTAAACCTCAGCCATTTACTAAAGCTATGAAACTGTCTCTTCTCCTCTGATGCATACAACATAGCCGTATGAGCAAGCAACCGCATATTCTTCAGCGTCTCCAGCAGCGCTGCGAACTCAGTCATCGGACCACTGAAGATCCACTCTCGGTCGTGGAATTGCGCAAGACCGCGCAGACGCGAGATGACAATGGAACAACGATCAAGTGCAGGAATGAGATTCTCATGCAAGAGAGCAAGAAGCGTAGTGAAAGATGAAGTGACGGTATTATCCCAGCGCTTATGACCTGCTTCCGCAAGTTCATCGACGAGCCATTCTTTGAGGACTGGATTGCAGTTCCCCGTGCATGCCGTGTGGAAGAGGTTTGTGACGAAGTCACCTAATTCTTTCTCCTCAAGCGTTTCGCTGATGTTCATCATGAATTTGCGGGGTAAGTCTTGGGCATGTTTGAAGAAGGCGCGGATACGTTGGAGAGTTTGCGTGATGTAGAGGAGGAGATTTTGGAGTTGCGAAGTTTTTGCGGCGATAAGGTGGAGGTAGATTCCTGCTGAGGGGATGAAGTTTAGTGTCAGAGGGACGTACGCGATGTTCTTCTTTTGTGGAGAGGCGGTAGACGCTGTTTGTATGAGGAGGCTGTGCGTGCAACTGTACGGATGGCTTGTATGTAGTAATGGCGTGCTCGACATGTTCCAAGCTTTTGGTAGCTGGACGTTAACTGTTTCGAGCGAGTCGTAGATTGAAGGATGGACGGTTCCGTGGTCGGTCAGTCGAATGAACATGTCGACGGAGTTGTGATCTTTCAGGTGATGCGAGTGCAGGAGTGAGTCTACCTCTGCTTGCGAACTAAACGCTCCAGAATCCGCTTGTGAGATACGCATAAAGGGCAGTGCCGGTGGCAAAGGTATCGCAGGAAGCTTGGGCAGCAGTGCCTCCATGTCCATCATAGCAAGCTGATCCGGTAGATCGGGCGCAATATCCAACGTCTGAAAGTCTGGCTGTCGCTGCAGGAAGTCCTCTAGCGTGGTATCGTCCTTGAACGCATCCCATTCCTCTGTCGTAGGATTGCCAAAGACATCGGTCTTCGCAGGTGTAGCACCATCCGCCTTCTTCGGTTTTAACCCAGTCCGTTTCTTTACAGCCTCCACGTTGATGAAGTTTAAGCCCCAGCCTATACACTTCACTCTGGCTGGAGCCTCTTCATTCGTCGTACCACTACCAGCTCCCTCAACTTCCGGTAGCATAACGTCTTTGTGCGTGACCTTGCCCGTCTCGGCACTCACCAAGTCTGTGCTGCCATCACTCCAACTAACAGCAATGCTCTTGCCATTGAACTCCCATTGCAACGCATCCACGCGCATGTCCTCACTCTTTCTCTTCAACCCAAAAGCTCGTTGGCCATTGATGCGGTAGACGTCGAGGTTCTCTTCATCGGTGACTAAGGCTACAAGGTCCATAGTAGGGCAGTAGGAAATGAGATGTGGGTATATCGGATGCAGCAGAATCTTTTCCGCTTGCTGCAACAACTGTCGCCGATCACTCGAGTCGGTCGTCGCCATGCTTGTAGTTTGTAGGCGTTAAAGCCCGTTGCTGAGGAAGTCGGTTTGTGCGTTGGAAGTGGTGGTTTGTTTGTGCACATATGGAAGTCGCGTTCTAAGCCATATTTGCCTAGCGCGCTCACGCGTTATCACGTTGTCCAATATTATACGCAGCCACAACCGCGTCGAAGTAGTAGCATGTTGGGTTCAGATTAGCAATATGCAGAATGCGACTAAACAGGACTCTGGAACCTCACGTCACATGTTTAGAATCTTGGTGTTAATGTTAAAAAAAAACAGCGATTCAAGTGCTCGAGAAAGAATACCAGTCCTTCCATGCCTTCTGGGTATACATATCATGCTATCATAGTACAAATACAAGTGGTCAGCACCCTGATCCCAGGCGCCAGTTCCACTACCCTAACCCCCAATGCCACAAACGCCGAGGTGCAATACAATGCAACCCCATAAACCAGCCATGCCCTCAGTATTGGGACTAATCCTGTTCCCCAAGATGAGTCAGACTGGCAGAAGCCTAAACACGTCGACTTTCATCGTCTGACAACCTGTTCTATCGGACTGACGAATTCCTTTTCGGTTGTACCGACTCTTTGTGCACTCGCCCTCTACCTGCACCACTGAGTCTTCCATTTAACCGTGCCTCCTCGTCAAAGCTTGTTCGCTTGGTGTTCTGGCCACTCTCCAGCTCATCGTCGCTATCAGCCAGGTCTCCAAGCTCGAACTGGTTCTCCACGTCGTAGTCGTGCATAAGCGCACCCCGATCGCCTGCGTCCGCATAGCTAGACCTGCCATCACGAACAACACCAACCGATTGTCGCTCGAACAGCTCTTCGCTGCGTCGCGCCTGCATACTACGTCTTGTAGGAAAACCAGAGATGGCGTCCGAAGGCGGGCCGTCGGTGAAACGTGAGCCGAATGCTTTGTTGCCGTTGGGGTCTTCGCGTGAGAGGTTCAAGAGGTATACACCGGAGAAAATGATGAGGAAACCGCAGAGCAGGGATATGGTGTTGACCGCGGACGTAGTATTAAAGCCTTGGAAAAGGAGGCAGGAAGCGACGAGGGTACAAGTCGTGAACATGACGTAGTAGAGGGGGTTGACACTGAAATCAGAAGTTAGCACTTATTGGTGAATGTCTAGGTCTCCAGAACGTACATGTTTGTTGAGAACTGACTCAAAGCCTTGTTGAAGTAGTTCATCTGTGTGAGAATGCAGCCAACGACCAAGATTACGAAGACGTATGTCGAGGGGTGTGTGAACTGGTTGTTGCCCGCAAATGTCATCTTGAGGGCGATACCGAAGGCCTTGATGAACATGATGGAGACGGAGCCAGCTGTCGAACAAATGGAAAGGTAAATGAGCGGGTTCTTGCGACCGTACTTGGGCGCAATCTTGTAGATCATGAAGATGCAGAAAACGACGCAGAAAGCGCAGTAGAAGAGGAAACCTGAACATGTCTCGTCAATTTCTGTCGTGACCTCAAATGTGCAAGTCCGTGTAGAACGTACCTGGCTGAAGCGCAAGATTCAAGATCTCTTCGACAGACTCGACCTCCTTGTCCGGCGGCGCATGTAGTACGATAATAACGGATCCGATCAGACATATCGCGCAGCCAATCTTGCCTAGCAGTCCCAATTGTTCGTCCAGGAAGTATGAGCCAAGTACCGCACCAATAAGGACCGAAAGCGCCCCGAGGGGCGTCACCAGGATCGCAGGCGCAAACGCATATGCTGCGAAGTTGAATATCTCGCCGAGCACCACTGTATGCCATTAGTTACGCACATAGTACTAGTATCGTATGTGCACCCACTCGTTGTTATGCCAGCCCACCACACTGGATTCTGCAAGTATCCAAAGCCGTCTCCATTGAAGCCCTGCTTCTCCATGGACGCATTGAGGCCTTTCTTCGTAATGACAAAACTCGCGCCAATCGCCAATGACGAGCTCACGGCCAGCATGAGACCAACATATCTGTCCTTATCGTCAGTCGTCGGGTTTCGCATGCGGCGTGCCGTCTCTCGGCACAACATACTTGTCTTCGACCATTTTACCGGTGTGTATAGGTCTATGCGACCTGTCTTAGTTGTTTGCGGCCAGGTAGTATGAATATGCGTGTCGCTGTGAATGTGCGCGGGCGATGGCAACGGTCGTGGGTGGTGTGAAGCTAGTGCGTGGCTGTTGACGTTGGCGTTGGATTGCGCGGACTGGGGGTTATCGATAGGCTCTGTGTCGTGGCCTGCCGAACGAAGGAAGGGAAGCCAGCCGAAGGAGCGATGATGCGCAAGCGCCGTGTTGACTGCGATGGACGAGAGATATGATAGAATATGCAGGCGCGATGGAAGATGTGACGGGATAGGTAGTAGGTTGGGGATGCTTGCGCAAGAAGCGATTCGCGTTTCACCAAACGCTGTTCCTGTGCCGGGCCAAGGATCAAGTGACTCCAACGAATGTGGATGACCAAAGATGAGGAGAGCAAGCGAGCGCGGGGAACCTCGCGACAACAACAGCAACACGATTCAAATCAATAACAGAGAAGGATAGCGATAGTGAGTGTTGTGATTCAACAGGACAACTGGATCAGCAAAGAACATGTGCGATTATCTATCGATAAACCGTTCGTTTCCCAACAAGGTGGCGTGCCGCACCGGTCTCGCCAGTGCCAGGCCACATCCCAAGGTTTCACGGCCGGGCTGCGGCTTGCGTCTTACGCAGGGGCTTCTTTTTTAGCTTCCCCTGTCCCCGTCCTCGACGCCTCCCAGACGCTAGGGTTAGAGCCTGCCGATCACTTCGTCAGACAAAGACGCGGCATTCCATCCTGCAATATCTGACCGCAAATATACTTGTCCATCTTGCCTTGGCCTTGCTCATCTCGACTTCTACAAGTTAGTCGTACCAAGGACAGCCAGTGTGATGTCAAGGTTCGCCCAATAGTGCCTTTTCCAGCTGCGCCTCGTAATGATCTGCTTAGTGCAACCAAAATAGCATGCCTCGTAACCTCTTCCCCACAACATCAAATCCAGGCTCCGTGACCGTGACCTCCGCTATTTGTCTCAAACGAGCGATTGTTACGTCGTTGCACCAATTATGGCTACATAAGGCTGACGAATGCTGACCACCAAGCCATGGTTGGACATCGTTATATTCAAGTAACTTTTCGATTGAGACTCTACAATTGAGAGTTGGTCGTGCTTCGAGTTCCTTCAGTATGTTCTGAAGTTCGACTCAAAGCACTGGGTATATGGCTCGGAACACCCAAAGATTCCACTTTCCCGTCACCTTATCCCCTATCCACCTCCAGACGTATTATCCTGACCTCCGCGTACTCCAAAGATTCGCTCAGAAGAAGAAAGCAACGCTGAAAATGGCAACCGCTGTGGTAGCAGGGTGCAACAAAAAGAAACCGCGCATGAAAACGCTCTCTCTTACCTTTTGGTAGCCATACTCCTTGGCATGGTTCGGTATCCGGCGGCGCGCGCTGCATGGTCGGACCTGTTGTTAGTATACATCATATTAGTTCAACGGCGTAATGAGTCGAAGGAAAGGCGCAAGAGATGCTGCTTGTTAGTAGAGCTGAAGAACCCGTAGACTCGGAGGACGGTGGGCCTTCACACTCTGGCGCGTTTGGCGTCTGGAACAAAATAATCAACGTCTGAGTTTCGCTTGCGTGATGGGGAAATGAGCATACCTATGGAGTCAGGTGCAATATCCTCTCCATGTCCAGCCTCGTCGATAGATCGCTTCTGCCCTTGTGGGGACACTTCTTGGGCATCACCAGACGAGGCCGTCGTAGGATCTGCAGCCGAAGACGTTGCGTTCGTAGTCTCTCCAGCCACACCGTCCTCTCTGTCTTGGGTATCGACGTGATCATGTGCATTGGTTGCCTTCTCCAAGTCTTCCTGGTCCAGTTCCTGGTCGGCATCCCACTCAGGATTGTTTTCCAGATCCAGGAAGTCGTCCGTGCCAGTGAGGTCGTTACCATCCGTTGTTTCGGCCCCAGCAGCGTTGAATTCACCTCCATTCATGAAGTCCAACTGGTTGGCGAAATCTTGGTTAGCGTCGCCGTCATATGCGTCTGCAGCATATCCATCCGTTCCATCCGTTCCTTCCGCGTGGAAATCCTGGAATGGGTCATCTTCGTCGAAGACTTGGACACCGTCCTGGTACGACAGACCATTGCCGTCGTTGCCTTCCGTCTCGTCACGTTCTACTTCGACATGAGGTTCCTCATTAGCCTCGTTGTCGTTCTGGCTGGCCCTCTCATTGTGGCTAATGGAGCCTGCGACAGATCCATGCTCATCTGCGTTTACGAATTCATCGTCTTGGAGCGTCACGGACGAAGGCGAAGGCTCAGTGGCGGGTGCTTCTTCGTCTTCTTTGACGTTTACGGTTGGCTCGTCTTCGTCGCTGTAGTCAACGAAATCTTCTTGCTCCTGCAAGCGACGAGCCTCTGCCTCGGCATCAGTCTCCTCATTCGGTTTTGGGCTCTCCTGATGAGCTTGATCTACTACTTCGTGGGGATTCGCGGATACGTCACTAGGATTAGCAGCTTGTAGACTGTGGTCTTCCTCAGCAGTCGGTTCTTGCTCCTCGTGAAATGAATGTTCAACCTCAACCTCTTCCTCTTTTGTGCCCTCAGCACTCTCCTCCTTGTGAGTATTTTGCTCATGATTCGCTTCGCTGTGATCGAGCTCGTGGTAAGAGGTATGCTCGGCTGAATTGTGCTCATCCTCATGCACCTCCACCTCTTCGACGCTGTGCGTCTCTTGCTCGCCCTCTCCTTCACTCTCATTACCCTTGCCACCATCTTCTTGAAGCAGCGCTTCTTCCTTCGCAAACTCCGTCACCTCGGCATCTGCTTTCTCTATTTGCTGCTCATCGTAATCTTGCTCTTGCTCCTGAGTGCCCCACTCAGTGGGCTCATCGCTCGGAGTCTCACCGATTATGCCAGCGAAGTGAGTCTCACCAGCGAGTACAGCAGCCTCGAAATCGGAATAGCCGCTTCCTTGATCGGCGTATTTTGCAATGTCCGAAAGCAGGATAGCGAAGCGCGGTCGAAACATCAAGGAGATATAGAACGAGTCTGGCGCATTATTACCATCTTGAGCATGTAGCGCATGGTAGTATCCTACGAGACGTTCAAGTGAAACAGCTACGCATGCTGTGTTGTCCTCGAAGATCTCCAGGTTCTGCAAGTGCTCAAATCTGAAGCCGATTTCTGTCTCGCCTGACACATCTTCACCAAGAGACAGACGACATGCTTGAAAAAGCTCCGACAAGCTGGCCTTTGCGATCGAGGTGTCTTGTATAAGCCACTCCCCACTGTTTTCGTAGTCATGCTGTTTGAAGAGCCATAGCTCTTCGCCGTGGTAGTTCACGGTGACAGGCGGAAGTTCGAACGACTCGGGGTCTTGGTGCTCGTTTTCCTCAGTAGAGGCTTCTTGATCATGGCCATGGTGTGCCGAATCATGGTTCTGTGTCTCGGTGTCTGCATGTTCTTCCTGGCCTGGCAGCATCACACCGCCGTCACCGTCACCATCATCATTCTGACCATCTTCTTCGTTGTTGTCAACCGACTGTGGGCGGGGCGAGTGAGCGTGTTCATCTGCCGCTAAGCCGTGTGCATTAGGATCGGCGGCGCTCTGAGCTTCTACGTATGGGCTGGGCGACTTGTTATTCGCAGGCATCGAGAGTAAAGCTTGCAAGTCAGCGGGTATCTCGTCTTGCTGTTCAGTTATATCCTTAGCCTGTTCGTCCTGAGCTTCTTGGGTTTCCGAATAGTAGCTTTCTTGTCGCAACCACGGTGAACGGAGCTCAGGATTGTGGTAGTCTTCACCTTCCTCTTCGGAATAGTCGATAAGATCGTCATCCTGATTTGATGCGTCGGTCTGGATCGGTGGAAGGTTGACTGGGGCAGGCGGAGAGGTGACTGGTATAGGTTGAGAGGGGATTGCTACAGGCTGATCAACAACTATGACGCCGTGATCCTCCTGGTAGCTATAATCCTCCTCAATCACATCCTCTTGGTCAACCATAAAGTCGTCTTGCTCGCCAGGTATAGTTTCCACATCTATTCCGTTCGCCGAGGCTGCATCGTTCATAGACATTTCGTCATCCAGGGGATTGGAAGGCGGAGGGTCGAGATCCAACTCGATGTCACCGTCGTTGAAGTCGAGGCCGCCATCATCGGAATGCAGGTCCATGTCGTCGACAGTCGAAAACTCGAGACCTGGTACGCTATGTGCTGCGGCCGCCATAATATGTGATCTGGTGCAAAGCAAGCGTTTGCGGGTGTTGGTTTGCCGGTTGAAACGCGTAAAATAAAGGAGTGAGAGAAGCGCGTCACAGATTGGTGCGAGTCACTGGGTGGCGATGCAGCGAACCGTGGTTTGTAATCGGTGCACAACGTCGTAAAAGAGTTAAGAGCACATGACGATGTGTTTCTAGGTGACTTTGCTATGGTGGAGGCCTGTTCGCGGCAAGGATGAGGAGGTTTGTCTGGAAATTGGACAAAGGAAGCACGGTGGTGTTCGCGCTAAGATGGGAAAGTGCTCTGGCGGAAGCGGGCAAGTGGCAGAGGCTCAGGTGGTCGCTACTTCCACTTGACGACGATGGAATCTGCAGTTCTAGTATTTCGCTACCTGCAAAGATGCAAGGAATTTATCTCGTAAAGAAGTGGCCGCGGTAAATCAAGCTGCGAGTTGCAAGTGTTGACGACAGTCCAAGGGAGGGGAAGCTGCTTCAATGAGGAACTGGCGCTAGGCAAACGCGAGCTGCACGTGACTATAGGTGTCCACTTTGGAACCTCCAGGTGTCGCGACTGGCGGACTTGGGCTGGAACAGTCAATTGTCCAGCTTGAGTCCAGGGTTTCTACGATAGACAGCACCTTCTTACTTCCCAGTATAGGACTTGTCTCTCTGCCTTCTTTCCACACCAAGGGTGAAATTGTGTTCCGGTTCAAGTTCCTGGCGGAGAATATTCCCCACCACATTCGACAACGCGGCCTCGAGTCTAGGACACCGTAGACAGAGCCCATACACGCTCCGAACAGCGTCGCCTACCCGATTCAACTTCAACAAAATCTAGTCACCATGGTATGAAACTGCCTAGAGAGAATTGCTCGCGTCTCACTCTACAACACCAAGCTGACGAAGCCAGGTGGTTCTCGCAGCTTCAATATGCACAAGAGGCGGCAAGGCGGTCGTCTCCCGCCAATTCCGTGAGATGCAGCGCTCCCGCATTGAAGCTCTTCTCGCATCCTTCCCCAAGCTCGCCGATAGCGGAACCCAGCACACGACCTGCGAACAGGACAATGTGCGCTACGTATACCAACCTCTCGACGAACTCTACATGGTTTTGATCACCAACTTGCAATCCAACATTCTGCAAGACATCAACTCGTTGCATCTCTTCGCCCAGGTTGTCTCTTCGATATGCAAATCCCTCGATGAGCGCGAGATCCAGAAGAATGCTTTCGAGCTTCTGACAGCATTCGACGAGATCGTCACACTGGGATACAGGGAGAACTTGACAATGAGCCAGATCAAGACCTTCTTGGACATGGAATCGCACGAGGAACGTATTCAGGAGATCATCGCACGGAATAAGGAGTTGGAGGCCTCAGAAGAGCGAAAGCGCAGGGCCAAGCAGCTCGAGATGCAAAGGAAGGAGATGTCAAGATCGCAACGAGCGGGTGGAGGTATGGGAGGCGGTATGGGCAGTGGTATGGGTAGCGGCATGGGCGGTCGCTCACCTTCGTATCCCGCATTCACACCCAGCGTGCCCACGACCAATGTTGCGGATACGTACGATAGCTACGAAGCTGAGAAGAAGAAGGCTACCAGCAAGCCATTGGCTCTGGGCAAGAAGGGCATGCAGCTCGGCAAGAAGAACAAGACCAACAACATGTACGAGCAAGTCACTGGCGAACAGGCGCCAGCAGAGGAGGAACCGCTCGTCGCACCCAAGCCATCTGCCCCCACCGCCGTGGCGCCAGCAAGCGCTCGCCTGTCCACCTCGACCGACCGCGAAGCCGTACACATCACTACCAACGAGACTATCTCCGCCCGGCTGGACCGTGAGGGTCTTCTCAAATCCTTCGAAGTCAAGGGAGAGATGCAACTCAAGATTACCGACCCTTCTTTCACACAAGTCAAGCTCGACCTAGCTACTGGCGACACCCGTGGCGCACAGTTGATGACACATCCCAAGGTCGACAAGGCTGTCTTCAGGAACGACAAAGTCATTCAGCTGGCGGACACGAGCAAGGGTTTCCCCTCAAACATGGGCATTGGCGTCATGAAGTGGAAGCTAGCACCACGGCCTGACGACGTCTCTGACCCACCCATTACCTTCCGCGTTTGGGTCGAAGACTCGGGCAACATGTACAACATCACCGTCGAGTATGAGCTCACCGGCGGTGACTCGTTGAAGGATGTCACTGTCACCATCCCCTACCAGACCGACGAGCCTAACGTGTCGAGTTTCGACGCCGTATACGAAGTCAGCGGCGACAGCATCGAGTGGAACATTGGCGCTGTGGACGATGCGAACAGCTCTGGTAGCTTTGAATTTGAGGCACAGGCCGGCAGTGATTCGGAGTTCTTCCCTATGAACGTCCGCTTCAGCAAGTCCACACCATTCGTGGACGTCGATGTAAGTTTACTTCACCCATAGTCCACAAAATCTTCAAAACTAACGATCGTGACAGGTTTCTTCTGTAACTCTTCTTGCCATGGGCCAGGACATCAGCTTCTCGAAAGATGTCAAGTCCGTTGCCGAGAATTACACCATCTCATAGAAATGACTATCGCATGCGGAAGACCAGGGAAATCTTGATGTTTTGACGAACCATCTCGAGCACCTTGAAGCTGGCTTTTACTCCTGGGCAGAACTGTTCAAATAGACAAAGCTGAATGCGAAGACTTACACTGCTCATTGTCCTTGGGTCTTCAATTCTTCGCTCAAATATTAATCCTAACTCGAACATTTGATCCTTTAGCTAAAATCATCACTAGCCATTGAAACAGAGAAGAGACGGTAATAGTGCTCAACGATATTACTCATTGTAAACACCTAGCGATGTTGCTATCTACTCATTGTTCCAAAAACATCAATCTGTATCTATCTGTTCATCCAATCTCCGCCAACCCACGAAGTAAATGCGACACAAAGATATATGTGTTTGTAGTAAACAACGGATCAAATCAATCCCCTTCCTGCTATGCGTTGCTATGTCGCTAAATATCGCGTCGTTGGTATCTGAAGTGAAAAGAGAAAAAAAGCCAAATGCTGTACATCAAAAGGGAATTGAAAGGTGGAAGGAATCCATTCGGCCGTAAGATTCGCAAGCGTAAAAAGGTGATGAAGCGAAATATGCGGGAGTAAATAATTGCGACCAGCGTTGGATAAGGACATGCATGGGGATCGAGTAAGCGCATGCTCAAATGACAGCATCACCCAAAAACGCAAAGTCCTCCATAAGCGCATGTACACCGCTCGTCTCCCTCTCCTTCCGCACGCTGACCGTCGGCTCAAGACGCTCACTAACTCCGACGGACTCTGTAATCGTAGTCTTACTTCCAATATCCTGCTCAGGCAGACTGTACTGAAAGCCAAGTCCAAAACAAGCAGCTTGGCGCCGCGACGATCGACGCGACGATGACACATCAGAATACTGCCCAGTAGTCTCGACTTGGAAGAGGTCGGAGCCAAAGGTTGAGATGCGGAGTTCGTTCAGCTGAGGTGGGGTGGAGAGACGGTAGGGGAATGGGTTGTCGTCATCTTCTTCTTCGTCGTCGTCGTTAGAGGAGGTGTCGTTGTAGCTGTAGTTATTGTCGATAGTTTGGATATCGAGAACGGTGGACATGTGTTTTGAGGAATCGGTTTGTACTTGCTGAGGTGAGGCGCAGGAGTAGCGGATTAAGAGACCATGAGGTGTTTCTATGTCACTGTCGTTGCTGGTTAAGGAGCTGAAGGTTGGTGAAAAGACGGGTTCACCGTCATCGTTGGAGGAGGTTGGGGAGTTGTAGCCGATGGAGTCGTTGCTCCATGTGGAGAAGTGGCTGTGGGCCTTTTCTTGGAATTGCATGTTGAAGTGATCGAGGCGTTCATCGTCGTCGGCTTCTTCGAACTCGTCTTCTGGTTCGTTGGCCGGTAGTTCGCTAATCGTTGCTTCGTTGCATGCGTAGAGTGGTGCGGGTATCAGGTAGCGAGGAAGTGCTGGGAGCTCTTTGTCGAATGGTGAATGTCGAAGGTTCGTGTTATAAACGCTGCCATGGCTGGATGTAGGTCGCTCATTCAAGACAGGTGCACCGAGGAAAGTCGACGGTCGTGAGAGTACAGGGGCTGATGGGGTGTCATCTTCTACCACCCGATCATCGAATTCAAATTCTTGCTGAAGCTTTGGCGAAGACAGCCAAGGGTCATTAGAAAATAGATAATGCTGAGTTCGTCTCGTGTCGGCGGAATTAGCGCGGACACGGCTTTGCTCAACCTTGAATTCGCTGGTAATAACAGTCGATGGTACGTGTGAGCGGCGTCGCCTGATAGGGCGCTCGTCCACAGTGGGCAACTCTGCAGGTCCGAACAGTGAATCATGGTCGGGGTCCACAGGATGCGACGCCAGTGGGGAAAACTCCCTTCGGATATTTGGTACTGAGCGCGGTGCTGAAGTCTCCGCTTCTCTGATAGACTCGAATGAGGGCCGGTATATTGACAACGGAACAAGGTTGAGCTCTTCTCCACCACTGACAAGCACCGGCGCACTGATATCTAGCTCCCTGGTCTTCGATCCACTGCGATTTTTCGATGCAGATCGTTTCGAGGCTAGCTTCTCCTTCAGAAGCTTAAAGTCGGGAAAGATGGGAGTTGATGGCATATAAGGAGATGCTGATGCGCTTCGAGCATGACGCACTACATTCGGAGACAAGAAAGCCTCTGTAGGAGGATGCGTCGCCGATTTCGGGGTCCAAGGCGAGGGTAGAGGCATGACATATGAATCCACACTAGATCCTGTTCTCGGGGATGGTAGAGGTCTTAGGCTTGCAGGTGGCACTGGTGTCAGATACCTATCTTTGGGATCTCGCGTGAAAGCTGAAGAGGTATCGGAGATGCTGCGGCTGTGCCCCTCACGAGGTACATCCAACACATTAAGGCGCTGTCCCGGCAGAAGAGGACAAAAGGTCGTCGATTCTTCCGAAGGGTTATGACATTCCTCATCCTCATCGACCTTGTACTGCAAATCGTCAGTAGGTGAGTTCATCTAGAAGACTAGTTGACTTACGTAGTACCAATAAGTACCGCCCATCTTAAGAGGACCGTCCCGCTTCGGTGTTTGTTGGTCCAGATCTCCGTCGCAAATGATATCAGAAAAGGTAAAGCAACCTTTCCAGAGATTCAGGCCTCCACGTGCGTCAAGTTCTAATGGATAGGGTCGCGAAAAGTTGTCCCAAGATCCAAGTAAAACTATACTGCGCAATGCAGCCGGGCAGTGACTTGATGCAAGAATAAGTGACTGCCTTAGAGTGAGTGGCACAGAGGGGTAGACATACAAGAGGAAGGTGTGGAGCGTAGTGTTGTCCATGGCCATGATATCGGGATAACCTAAGCTGATAACAGCAAGGACTAACGGCGTTGAAGCGCGTATGCGCCTAAGCCCTGGTCACCTCTGAGGTGTCGCATACAATCGTGTGTGTCAAATTTAGAAGTGCATGCAGAACGGTGTGTTGGATGTTTTAGCCTGCTCTTTCTGTATGGTCCTGCCGGAGAAAAGGCCAGCAAGCAACTGACTGATTGGTGCGCAATAGCAAGCGTTTGGTGAAATGTTGAAACTAGTCTTCCTGCGCGTATGTATGATTATGGCGAGGTTGACCAGGGATGATGCAATCCGAGGAATCAGATCAAGTCGGAGAAATTCTGAGGCAAAAAGAGGTTGAATGTTTCATGCAGGCTGTCACCGGCAAGCAGTAAATGTTGGAGTGTGGAGACAGAGCCTCAGTCGAGGTGATTCAAGATTGGCCGAATTAGCGCCTGTGGTTGATGTTGGCATATAATGAGGAGGATGCAGCCTCAGCGCTTATTATCGACGTTCAAATCGCCGAAATGTCGTCTAGGTGAAACACGGTATCAGGAGGGGTCCAAAAGCGTGTGAATGCTGTGTAATCGGCGTATGAGAAGAGAGGAGACAAAAAGATGGGTCGCAAGCCAGAGATGTAGTTCGGTGCTAGTCGGGCAAGAACCAAGCGGATGACAGCCACTGGCGCTCTCTTGCTACGGTAGGGAAAGGGTAATCGTGAGCGAAGATTCGGAGATGCAGCTGCAGCTGCAGAGTTGATCCCAAACACGCCAAATTCAAGGCGCATTATTGGGCTTATGTCATGGGCTCTCGTTGGCCGCAGAGGCTGGCCGAAGAGGAAACACTTCAGCTCCTTCATTTCCTCAGCCGTCCAGTCCATGACTGCGAAGATTTCGAGTCAGCTGAGGACCGATGCATAGTAAGGGACCGAACCACTAGTTGCTGTTCTCCTCACTTGTCAAGACAGGTTGACCGGCATCATGCCGGGCTGCAAGTCTCGTGAAGGAACAGGATCTTGAGATCGTGGGTTCAGGATATCGGCACCTTGTACTCGGGAACAGGAAGCAGATCCCACGTCCTGCTTCAGCTCCCCCTGTCGCAAGCAGCCAACGACATCCCAGACACGACTCGATTGAGCGCGCGGTTACTCTCGCGACCGCCACACGGCCGCTTAATTCGCTGGCCCCTGACACGATCGCCCGAGAAGATGAAGCGGCCCACTCACAGCACTGATATCTTCCACGAGGGTTCCGCGCTAAATTCCTTCAGCTTCTTTGGTGCATGCAGCGCTGGTGCATAGCGCATAAACAGTTGCTGCATGGCTTGTCGTTGCCTGGGAAGTTCGTCGTCCATATTCCTTCTCCATATTTCGTAACGGGTGTTCGGTACTCAGGAAGGCGTGGGGAAACCATCGGCCACTGCGAAAGGCAAAACCGGCACTTGGGGCGACCCACCACCGAACGGGTCGCGAAGTCTTCTCTCCAACCAAGTTTTCGCTCAAAGCGTCACAAATGCCAAACCTGCTCCTAGCGCCGGCTGCGGCACAGCCTTGCAGATGGAGAAGTCATTGCCAACCATCGTCGTCGGAGTGGGCGACACTGCATGCCTTGGAGACCAAGTTCCTGGTGGCACCTGCTACGCCGCCATGACGACGGACGGGCGATCAGCTGGCGATTTGTAGGACGCAAGCGAAATTTGTTTTCTTTACCGCAAAGTATCCGCGTTTCAAAGAAGGGTTATGCAGTCATAATATGTGCTTTGCTTTTTACATCGAGGAGGCTGGCGGCTAAAAGTTGTACCGTGTTCCAGGCTCTGCCATGTGCAGGATACAGGGTAAAGTTTGAGCAGGAACTAGCAACGTGCTACAACATTGATGACTAGCATTGCATGTAAGAACTATGACAGACTTTCAAAACCTTGCGCTCACCAGCGCATGCATGCTGCATGTACAACCAATGTTTAGACTTTCCACCAAGCCCTCCAGCCTACTGAAAACTTGTCTCCAGTATTTCTGGCTTGCGCTCCTCCAAGTCCAGAATCATCTGTCCAAAAAGTCCGTTCGCCCACGAGAACCACTGTCTTGTCCAGTCACTCTCGTTGAAACTATTGATACTCTCGTGAATCAAACCCAAGCCGTCTGTACTGCTCACAATCTGGGCCAGCTCGTTCACGATCTCACCTTCATCATCGCTCGTGAAAATGCGTACAATGGAAGCCATCGGCCAAGCCATGCCTGGTCCCAGATGCGGGCCACCAATGGCATTGATTACAGGACCTCTCATTAAGTACGGGTTTGTAGAACTGAGTACGAGATCGCGCGTGTTTGCATACGTCTCCTCGTTGACTGGGTACTTGAAGAATGGCGCAGAGAGAAGACCTGGGATGTTGGCGTCATCCATGATGACGCGCCCACCGAAGCCATCGACCTCGAATGCATAAATCTTGCCATATGCCGGGTGGTCGACCGTGCCATGGGTCTCGATGGCGTTGCGTAGCGATTCTGAGAGGCCGGACATCTTTTTCGCAAGCGTCGCAGAATTCGTACCATTGAGTTTGTTCATGATCTCCGCTGTTGGAGACAGGTATGAGCTAAACATCATGTTGGCTGGGATGTAGAGCTGGAAAATAGTGGAGTCGTCGCTCGGTCGGAAAGCGCTCCTGATCAAGCCGGTTCCGTTGGCAACGGGATTGCCGATCCCGTCATTGGCGAGAGTTTCGGTTGCTCTGGTGGTGGTTCGCTCCCACGTGTACGGACTTTGCAAGACCGCTCCGTCCGGACCATAGGTGGGAAGCATCATGTCTTCAGCCACATCCAGTACCGCCTCGATGGCTTTAGCCCACTGGAACTTTCCAAAGAATTCGGCATCTCCGGTGGCTTCGTAGTAGTCGGCTGATATCTGCAAAAACGCAGCAAGCGAGTCGAGTTCATATTTGCATTCGAATACGCTGCTGTTGGAGTATTCAGGGAAAACGATGTCCTGGTTTCCGGACTCATTCTCTGCCGGAGGAATCCCGCTTTCGGCGGGCGGCTGGAACGAGTTGCAGTACGGTGCTGTAAGGAGGTATCGCGCCTGAAGGTTGATGACTCCCCGATACAAGCTGGCGATCGAGTTCGGGTCGCTGCTGGCGTTCAAAAGGGGTAGGTAACTTTGCAGCTGATTCGACGAGTCTCGTAGCCACATCGCGTTGATGTCTCCTGTGATGATGAACGTCAACTCTTCCTCGGTGTTGTTGGCAGCATATCCCTTCCATGCAATGGCTGTATCAAGCGTGTTGGGGTAGGCATTCTGAAAGAGACGATACAGGTCTGGATCTTTGATGACACCTTCCATACGTGTGATAGTATCCTCAAGGCCCTGCGACTTGAAAGTTCGACATTCTTCAGATGGCCGTTGATAGGCAAGTTGATACTTGCCGGAGCTCAAAGGTTCATGAACTTCAAGCGCGTAATCCACGTATTCTGGACATTGCGCCGAGACGAGCAACGGTATGTTTGTGAGTGCGCCAAGAACCATGAGGCTGCGCATCTTGTCGTAGGATAGCAATCCACTCTTGAGATGTGAAAAGGAAGTACCGAACACAAGAAGTACAGCGAGGGATGTTCTATAGTGCATCCTCGGGGCTATGACGGCACGCATGGATCGTCATGGTCGTCGGCTGCCTTTGCTCGATTCGCTGCTTTTTCCTCCGAATCTATGTACCCCGCTTATGGATCTCACGAGCAAAAAGAATAGCTTGGCGGCGGATGTAACGTTCAATGAAGCTATTCTGTGGACCCATGGGGTAGAAAGCACGTCGACGTCATTTTGCTTGTGAGCCGGGCCGAACGGTCAGCGGACTGGAAATTGGTACTCGGAAGAAGAAGGTAGTAAACCAGTTTACGTGCGATAATGTATAGAGTCTATCAACTGACTCGAATGTGAGAAGTGCCGACAGTTTGCGCTGTCATGGCTGGGGTTGAACATTAAGCTTTGACGATCTGTGGGGATGGCGTGCGGTGCACAGCTCATCTAGGCACCAAGACGTACAACAAGAACGCACAGCAGCACCATGTGCACCTGAGTTTCATTTGGAATAGATATGCAAAGGACCGTCTCCGCGAGTCTCGATGATGGTTAGTGAATTTTGACAGCATGGACCCGTGGAGTAGGCTTCATGACTATGGGCTACAATAGGTTAGCGCGCCGGCCCCGGTATCACGAAAGAACACTTTCTGTCACGAGCCTCGTCAAACCTCTCCAGTTCCCCATATATCGTCCATCATGGTCACCGCTTGAAGTCGATAGCGACGCAAACGCCTCATTCCATGGTTTAAATATGCAGATTGCGAGCAGAATTGGATTAAAGTACCTAGGTGACGCTAGGGCATCGTTCCTGCCTGCTTCAGTCGTCTTTGCAAGGCAGTGGGCTGATCGTACCTCAGCAATCAATAACACAAGAGACGATGGTTTGTTGATAGCCTCAACCAGTGCGAGGAAGTTCGGTCGCATTGCGGAGACTGTCGGAAACGTAATGCCGTGTTCAGCTTTTCTATCTCAAGTCCAGCATCGAAATCCCGCCTCTGACAAAGATTGCAAAAAAAGAGTTGTTCTCGAGGACGAAGTCTTCCCTCTGACACAACGTCCCGATCACCACGCCGTAAACGTTGCGGGTCTAACGCATCCGCTCGGCAGGGTGTTCCACTCTACACGTCGAGTGCTTGTTCTCTAGACTTCCTTGTAGGATCATCTGCAGAGCGGATCCTCGCGGGCTGTTGTCGAACGTAGCCGGTGGCGAGTCGCTGCCTCAAGCACAAACGAAGAGCCTCCAGGTACTACCGGCTACTGTACGGGTTCTACTCAAGCTGTGGTCTATATACAATATAGTGCACAACCTCTCTCGACACCTTCATTCAGAGGTGGGCAATGATTACTCACGACCGTTCCGAGACTCATAAATATCACTCCGTCGCTTCAAGGTAAAGAAAATGGGACGTTTGAATAGACTCAGATGATTATTGATCCTTCGTGCTGACTCCCGCTTTACTTTCCCTGCTTGAGCAACAGCATGTGGAGTCATGGTTACTCTCCTCAAAATGTTGCGATATTACCTGCTAAGATCACATCGGGCTCATAACTTGACCACTGCATACGCACACGATAACGACAGCGGCAATTGACATGAAGAGATGGATTTGTACTGTATTGTTTTATATGCTACATCAAGTGGAGTGCACTAGGAAACCCTAAGAAACCAAATAGCCACCCCTGTGGAGCCCATACCCCAGAATTCCGCCCCAGATCTATCGATGTCTATCCCGGATCAATCCGCGTCCCTGCGCCTTGACAGAATCTTGACAGTTAGGTAAAACTCCACCCCTGTCGATCACTAACTTCACACTCACATTTCTCTGGTCGTTTGCTATAGGATATAAGGCAAGAGGAGTTTGACAAACAAATTCCGCCGGCCCGTGAGGAATCTTTCCTTCGATCAGCGTTCCATATCCCTCAACCCCAAACCCGACTATCTCTCGTGAGACCTGGCTCCGTGTATCTGCAGGATATATCTCTCAATCATTGCATCGTGTCGTGTCGTTGGTCGCTATATTGCGGGGGCCTTAGGGTGACCCTCGTATGCCGCAATTTGTTATATTGTTCTCCTTCACAAGCTTGGAGGATCGCTCGTTTGCTCATCCGTAGGTGGTGTTGGTGCCGCTGTTCAAGTCAGCTACAAAAAGGTCTCGTGTAGCGACAGCGATTCTATATTACCTTGGGCTCATCGGCGCGTGGGCCACGTTACCACCATTCGAATGATAATATGGGTGTGGCAGCCCAAGCTGCGGAAGCTTGCGCCAGCTTCGTTCCCGCACTTCTCTCATGTACGAGTCTTGCTCTGGGCTCCGATGGAAACGGCTTGACTCATCTTCAGGTTCTCCGCCATAAAATCGATGGACGGCAAAGCCACAGCAGACGAGCGCGCCCGCTCCGAGGATGACAAGAAAGATGATCAGAGCTGGGGCGATACTGAAGCCCATGTTGCCGTCCCTTTTCTGGAGATACATCTTGGTTGCGAGAAGGAGTGTATGTTGTGACACAAGTGCTTGTGATACGAATGTTTGCGTGACAAGAGCGGGTGATAAAGGGTTGGGGTAGTGTTTGCTATGGTGACACGCTCACGGTCAATAAAGTTAAGGTAGAGAGTCAGCCCGATGCGGAGGTTCCGGAAGCTGAGGGAGTGACAAGAAAAAGACCGAGGAAATGGGTATTGGTGTGCTGACGACGACGAAACTGTATAGTGTGATGCGACAACGTTCCACAAACACCTAGTTGCGAGACCCTGCGTGGCCCGACCACTAAGCTATATACCGTTGCAGGTGTCCATTCGGGAACCGCAAGGTCTGCCAGATCGTGCATTTGCTGCGAACCTCGACCCAATCGGTTGCTAGGAGGATACGACCCTTTCACCATGCTATTGGTTGTATTACAGTTTCACGTGCTCGGGCAGACAGTTACCCCACCTACTGACCAAATCCAAGGCCTTGTTGGCCTCAGAAACGCGTAACACCCCAGCCCGTCTGCCGTGTAGATACGCGTGGAAGTGTTGTCCCCGGACAGCCCGGAGGGGCTGAGTTAGCTAGAAGTTTCGGTCCTCTTCACTTGGCCCAACTCTTGGGCTCTTCGGATTCCTTAGGCATACGCGCAGTGGTATCTCCTTCGTTTACTTTTACCTGGGCGCAATCTTGATGCGAGTTTTTCTGTATGTTCGGGGCTGTAGAGGTCGATATTCGCTGGGGGAACCTGTGGTGTTGCTACGGTCTTACTCAGCCAAGATGACGCGTCACCCGCACCTTCAAGGCTTGCCGAGCATCGAATTCCCCACCCCTTGAGGTCAACAACGAGGACATCAGATTCTTATATGAAGGTGCGACGCTCAATGACGCAAATTTTTGTTCCTGGACGATGCGCATCGTTCGCCGATCTTCAGGTCCTGCAGAGCGACAAATTTAGCACATCGTCTCAGCATCCTGGAGTCCGACGATTCTCCTGAGCCTAAGCTTGAACCTGACTTCGCATGTCTCTTTTCTCTGACGCAATCCTTTGATCTTTAGTAACAACGCGCGATGTTCTGCGACACGTCAAGATCGTATGTCGTTGTGAAGAGCGCAATCTTTCCCCAAGTCTGCCAAGTATGGGGACGACATTCGTTTCACCTCTATCTCCTATCGTATCAAGAGGCGAATGAAAGTTGCTTTGATCAATGAAAGATTACTGTTATCTTGTGTCTTGCTAACTCCTAGGCTTTCTTCCAAAATAGCTATACGTGCCTCGAGCGACAACCTTTGTAGGCCAGAGCGAAGAATAAACATTTTGCGACACAACCTTCCAAGCGCTTCAGGTCAAGAACCCAACAGAGACAATGTTCAAATAACAACACAAGGCAGGGAGGTCGTGAAGGCTAGAGCGTGTGAGATCGAGGCTACGCTACACAGATATACCAGCTCCTCTTTGGACGACAAGCGCTCTTGTTCGTGCTAAGACGTTTCAGCTGCACGCACTTCTAGCCTTGTGGAAATGTAGCATTACTACGAGGTGGTAGAAGTTCGGTTCTGCGGTCCGTATTCAATCTATCTTGATTAACCGCTTCAGGGTTTTTTACGCCACCGGATATAATCGACTCGGATGCAGCAACACATGCAGCTATGCTGCGAGTATGCTCACCACCCCATGGGGTAACTGTTACACTGCATGTCGGTAGCTGTCGGGCTTCAATGACTGCCGCACATCGGTATTGCATCTCGTGAGCCGCTGCATTGCTCGATGTGATCTCGTCGCAATGCTTGGGTATGCAATTTGCCTACGACAACGATGGTTTACATGACTAGACCCATCAATGCACCGAGCGATCCACATCGCCCAGAGTTTAAGTATACAGAGTACCACAACGTTGTGGCTGAAACCGGCACGTGGTTGGTAACTACCTGGAAGGCGGCAATGGCCGCAACCGACGATATATTGCCCATCACCAATTCTATGGAGAGGCTGCGTCTGGTATATTAAATCCGGTGTCATTCCAACCTCCCTAGCCTATCGCATTGGTTTCATGCCGTCACCAGACTAGAAACATCTCTGGGCTTCCAATGATCCAAGAGCGCGGCGACAAGGGCGTGTTTCCACGAGCGGATGGCGTACAGCTCAGAAACCGGGTCGACTCGTGCATGGAGATGAACAATTTGATTGCAAGCCTTCGCGAAAATCTGGTAGAGGGAAAGTTTAGGCGTCTGGAGAAGGCCACTAGAAGACGAGAAGAGTATATGAAGGGACGACAGATCCGGGTTCAAGGTCACCCACGAAGGAAATCATCACCGCACATCTTCTACAGTCGCTTTATACTAGTCACTTACTGTACAATCATCAAGATGCTCTCCCTTCTCCTCCTGCTTGCGCCCCTTGTGGCAGCCCACGGCCACGTTGACAAGGTCATCGCCGACGGCAAGGAATACCAGGGATGGAACGCAGCCCTCAAATATCAGAACCCCATCCCTGCCACCGTTGGCTGGCAAGCCGACAACCTCGACAACGGCTTCGTCTCCCCTGACAGCTTTGGCACTGCGGCCATCGTATGCCACAAGCAAGGCAAGAGCAACGGCGCCTACGTTTCCGTCAAGCCTGGCAGCAAAGTTACCTTCAAGTGGGACACCTGGCCAGCCAGCCACGTCGGCCCAATCCAAGAATACATTGCGCCCTGCAACGGTGACTGCGGCTCTGTCAGCCCCACGAGCCTCCAGTGGACAAAGATCCAGTCCAGCGCCTGGAAGTCAGGCAGCAACCCCGGCACCTGGGCCACCGACGACCTCATCAAGAACAACTTCTCCTGGGATCTTACCATACCCAACCTCGCTCCTGGTAACTACGTCGTCCGCCACGAGATCATCGCCCTGCACGCTGCTGGACAAGCCAACGGCGCGCAGTCATACCCTCAGTGCATTAACCTTAAGGTCGAGGGCTCTGGAACTACCAAGCTAAGCGGTGGTGTTCCGGCTACTAGCTTCTACAAGGTAAGACATCTTGCTAGAGTTGTACATTGCGTTGTAGAATATGTGCTAATGTCATGAAATAGGCTACCGACGCTGGTATTCAGTTCAACGTCTTCAGGTCTTTCACTAGCTACCCTACTCCTGGGCCCGCACTTAACAAGCTGTCCAAGCGCCATGCTAAGGATCTTGAGTACTAGATGGTAGTGCAGATGGTGGGATCAGGGATAGATTGGGCTTAACTTTTTATACATTACATACTTCGTTTCTTTGCTCGTTTGCTGTGGCTTTCGAGACTGTATATAAAGCATTGGTGGAGTGTACATAGCATTTTAGAATCAAATGGCGTCGTCTTTGGGACCATGTTGCAGCCTTAAGGTACTCGATGAAGTTTTGTTGTATATATCAGGACGTGACAAGGTAGCATAGTGGCGTCCAATTAATCTTGATGGTCAAAAGTGACAAGGTCGCTACCGTTTAGTGCTCAAGAAATCAAACTCTGAATGTAAAAGTACTTTTCATCCTTGTCCAAACCCGTCATCCTTAAGCCTCTCTACGCCCACTTCAAGAGCCAAAACGTGCTCAATGAAACCAAGCAAGTTCGGCATCGGAAGGCACCACCCTCTGGATATCTTCACAGATAAAAAAGTGCTGCACTTCTCTTTCTTCCGCAGCGCAGTGCTTCTTTGAGAGCCGTTCCTTATCTCGGGAGCCTTTCTTAGTAGGCTCTGAGGATCCATACTGATTGTTGTCAGTAGGTCGTTATGCTTCCTCCTGTTGCTTTTCCAGACGTTTTTGGGCAGCTTCTTCATTCGTAGCCTCAGCTCTTCTAGCCTGCTTGCGGGTCCGGTCTTGCTTCTCTCGCCATAACGCTCTAAGGGCTTCATACTTGTCCGGTGTATCCTGGGATGTACTATGGTTCTTCGCGAGGGGGTTTTTCTCCTCTGTGCCCTCCCCCGTGCTGCTTTAGCGCGGGCTTCATCGTGTCTCTGCGATTCAGCACGAATCCGTTTTTGTTCCTCTTCGAGGCGTTCACGCACACGTCTTGCGTCTGCCTCTCGTCGTCTGTTTTCTTTCTTTCTTTCTTTCTTTCCTCCTCTTCTTTGCGACATGTTTTCTCTGCTTCAATTCGTTCTGCTTGTCTCTTGGCAGCTTCTACGGCTCACTTCTTTAGCTCTCTCACTTTCTCTGCTCAAAACTCCAGCTCCCTAACCTGATGCGATACATGTTCCACTAGTGTCGTAGCTTCCGGTATATTTTTTCGTACTTACGTCTCTTATCGTTGTCCTTCAGGTTGTCCCAGGCAATGTCAATCTAATAGCTAGGTGTTGGTCGTGCGAGTTTAATAGTCAAAAAGTCAGTACCTACATCTGTAAAATTTCTGTATTAGGCTTGGCGCCTGCGCGTCTACTATCTGCATGGTGGACCAGCTGGAGTTTCTGAACCGCCTTTTCAATTTCAACAAAGGCTGCATGCTGATCGATGCCAAGCACCTCATAGCATTCGAGACGATCTGTGTGTTCTGGTTGCCCGTTCATCGCGTAGGAGGGTAAACGTGGTATGAAAAGGATGAGGTATGAGGGGAAATGACCTTAAGTTTGGTGTATGAAAGATGGAGAAAAAACTGAAGTATATGTGCGACACGCATCCACCTTTACCAGATATTCAGGTAAAGGTACCTCAAAGGGCGAGAGAGGGAATATATGCGCTAGAAAAAGACTCAGACATATCTTGGTAGGCGGTAAGATGGATATACGAAAACGAGAAGGCGAAAACAACACCAAAGGCAAGAGAATAAGAAATGTTTTAACCTAGCTACTCCTCTGATAGTACAGGGTCGATAGCTAGAGAGGCGAGCCATATTAGGTACTAGCTACCTTTGCCTAGGATGTTTGGTAGACATTACGAATTGCCTTTACCTTTGCATCGGATGCTCACCGAACTGACTCCGATTGCCTATCTGCACACCGTGGCTTTGCAGCTCTTTACCATATTCTATTACCTCTGCTTCCCAATTCTTTAGCACTTCCATCCCGCTTCCTTCTATGATCTTCTCAACAGCACCGGCAAGCTTCATAGCATCCAGAGCAGCCTGATTTGTACTCGCCGCCGTGTGTGGTCTAAAGCCTGCCAGTGCATCGCCAAGTAATAGTACCCTACCGTTCTCTAGCAAAGCAGTGGGTGCGATAACGTCTGTGATGGCTTGTACGAAGGGTACCTCAGTCTTGTTGACAAGCTCAGCGAACTGTGGTGGAAGTATCTCATTAGCTAGATCCTTTTGTCGTCTCCATACATCCTCCTTAATTCCACCTGGTGGTAGTGTAATGTGATGTCTGTTTCCCTCATTGTCTGTCATGAGCTCGACGTGCTCCTGTGACTCTTCCTTGTAGTTCACGTACCAGACCCAGTTCAGCAGTCGCTCACCGGGTTTGGTCGTTCCGTTTCTTCCCGGTATGGTATACGCAAGTATCTGAATACCCTCGGTATGGTAAAATGGGAACTTCTCGACGAAGACATCGGTGGCAGCCTTAGAAACATGCGTTTCGGGTACCGTGCCGCGCCATGCTACGTATCCGGCGTACTTTCGCTTCACATCAGGGAAGTACTCGGCGCGTATCTTGGAGCTGGGTCCATCGGCTGCGACGACAAGGTCTGCATCGGTCGTGAAAGTCTCTCCAGATTTGTGTTGGACGGTGATCTTGACGGGCTCTGAGAAATCTAGTAGCGAGGATGACGAAGGTTTCGGCGCCGCAACGCTCGTTACCGTACACCCGTACTCATACGATGTCTTTCCCTCGCCTTCCTCCGTTGCGGGTGCCTTTGCGTAGTCGGTTTCAGTACCGTCGTAATTGGTTCGTAGAAGATGGTACAGCAGATCCCAGCTCGTCATGCACTGCTCTTGATCGTGACGGTTTATGACCTTGCCTCCTTTATCAAGGTAAAGTCGTTGATGACTTGGAATTGTCAATGCAGTTTGGCTTCGGTCGTGCGTTTTGAAGAACTTCTGCACGTCTTGTCCAGCCACCACACCAGCACCCTGATCCTGAAGAAGCGGTGTCGGATTACGTTCGAAGATGCGAATGTTAAGGTCTTTGCGAAGGCGCTTCAATGCGACACCGGTCAAAAGGCCGCCCAAAGAGCCCCCTACGATTACAATGTCCTTGGGCTTTGCTGACGCCATCGCAACGTGTTGCTAATCGACGAGTGTAGCGGGAAAAAGGGTTAGAGATAAAGCCGCTGGCTCGACATGGTGGATGCTACATGTTAAGCTTTCAGGCGAGCATGATCTGCTCCAGGATACAGTTTGTATTACCGTTCGATGACATGGTGGAGGAATTCAGATAACAGGGTGAGGGATCGCGACAACCGGAAGCTCGGCAGTTGAATCGCGTTGCTTATGACATCATGACGTTCACCCATCTCCATCACGTTTGCCCAGTCCAAATAACTATACCACTTGCCCATGTATAGTTGGCATATTGAGGAGAGCATTTGCCAATTCATTTATCGCATTTTCTTCTTCTAATGTCTGTATACAACGATGACTGCAAAGAAGGAACTAAACCGAAACTTCATACGAACAATCACTTCTGGCGACATTAAATCTCCCGAAATACCCCCAAGGGCGATTTCGCGCATTCCTCAATTTCTAGGGCACCACACGCATCGCTCTCTCACGTCAGCTGACTAGCGAATTTGCTCTTAGCTCGCATTGCTGGACCCTTGAAGTAGAACACGTAGACTGGAACGCAGAATAGCACTATCAAGCCGAACAGCACCAAATACGAATTCTGGCTACCCAAATTGTCGTACATGGGTTTGGTATAAAATGCACAACAATCCGCGAGAAGATTTCTCATGAAGCTGTCACCGCCAGTCTCAGACGCGCTGTGTGGTCCGTAGGCGGCGACCATATAATGAACGGACGCGTAGTAGATGGCAAAATTTGAGATTCCTATGAGGACAGTAGCTAATGACAACATCGAACCAGTGCAGTAGTGGTCCAGTTGCGACAAATGCGCAGATGAGCAGTCCAGTAGGGAGAAGGGTGACAAGGTATAGGAGTGGCTTGAGACGTGCCTTGGGTGCGAGCTGCTCGCCCTGGCTACGTCGAGCATTATGGCGGGCGATGATGGGGAAGAAGATGAAGTAGCCGATGATATATGAGGCGGCTAATGCGATGAGGGTGAGGGAGATTTCCACAGGTGTGAAGGACCGTTGTTCCAAGACATAACCATAGCTCCCGAAGAAAGATAAGATGAGCGCGTCAACGAGACCGCTCAGTAGCGCGAGGAAGAGCACGATGGTCTCAATCATGGGCAACTGATAGGGCCGGAACATGGTGATGGCGATCTCCTTGTAGTGAAGCCTTTCTCTCCACTCTTTGTCCTCGTTGGGTTCACGGGTGTTGGTATTGCCGTTCTTTCGTTCCTTCTTAGCGGCGCTGTCGAGCATGATGGGAGCGCAAGTCTCTTTGGCTATCACCCCGTGAAGCAGCTGGGTAACTACTCCAAGGACCAGCTGAACCCAAAGGCTTCAACGCCAACCAAGAAACTGCTCGAGCGGGCCTTCGAAAATACCTCCAATCGCGGGGCCGAGATAAGAAAGGAGCAAATACCACAAGACGGCATATTGCTGTTCATCTTTGTCAAACACGTCAGCAACCATACCCATAGTGACAGATCCACCCGCCGAAGACAAGCCCCCCATAGCTCTTCCACCGATGATTCCGACAAAGCTATTCGACGTGGCGCAAATCACGATCGAGATGTTTGTCAGCCCAAGAGAAGCCTGCATGACTGGCCAGCGCCCATAACGGGCTGCCGAACGTATATGCCATGGGGAAAGCAGTCATATCCAATCGGGCATTTGTGATTCCGAAGTAGTCGTTCAGCAGAGAGACGGCGTTGGAATATATCTAGGCGTTCAGTTTCATGCTGATTTGGCAGAAAGCGACGATAGTCAAGACGGACTGTGTTTGTCAAGGATGATGGTGGGTTCAGGGCTATAGGTTGAGAGGAGTGGTGTGATTGTGGTTGAAGTCTCCTGACTGGCACTTGACTGTGGTCAGGAAGGGGCCTTCGAAGTTATATTAGAAGACGTCAGGTGTGCATATGTTGTCGTTCGTTGTATGTATCAGGACTGCCCAGATGACTTGCATTGTGTTTTAGTGTTGTCACATTGGGATTTTTCGAATAAGGGTGCAGTGAACACGGAAGATTTTATACTTAGGCATGAATCTCATGATATCTGCTCAACTCTAAATCGCTATGAGTCACAACCGTAACTCTGAGTCTCTCATTTTGCGGAGCACTGCTCGTCCCATGAGACATCCGACATACTAAGCGAAAACACATTTTATCATGATACATGGGAAAAATCGAGTAAGCAAAGTAGAGGCTGGATCTATTGGCGCATGTATCTTAGTTATGCTACCAAGATACAAGAACTTGTACAAAATGCTGGGTAAGCGTATTAGATATATGTAACAAAGTGAGGTCAATTAGGTCTACAAGATTGAATAGCAGTAGAGCATTTTAGGCAGTCGTCTGTACGATGGTGGTGACCAAGAGCTGGTGACCAAGAGCTGGTGACCAGTCTGAGTGAGGACCATTAATCTTAGCGAAAATCTTTATTGCGGATACTAGCAAACAGCAGGCAGCGGTATGTAGTCTGAAGAACGACCAAAGGCATTGCTCCTGTGTTAGCGTCAGCAGCTTTGCACATCAAAAGCTTGCTTCCTCGCCCGCTTGTGCCTTCACTGAAATACACTACAAATCTGTGTCTCTTTCAAACGGAACATACGATGTCGGACTTCCACTTGCCCTGAACGAATTTGACTTGATTGTCACATGAATGCACGTTGTCCGGAGACTAGGGCCAAAGATACATAGGTTGACCTAACGCGCGTAGTACATGTAGTATCGTTTCCACTTGGATCATCTACGTTTTGGCGATCAAGCCTGTTCCTGATGGCTATGAGGTGAGGTCGACATCAGAGTGCTACCGCGTTACTTTGACAGTGTCATACACCAAGGGTAGAGAAACCCGGGTTCACGGGTAGGCACAGGAAGATGTGGAGTAACACGCTCCAAAACTATGTTGATACATGAAGTCATTGGACCTCAGGGTTGCACAATCTGCGAGCTCTCGACAACATCCTCGTATCTGATCACGTTCGCAGAAATCAGGGTGGAGAAGCCGCTCATTACTCGGTCGAGTGTTGCATCGATATTCAGGTAGCTGTAATTGCATACTCGGTATGCTACTACGGATACAGTCTTCGCCTTCGTCGAATCACAGCTCTTTCGTGGTGGCGCGACGTATCCACGGCCGGAAGGCATCAACATCCTACCGCCACGGTACAGCCACACCAGGCAGCTTGTCTTACCGCACGCTTCCCCACATCAAATGGCCTTGGTCGATCAGTTTTGCGACGCTCCTTGGCCTGGAGTTGTTTCCGCGGCTTGTTGCATAGCCAGAGGACGCGGAAGTATCCCAAAGAGGACGCAGTGTCCGATCGACAGCTTTTGACAGCCACCTCGATGCATCGACGACAGGAGCGCAGGTGGCCTTCTAGAAGACTGACATGAAACCTTTGAGACTAACACGACGTTTGGGCATGATCTGACGTAAGGTGATGTTTTCAAAGTTGCGTAGGGTAAAAGAACGCATGAACGTCAGACTTTCTGCCGGTCAATGGATAGAGATGCAATAGGAAACTGAAACGACAGTACCGCATGGATATTCCTGTGTACACAAGGTCGAGTTGTGTCAATATACCAACTGCTATAGTCGCAGAGTTAGGCATGTGCGGCGCTAGAAGGCGCCCTACGGATGATAGAGCTCAGGACTGTACCTGCAGCAACGGCACCCATCTATCCCTATCAAAGCGACGCCGTTTAGATTGGGTCTACAACGGGAAGAGGCCGGAATGTAACGCTATTAGATGTGTGTAGCGCTGAAAACGCATTCAGATGAGAAAATGTAGAATTTGGTGTTGCGGTGGTGAAGAGCAGTTCCTGGGGGATCCTAGGAGGTTCTGGCGTGCCGAAACCTCCGATGTCTGATCTCGGATGCGGCGATCCAGCACGAACCAGAACATGATCAACTTCCACGGTATCCCCAACCGTCTTCTTACCGTTCACGCATCTGTGCACTGCATATCGACCAGCATGTTTGAAGGCGGCCGTCAGATTGCTCTCCGCGGTCGCAGTCTGGCAAGGTAGTAGCCTGTGCTCCCATGGCAGTCGTCGTGACACATCTCTCCGCCATGGCGTTCACGCGTCTTCCCCTGCAGATGATGCGCTACCTTCCCGTTACACACCAGGAACAATCACTAGCGCTGATGGCTCAGTAGCATCCGACCCATCTAACATCGAGCAATCCCTTGCCGCTCAGGCCCCTTGAGCCGCAGCTAGACCCACCCCGTTGTATCCTTTGCTAACCCGGCCCATATACGAGGTAGTCTTAATACTTCTTACGTCGTCCTGTCCTCCATAGCAGTCGTGTGCCGCTCTTTTCGCCTATGTGCCCTTTGTATGACCTGTCCCGTCTTCTCGGTACCCGTTGCCTACATTCCTTCCGCTACACGTCCCCACTTTCGTTCTGTTAAGTAAAAGGCGGAGCCTAACATTCAAACTCTTATACCTCATCGACTGTCAATCGAAACTATCACATCCGTTTGGTATCCACACAACATGGTCAACATGGCGCCTCTTTTGCACCCACGAAGACTCGATGGCACGCCAAAACCCAACACCGACGCCCTTGGTATCTTCTACGTCGTCGTTGCCATAATGTACACACTGATCCTGAGTGTGGAGCTGTTCTTCCTACATCGGCGTAGAGAGGCCTTTTGCCTGCAGATACGCAATCTCAAGGTCGTGTTCGCAGCAACTCTTATGCTGCACATCTATCTCATCCTTGTCCTGCTGGTTTACCCTTGGAATGGCCTTTTCCCATGTTCAGCCGAGTTCTGGATCATGTCAGTATTCCTTCCGTCTGGGATGGCATTCTTCCAGGGTAAGTTCAGTGGTCCAATACAGCTTTTGGTGTGTACTAAGCCCTCGTAGCTTGCAACGCCAAGGTGCTCACAGCCTATGAAAGCCAGTGTCGAATGACGCGCAACTTCCTGGAGGGTGCGCGCAGGAAGCGGATATCTTATACTCCTCGTGGACTATATGAAGCATGGCGCGATCTTGATGCGGCAAAGAAAGTGTACTTTGGTACTTTGACTGGACTAGTGATTTCGGTATGTGACAGTTGTGATACATCAAGTCGTATACAGCTAACGGCCACAGTTCCTACCGGCTATCATGTTGTTTTTCGGCTCGCGCCGCTTCCACAATACCTATGGTTTCTTTGGAGTTCCTGCCAATTACCTCGAGTGCCGCAGAGGAGGCGAGTGGTATGTGGTATAAACAAACGTTTCGGACTCTTCCATTGACTTAAATGCAGGATCCCTTCAATATTTGTGCAGCTGTTCTGGACGATGATTGTTGGGCCTTGGATACTGTGGAAGATCCGCAACATCAAGGACGTCCACTCCTGGGCCTGGCAGACAAGACTCGCAATCATTGCAGGGTAGGTACGTTTGCCTATAACGCTATTCACATCGCTGACTTTGCTGTTAGCCTTCCGGGGACGCCACTTTGGATCGCCTTCACGTACTCTGACATGTCCAAAGTCCAAAACATCAACAAGTTCTTCGCACCAGCTGGGTGGTACGTAACGTCAATCTGGTACAAGTCTTCGTCAACTCTAACATCACGTTGTAGGTTTATACCGTCACTAGTAGTCTGCCAACAAGTTCTGATCATCATACCGCTCAGAGACGCATTGAGGGCCCGCCCGAACCGACGATTGTCGATTTCCGAAACTGACTCGCTCACCTCCAACCACTCAGTCATGTCAGAAAAATCTACTACGGTGGTCTTCACCAAAGAGATGAAGTCCAAAACGTCGATGCAGTCACTGGAGTTCACTATTCAGCATAGCATTGAACCCCTCATCGCTTGGGCCGCTGCCCGCGAATTCACGGCCGAGAACTGCATTTTTCTCCGCGAAGTGCGCAACTTCAAGAAGAAATGGGGCAGCCTCAAGGTTGTTACCACGGCGCAACGACGGCAAATGTTTAACGAAGCGTCTTTGCTTTTCTACACACTTGTCAATCCCTTCACCGCGGAAGCACCAATCAATATCGAATACAAGATCTTCAAGACACTGCAGGTCATGTTCGCAGACGTAGAGTTCGATCCGTACATGCCGCGCAGCCAGACACCTGACGACGTCAAGTCGCCAGTTTTCAGGGAAAACGTTGTCTGCCCATGGGAAGATACATTGAGCCGACCAGCGAGTATCGACTCTAGCATTACATCCTCATCAACAGCTAGCACACGGACGATTGTCCCGAGCGACTTCACAGAAGACGTCTTTGATGACGCTTTTGACAGTATCAAGTATCTCATCTTCACCAATACTTGGCCGCGCTATGTGGAGCTCGCAGGCAAGCTTCCATCACCATAATCTAATGGCTGCCGAACATCACTTTCGACGCCAGTTCCTGGTCTGGTAGAACCAGATCTTTCATTTTGTTAATACCCTCATCGATATCAAGGGTACACGGCCCAGTATCTCCATACCACCATGCAAGGCTTGGCCATGACACTACCAGTCCTTACCATTCTCATGTTCAGTTCATAGATATTGTTATATAGTTTCATTGGTTCGGATTTGGATAGGAAATACCCTCAATGGCACGGCGTACCTTCTTCTCATCTGCTATCCTGATTATGTCACATCTACCTTGCAATGTTCACTTGCCATTTCGCGCCAAACAGCCAGAACAGTGGAAGCCTAAAACGCCTGATACTCTAGACAGCCTTGAAAGCTTGTTCACTGCTCCATTTCTTTCGTTCATGCGATGAGTGGCACATTGACCTTCCGAAAGGAACGCGATCCTGAAACCTGACACATTATACGTCAAGAGTAGGTGTTGCGGATCTGCAGCTGCGTTTGGCTGGACTTCCGGTAGGGCTATCAGCCTACAGCGCGGTTTCGACCTGTTTTAGTAGCTGGGTGGGGCGAACATGGAAGTTGCTGACAGACAAAAGATCGTAGATCCCTACACACGACTCACGACTCACGACACGATCACCACCCCATGTGCAACTTCAGCAACTTATTCACATTATTCACTTTTTTCTTGTTCTCCTTTTGAACATCAAGACAGTCACTCAATTCCCTGAGAGTATGTCCTTACGCGACATTACTATGTCCCGCTAGCGCACCTCTGTGACCTACGCCGCAATCCCATTACACGGCACAGCAAGCCACCAACAGCGCCTTTCCCACTCCTTCCATCCCTTTCTCTCCGCAGCATCAAAACGGCTCGCGTGCTAGGCCCGGCACATACGCTTATGCATGGGGGGCCAGGCGTGTGGGGCAGGCGTGTTCGGAAGGCTCGAAGTACCGGCGCTGTGGTTTCGCGTCTTGGGGCGTTGAACGTCGCGGATTTGTCTGCTGAGGCGGATCCAGGGACCAAGGACCAGGATGCTGGAAAGTGGAAGACGGGAGAAAGACGTTCGGTTAGCGATAGGAAACGAGTATAGGCTGATGAGGTTGTGATATGTGCATGGTTTCGCGTGTTTGTAGGAGCTGCAAGGGTATAAGTCAACATCAAGGTGGGTATAGGCACTATGAGACCATGCGCCTCGTGACTGCTTAGTGTCGAAGTTCATCCGTGATCACCTTCGCATGCGTCGTCAATGGGTGATTTCTGACTCTGTTAGGAACATGTGTGAACGCGTACAATGTTCCATGAGTTGAAGACTGCGCTAGCGTGATTCATGACTTGCTCTGATCGTGTGGTCTCCAAGAGTAGCCTCCCACATAGAATTATCTGTCACATTTCTCATCGTCGTCAAATGCTATCGAACCTAAAAGTAACTCATTTCGCACTATCGTCAAGCTAACGATAGATCATAAGAGCAGTCGCGGGTATCTATCCCAAAACATCCGTCTCTCTATAATCTCTTCCTTTCCTGCTCTACAGCTTCTCCTTCTACCAAGCATCTATTTTCTCCTTTCCTTTGTGTTCCTCTTACATCACAATGCAATCGTTATCCCCGCTCTTCTCTCTGATCTTTCCCGGCTTACGAGTCGGTGCTCTAGTCATAGCTCGCGGATACGTCGTTTGGGTACTTTGCACTGATGCGCCGAGGCCACAATTATAGCAGCAGCGATGGACGCAGTGGTAGCATGGCATCATGATTGAAGGGTTGCTCGCAGATGCGCCATCGCCAGCGTTTGGAGTGCCGCAGGTGCAGCAGTACCAGCCCATTGAGAAGTTGAGGTTAGTGCTGAATGTGAGTGGATGTGGCTATGAGTTATTCGGTATGTATAGCTTGAGCCGGGCTTGTTAGTTGTGGGCGGTAGGTACGTGGCTATTTCCGTCAGTGACTATTGTATTGATGAGTTGCGGGAGTTGGCGTATCGAAGGTATAGAGATAGGAAGAAAGGCGAAGAAGACGCAATATATGTGAGGCCGAAGATAGCATGTGCTCTCACACTGAGAACTACACAGAGTTGAATATTGTCACTTTGGCAGCCATTACAATACCCGAGAAGAGCCTGCACGGTCATGTTTATGCACTTCTGATAGTCACACAATGCATGCTCACAATACGAACATCAAGATCGCAAGCCTGCCGACAATCCCACTGGGCTCTCCAGTCCTTCAACGCAGTATTCTTCCACAGCAGAGGCATCAAACACATTCTATCATCTTCCCCTATCGCACATCTGCTGCCACTCCTCTCCTCAGTTACCCATCACAATATGACCCAGCCTGGTACACGCTTCTTCCTCTTGTTTTATTTTTTATTTTTCTCTTTTCTTTCCACTTCTTTCACTCTCTTAGCATTCTGCAATGTTTCTTCAGCATCCTACACCCTATCTCTCATGGTAGCCTTTACGGAATATCTTGATAGTAGAACATGGATATGAATGAGGAGAACCTATCGAGATATCAATGGGAAGTGTAAATGTGAGTGATAAAGGAATGAAGACTCTGCTTAGTCTAGTATCCGCTAAATATATCAGTGATACACAGTCACAGTGAAACGTTTCAGAGTCGCTACGACTTACTAATCCATAACGAGTAACACGTGGGCCGATGTGGCTACGCTCTGTGGACTAAGTGCTCAGACTTCGTCTTTTTATCGAATTTTAGTTCAATGACATCAAGAGGGGAGAGGATATCACAGCTTGGTAGACCAATGTGCTAAACATGCTTTCGTGAAAGTAAAGTTGCCAAACTTTGGTGAAGGTTGTCGCCTCAGCTGTCATTGCCGGCTCGTTGTCATTCACAATGCGCACCCAGAGGTCTGGGAAGATATCTAGTGTCGCACAAAAGCTCATTCGGGCTTCGACTAATTCTATTGACTTGACACACCATTATGTGACCTGTACCTACGTACTCTACTTCGATGAATGTGATCCACTTCTGATAACACCGTCCTTCTCAGCCTTACTTCTCCTCAGCACTTCTAAAATCGCTAGTTGTGGAGTCCCTCTATACCCCGGAGATCCATAAGACCAACTCTAGTTTTCTTTCCTTTGTAGTTTGGACTTTGCTTCTTCTCTTCCTTGTCCAGATGACTAAGTAGGCTTTTTCTTACTGGATTCTTAAGGAAGAAGGGGTTCCAACCACTAGTCTTCGTGGAAGACGTTTCGTGGATAACGCAGTTATGGGTCTTGGAGTTTGTGCCATCTCTAGAACTGGTGATGGGTTTTTGGGAGGCCATAGCATGGTCAGAAATCGCAGGACCAGTATGGATGGTGCCTCGGGAAGCAGTAGCTCTGCTAGAAGCGGCGGGGATATTTGAAGTAGCCCTGTCGACAGAGCTATCAGCTTTCCATTGGTTTGAAACAGGATGGTCGGAACAGCCTGGGGTTTGCCCAAAGACACATTTGTCGTTGTTGCATTTCTCGCCAGGCTTGGCCCCTACACCCCTCCTTCCGTTGTTTTTACCACAAGCGCAAGTCCAAGTCATGACAAGTAGGGATACCAGCCGTGAGTATTGTAGGAAAGCTTTCGAGCTTTCGTCGTTGAAGATTGAAGGTCAGCGGTCAACGAGGAATGAGGTGCCGAATGACTTCGTGGACGTAGGTGGTGATGATGTAGGTCCTCGTATGTAAACTCCCAGATATGTAGATGATGAGGCGTAATGTTAATGATGTATGTAATATAGTATAGGTCGAAATACTGCCATATATAGTGTCCTAGCAATGTCATGTTTACATGTTCTTGCTTCAGTGACACTTCGCCATCAAAAGTCGCTCTTCAAGTATGACTACTGTAACTCGCGCAGCGGTATGACTACAACTTTCGAACCACATCAACAGTATGTCGGTATTACAATACCTAGAAGAAGATCCCGCGCTTCACAAATAAGCACATGTTCTTCCAGTACCGTTGTGATGGCGCTCACGTTCTCACGTGATGATATTCCGGCTCTTCCGAAGGTATACGTTGATGCCTGGTTGCGTATCGTCTCTTTAATTTCTTCCTTCTGTTTGCAGACCAATTCGGATCCTCCTCCCACTCTCGGGACGCAGCATCAGCACTAAGGTGCATCGTTTCGACCCAAATAATTGTTTCATACGACAACTATCAGATCTTGCAAGCAGCGCCTCATAAGGCTCCCAATCATGATCAACTGTTCTGGTACTATCGAACATGGAGGTCTCTGCTATGCGTTTAGATCCATGTATGCCTTAGTAGAAGTTATTAAAGACCGACAGCCCAATTCGCCCGCTACCCTGGAAATTAGGAACCTGGAAGATCTCATCTTCTCCCGGGACGACGTGTTCTAGCGAGACCATCGGCATTCTCAAGCTGCGTTTGCAGATTGGTGCCAGGAAGCGTACTAAAAGCTGAGTTGGGATCTCACACAGAAATGAATGACTCGTTCTAGCTATGTGGTATCGGTGTCAGTGTCAGATGGCGAAGGTTGGTATGACCCAGAAGAGTGAGTCTCTGGTAATGGCCCTGAACGCGAAAAGTAGGTTGAATTTGCAGGGGAGAAGAATGTGACCTGTAGATGAAGAACGTCATGTGGAAAGTCGTGGGGAAGTGATAGTCACGTGAGCTATGATGAAACAGGACAGGGTTCCTTGGCGTACGGGGAGGCAGTGGCGCATCAGCTCGGATCAGCAAACATCACGTCGTCCATCTTCACGCGTCGAGACATATCCAGTAAGACGCCCAACCTCTCTCGAGTCTAGTATCCCTCGCGCACTGCCAGCAGCACCTTGGGCATCGTGCGCATCTTTGCGCCTGCCCTCGTTCCAGCAACTACAAGCCACACCGCTGTCGGCTGTGGCTCCTCAGGCGGAAAGTCCGTCCCACCGCCGCCCCACTGTGAATTCACGAGCTTGAGCTCCGTCACCACCATCATGTCAGGCCCAGTCGCAGTTGCCCGCCCGTCGCAGCCTCCCCGATTGCGCCGGGAGTCACAACGCCCTGGAGTCGCGCGCACCATGACCCGCCAGTCCACCATGGAGGACGAGGGCGCGAAGCAGGAAGATGCCAGGAAATATGGTATGCCGTCAAATACAGCATATAAGGCGCATTCGCTAACATGTCGCGCAGTCTACACGCAGCAAGACATCCTGGCCAGGCACAAGGGAAAGCCGCCATCCCTCCGCGTGTACCTGCATCCCAAGCACTTCCGCTTGAACGACTCGCAGGAGACGCTGTCCTATGCCTCTCCTATGCGCGAGCTTCTCCAGGCCATCAAGGACAAGGAGGTGCCTCACAACATGGTCGAGGAGCTCTACGAGTTCAACACGCCTTGGTACGACAATTGCCTCATCGTTGAAGTTCACGACTACCGCTCAGCCGGTGTGAAGCCCAAAGATGATACCAACAGCACTGGCGAGGCCGGCACGAGCGCCTTCTCCATTCACAACTACAACAATTTTATAACGCCCTCCCCGTTCGCGCCATTCCCCGTCAACAAGCCCGATTCGAAGCCTGGCCAGCCCAATGCACCGAGCAAGGACGGAGAGACCAAGGAAGACAAGGAGAACATGCCTGCTCCTGGCCAAAACGGGGCCTTGGGCAAGCAACCTGGTATTGGCAAGGTCAGGACAGTAGTACTCTTTCCAACCACGCAGTCGCAGTTGGCCGACATGCAGCTTCTGGCCACCACGCCCATCCCAGACATGGCCACCCTCAAAAGAATGCAGGCTCAGGGCAGAGCTGGAGGCATGCCGCCCACGCCAATGACGGCAGTACCCTCGACGCCCACCTTCCCCAACGGGCCCAGTCCGAAGCGCCAGAAGATGGTCCTCGACGACAGCAACGTGCACGAGTTCGAGGCTGAGTTCTTGAATGCTACATGCCCACCCCTCTACTTGGAGCCTACCAAGAGCTTCGGCCAATCGCTCGCGCTTATGGATGCCATCACACACCCGAACAATAAGAACCCCGCTCCACCACGCAAGACTCGCAAGAGGACTACCGCCGAGTTGGCTGCCGACGAGGCCGAAGCCCAGAACATGCAGCGCTTCATGTTGGCAGGCGACGAGTTCCAGAGCATCATGACGGCCACCGCCACAGGCAACGATGACAACGCTGTGCGCGCCGCTGCGAATTCCCAGACCTTTGCTCGCTTCAAGACTATTGCTAATATCCGTGCAAACCACGAGGAAGCCGACCGGAGGAAGAAAGAAGAAGATGCCCGAATTGCTCAGGCCAAGCGTGCAGCGCAGATGGAAGCCGAGATCCAGAGAAAGAGGGAGATGGAGAACAGACAGCAGGCCGAACTTGCCGAGCGTCAACAACAGCAACAGGCCCTTCGCCAGCAAGCGCATCAGGCGCAACTACAGCAAAACCAGCAGCAGAACGAGGCCGCGCGAGCCGCTGCAGCAGCACAGCACCAGATGTCGAACGCGGCAGCGATACAGGTCACGCAGACACCTCAATCGACTACGCAGTCTCAGTTTTCACCTACCATACGACAGCAGACGCCCATGGCTGCCGCTGCAGCATCACCGTTGGTTGGTGGGCAGTCTGCGCAACATTTGGGCGGCACCCCAATGGTTCCAACAGCTTCGAACCAAGCCATCAACAGTCCTGCTCGCCCGCCGTCTGCTGTCTCCAATCATCAGAATATGATCCGCTCCGTCAGCCAGCAGCAAAATCTGAGCCGCACAGGCACACCGCACATGGTGCAAGGCACCCCCGTAATGAACGCCTCGATGCCGAATCGTAACATGACTCCTACGCCTAGTCGCATGAACCAGGGTAGTCCATCCATGATGCAAGGGCAGACACCAATGATGATACAGACTCCTCAGCCTGGCCAGAATATGACGCCTGAACAGATGCAACAGATTCAACAGCAGCGCTTGCAGCAGCAAATGCGCATGCAACAACTGCAGCAACAAGGAGCATCACCAGGTAATCCACAGCAACAAATGCAACAAATGCAACAAATGGCATTCCAAAAGGCCGCCCAGCATATTTCGCAACAAGGAGTGCCTCAAGGTCAAAATCCGCAAGCATACCGCAATCAACTGGCACAGCACTATTTCAACCAATTAAAACAGCAGCAGCAAAATCAACAGCAGATCGCCTTGCAGAATATGTCACCTCAGGGAGGCATGCAGCAAAACAGTATGCCTTCACAAGGCATTACCTTTGCTAACCTCAATCTCCAGCAGATGCGGCAGCGGTATCAACAACACAAGCAGACGGTCATGCAGAATTACGGCCAAAACATTCCTCCGCAAGTCATGCAACAGATCCATCAAATGGAGATTCAAATCAAGCAACGGGAGGCGCGTGAACAGCAACAAATGGCAATGGCACAAAACATGCAGAATGGCATGGGCAACCAGATGAACGGCGGCCAAATGAACGGCATGCAAAACGGCAACCCGACCAACCCTATGCAAATGCAACAATACCAGCAAATGCTCCAGCAACAACGCCAACAAGCCGCAAATCAATCTCGACTTCTGCAAATGCGTCAACAAGCCATGGCGAGCGGCGGTCAACTACCCCAGGGTATGATGGGCAATATAAACGCCATGAACAACATGCAAGGCGGTGGTATGCAGGGCATGAACATGGGTAACATGGGCAACATGGGCCAGGGCATGAACATGGCACAGATGGGACAGATGAACGGTGGCATGGGAGGCATGCAGGGTGGACAGATGAATGGTGGTATGCAGGGTATGCAAGGAATGCAGGGCATGAACCAGCAGCAGATGAACCAGATGATGATGATGCGCCAAGCACAGCAGCAGGCCCAGAGGATGGGACAACCTGGTGGGCAGCAAGGTGGGGATATGGGGTGGACTGGTTAGAACTCCTTCTACCTCCCTTCCCCTTTGCCCTCTCTTTCTTCTTCTTTAGGTATGTTTTATTAGGGACATTTGGACAGGCGAGATGGGATACAAGGTGTTTTTTTATTTGGCATGGGGAAAAGTTCATTCTTCAAAGATACCCCGGTGTTGGGATGGGACTTTATATCTTGTTTACGACAGTCACGGCACACTAGGGTTTCTGACTGGTATAATTGGGTGGCTTATTATTGACTTCGTGTTGTTGTAAGTGTAGACCCTTTATCAGATATCGTATATCATTACTGAACTCTGAGATCATTATCTTCCATTGCTCGTCTTGTACCTATGCATAGCATCTTCATGCTGTGCACTCTCGGTCTTCTCCTGGGTCTTGCGATTTCTATTTCTTGCCTTTCCCCTTTCCTTTTCCTTTCTTCTCGCCCCCTTTGCGCTGTCCAATGACCTCTCTATACACCATCACAACTCCTAACGGACAAGAGAAGAAACACAGCTTGGCTGGGTTATCGCAAAAGTCGCATATTGCAGTACCGTCGATTCGATGCCAAGCCAGTTCCACGACCTCGACCTGGGTATCGGGTATAGAGTCCGAAGCAGACCTGGCAGTCGCACGCAGCTGGCGAGCCTACATATGGGCTAAGCGGACACGGCGTTGTAGGCGCAGAGCTTCTGCATCTGCGGTACCGCTGAAGAACTGTTGTAAGTAGTCTTGGACCATAATCTCCTCCTTTTGCCGCGCTTTCTGCGCTGCTAGTTCTTCTTGCGCTTTTAATGCAGCGAGGTATTCCTGGGCTTTTCTCTCTTGTTCAGCGCGATACTGCTCTCTGACTCGCGCTTCCCGTGCTTCAGCCTCTTTTTGGCGCTGTTCGCGACGCTGCTTCTCTTTGACTTCTTGTTCTTCTTTCCATTGGCGGAGGTGCTCTTCAGCTGCCTTGTCTCGTTCTTTATGGGCTCGTTCTGCTGCTCGACGTGACTGCTCTTCCGCGACTCTTTCCTTCTCTAGTCGGGCAGCACGCCCCGTTTTGGCGCAGGCTTCTTCCTCTGCTCCGCGTTGTTTCTCTTCTGCAAGTCGTTGCTTTTCCTCCAGTATGCACGCTCGTTCCTTCTCCGCCTCGAGACGTTCTTGCTCTTCTTGGCGCGCATACTCGGCAAGATCTCTATGGTACTCTTTCCATTCCTCTCGCACTTCCTCGTAACGTGTATTGTATTCACATCGTGTCGTGCAATCTGTAAGTACGTCGAACGCTTCGCGTACCTATAATTCGTCAGTTCATCTTTGGAGGGCTCTATTGGCAGGTACATGTACCCGTCTAAACTCGACAGCGTCTATCGTCTTGCCTGGCGCCTTCTTATCCGGGTGATATAGTAGCGCTCGTATGCAGGAAGCCTTCTTGACGTCTAATGCTGTAGCGTACAGATTCAAAACCAGGTTGAAATAATCATCTAGTATCTCGGGCTTCGTGGGCTTGTAGAAGTGCATCTTTGTAGATCTTACTCTCAGTCCTCGCGAAGCTCCTTGGTGCCTCTGGTGTCGACTTTGTATGCGTCCTCGAAAAGATGACAACTAGTGTACGATGAATGCAACACAATTTGCGAGTAGTCTACAGAATACAGTAGAATGAGGACGGTAAAGACTTTCAAACGTGTTGTGAGTGTTGAGGTCTCAGCCGTCGTGCAAACGTACAGGGAAGGAGCGACCGAATGTGCCGCACACCAAAGTGAGAGCAAAGCGCATCACAACAAATCTTATGGACCCTAAACTATCCGTGTGTCTCTATTGTACAGCTGCTCACCTATTTTCGATACCACATCCTTGTCACTTTCGTATGCCTGATCTTTTTCTGCAACTGAAAGATACCATATAACAACGCCTCAGTTGTCGGGGGACAGCCTGGAACATAAATATCGACAGGAACAATTCTATCCACGCCTCTCACCACACTATAGCTGTAGTGATAGTAGCCACCACCATTCGCGCAGCTTCCCATGCTGATCACCCATCTTGGCTCGGGCATTTGATCATAGCATTGCCGAAGAGCGGGTGCCATTTTGTTGGTGACTGTGCCTGCAACAATCATCACATCTGCCTGGCGAGGGGATGCGCGAAAGATGATTCCTAGTCTGTCCTGGTCGTAGCGAGGCATTGAGCAGTGCATCATTTCCAGGGCGCAGCAGGCGAGGCCGAAGCTTAGTGGATGGAGAGAGCTTTGTCGAGCCCAGTTGAGTATCTGATCCGCGGTTGTTCTGCAACTGTTAGTGGAGGAATTATAGTTCTTCGAAGAGCTCATCTTACAGAACATGTTCGACGACGCCTCTAGGTTTGACAGTGGTTGATGGGAGGAGTGTTTCGCTGCGCTGACGGTCGATTCTTAGGTTGACGGATAAAGAAGGACAACTGGAGAAACTACAGCATGTTGTGCTTCTGAATACTGAATGTGCGATGCGTGGTCCTGTGATATATGCTGGGTAATGTCAGTCTGGTTCACTCAAGATATACAAAGTGAACATGTACATGATGCATGGCAACTTTTGCGACTTACGAACTCACGGAGCTTCGACATGGTTTTCAATAGTACTAAAAGGAAGAAGGCTCACTTCCGCAATTTGTTCGCTGACACAAGGTAGTAATGGCTGGAGCATGAGTAGCATGTCACGTGCCTTGCTCTTTACGGTAAGGTGGTTGCGATTTAAAGCCCACATGAATGGAAAGCCCACATCCCCTGACCGCCAAAAGCCCACATCCGACCCTGAAAAGCCCACACCTTAACGGCAGTGCCCGCAACGAAGACTCAACTCATGTCAAGTCGCACCGGGCCAAGAGCCCAAAGTGCATCCCATCAATGTCCCAAGTGCGAAAAATCCTTCACAAGCAACAGTCACTTGCGACGGCATGAAGCCAGTCGTACGTTTACTATCTCGGATTCGGCCATCTGATGTCTGACACGGGTAAGATACGCGTAATCGCTTGAACTCCTGCGCCTTTTGCAATCGCGCTTTCGTTCGCCAGTACGTCTCTCATGTATGATTGTTAGCCATCATCAGCCTGACATCAAACCCTGCATAGTGATGTCCTTAGAAGGCACTCAAAATCATGTCAACAAAGAGGAGAACATGATGCGATAGCCTCAGCAAGACCAGGACGACCGCCTCGTTCCGCAAAGATTGGGAAGTATGCACAAACGCCATGTTTGTTCGCTCGTGGAGTTAATACTAGTGATGTGGATCGTGACACCACGATAATAGTAAAAGGCTGTCAGGGTATCCCTCTGTACCCGATCAAATTTCTGTATCGTTATACAGATCCTCAGCGCGACTCGATCCTCAATGCTTTCGCTGATGAACGAACACCCATGCAGCCTTCCAGTAACCAGGCGAACCACGATGCGAATAGTCAGCTATTCGAAGGCGACATGGCACTCTTCGGTATCTTCTCGGATCTCTTCATGGACACGGGCACAGACATCTGTGCTTCTACACCAACGGCACCTGCAAGACCTCAGACAGCGCCCATTCTCCAATCCAGGGTCGACGAACTTTCTTCTCGGCTTTTTTCGTACAGCGAAACACGTCGAACAGTCAGATTGAATCAAAACGATGTCTTTCCTGTGAACGCCGCAAAAACAGTTTTTACTGCGGAAAACTTTGAGGAATGTGCCTGGGCTTATTTCACCGTCTTCCATCCCCAACAGCCTCTCCTTCATTGGCCAACATTCGATATGCACAACGCCCCGCTACCCTTGTTGCTTGGTGTAGTCTTTTGTGGATCCGTTCATTGCTCTCCGACGGATGGTGCACTATCCTCTCGTGCCTTTTTTGATCTGGGTGAGGAGTTCATCTTCGAACAACTACGTGATGTAGTCGCCGCGAGACCTGATCTCGGTACTGGTGGTCATCGCGCACTGGAACATGTGCAGGCCGCCCTACTCATTGTGGCCTTGCAGAGTAGCTTCAACAGTGAAGCAGTCCGCCAACGCGTTCGGGTCTCAAGGCATCCAGAGCTGACTGTCGCCATAAGGACACTCAAGTTGCTCAGACCGATGACTACCAACAGCTCTCACAACAAGGTAACTGAGTGGAATGCATTCATCGCCGAAGAGTCTAGAGTGAGGTAAATCAAACACTGGTCTATTTGCAGTATATGACAAAGAACTACACAGCTAACTTCCCCTTAGAATTGTACACTTCATGTGTGTCATGGATCACATGAATACCTTCTTCTTCAATCTACTCCCGAATTTGGCAATAGGAGAAATCCATCCGCGGCTTCCTTGCAACGATGCGCTCTATGATGCTTGGACGCCGGAAGATTATGAGCGATCATGCACCGAATCGCTACGTCCAGTAAATCAGATACCAAGTATCAAACAGTTGGTTGCTTTCTTGATGGGCGAGGATTGGACAGGGGAGAAAAAGAATTCGCTTCTCAACGTCCTTGAGCTACGACATCTCATGATCTGCATATTCGGTAAGTAAAGTTACCTATCTTCCTCGTCCGTATCCCTATTCAGACTTAATGGTATTAAACAGCGCTGCATTCAATCATATTTGTATCGCGTGCCGCTCTTCTGATATCATCGTCATATAACAACTTACTTCATGCAACGCGTCGTTGGAAAGAGCTTTGGGATACTTTGCACGCAAGACGCGAGGGTGAGCACAGGAGGTCGTTGGGATTTATTAGACACGGACTGGAGATGTGGTGGGTTACGTGTAAAGTACTTGAGTTGGCACATGCTGGTGACTTGCAGAGTCGCTATATGGCGGTCAGTCCTACAGACTCACTGGTGGAGTTGCATGATTTTATCATACAGTATGGGAATTGTGTGGACAGATGAGCGTGCGAATTCAAGTGTAGGCGAGAAAGACATAGTATATCTGGTGTTGGTGCCTATCTAGGTACCCTGCATGGAAATCATGTGATTGTGGATGAGATTGCAATCGAACCACGACGATACGAGCGCAAACTTGACAAAATCTCACCACGGGAAAAGTCAAGACGGTTATTGTATAGCCTGGACTGTTCTACCAACGAACAACAAGCCCTTCACCGCGCCCATGTGATGAGTTTTGTCGCTATCGTGTTTCAAGTTAAGACGCCCCGTACCCAATCCATGGTTGTGGCCTGTGGCGTCCTAACCCAACCTACACCATTTAGCGAAATGACATAATGTATCAAAAGTATCAAAGCGTTTCAAACACAAGCTTTTCTGACACGGGAACTGGCAAGAAACAGGTAGTAGGGTACACGTTTATGCGTTCTGGAAGCATCGATCGTGATGTTGTGATGCGTTGGTAGATGTTATCGGCCCTTTTGAGGAGTGCCAATTGTGTGAGAGGACTGAAAGGTGGGCTCGTATTCGGGTCGCAGGAAAGCCTGGTGTCCATCGATCGATACTTTAGTTTTTCGGTCTTCATGCATGTGGTGGGGTGGAAGAATACGATAGATTGGTACGCTTGTGGGAACGGAGGTTTAGGAAAAGCAATGTGGCAACGGCCTCGCGCGATGATGTGATCGGAGGGACCGGAGCGCAGTGATGAGTAGATCTGTACTTGCTTCATGGGAAAGTGCGAACCGCTGTAATGTTGGTCGGGCCGTGAAGAATGCTTGGTATCATGGGTGTGAGATGAGATGAGACTGTGTAGCGGCTCGAGCAGCATCTTGCCTCTTGACCGAACGGGTGGTAGTTGGATCTAGGCTCTAGTATACCCTTTTGCTTTTCAGCTGTCTTGGTGCCATGACGGCGTGGAACCGGATTTTGCGAACTGCAGCGAATGCGAGGCGATGCGCTGAGGCGCGCAGCTATCGACGCAGCTAGAATCATTGGCGGTTTGAGTAATTGCAAATTGTTACGGATGGCCTCCTTCAGGCTGTGAAGAAAATTTCCACTCTTCCTACAAGCTGTGACTGCAGTTTCTTCTCGTGTGTTGTGGATATAGCATGGTGTTCATGCGCGCCCGAAGGATTGGACGGGTGGGCGTTACGCCGTTTACCAAGCGCTATTGTTTGACAGCTGGCGGGGCAGCGCATGGCTACACGGCGTAAAAGCATTGTTTCGACGTTATCGCGAGTTGCCGTGAGCGATGACGGAAGGAGGCTTCTGTCCCGAAGCTATCGCTTGTTTGAAACACGATAGGCACAGAGGGGCACCAACACAAGCGGGGCTCATGCAAGCAACACCAAGTCGGAGATGCACATGGCAGATTGGCAGTAGGGTGAGCGATGTTCTGAGGATGGCATGACCATAATGTAAGGTGGATTGTGATGATCATTAGCCAATCTTTTCGTTTTATTGCCTAGAAAACACTGGGCAAACTTGAGTTCATCGTTGAGGGGCCTGATCCCGAGACCCGGGTAACCGATGTCTTGGAGCCTTGGAGTTTCAATCTTATCTCAAGACGGTAGGGTCTCCCTTGAGTCAAAATTGAGTCGCGACAAGGACGGGAGTCGCGAGTCGCGAGTCACCGTGGAGTGAGGATTGTTGCAAGTCATTTCCGATAACAGCCTGCGGGCTTGGTGAATCGTGGCAGTAACGATGTGGCCCGCATGATTGTGTGTGTGTGATGTGGATTAACAAGTGTACAACGTTGAATAAAGCGATGCGATGGGAGACCTGGCATTGTAAACAATTAGGAGACCATCTGGTCCAATAATGGCCTTTGCTGCAGCCGCGGCAGTGCACGTGTTTTCTTTGTGCGTGGCGCAGTCGAGCACATGGCACCTCAACTGTCATCGCATGAACTTCACATGGCTTTTCCTGTCAGACTCACCCGAGAACCGACTCACACGACAAGACGGTTGAACCCTCCACTCTCAAACTCAGGGACACAGACAAAGACCGACTCGACTCACAGGGTTCTTCATCCTCCTCCGGTTTGCGCCATAGTACAGGTGGAGATTTCATCAGGACAGGGCGTGGCGGCACTAAGGAATGGGTTTTGCCTCGGCGGCCTGACAAACATGTCAAGATGCATGAGAGGCGTGTGAAAGCCGTTTTACCAATACCGATGCGAGTGATCTTCCCCAGGTTGCTGATGAGGTTGACTCGCTTGTTGTTCTGTTTTAAGCAGACTACTTTAGGCGCCGGAGTTCTGGAGCCGCACAAGTCTTGGGATGGACCTTGCTCGGGCAACCGTATTGGCAGGAATAGATTAGGCGGGTGGTTTGTGAAGTTATGAGAGCGGGTGTGGCGGAGCAGGAATGATGGGATGAGTCTACTACGAGAGATGGGATAAGTCTACTATGAGAGATGGGATAATGGCAAAAAGAAGGGTTCAGCCCGACTGTAAGAGCTGGAAGCCAGCATGGCATCCCGGAGCGAATCATGCGTCGTGGAGCAGGCCGGGACTCGGCATCGCTTCGCATCCTTTCACTCTCTCAACCCTCTCGGCCATTCCCGTTGGCGGTGGACAGACGGTGAGCGCAGGCTTGGTTTCATGGCGCATCCAGGCACGGCAATCTGAGTGGACAGCTTCCTTCGTGCCGTTTCAGCGCCTAGACTGGCCGGGCGCTGCGGAGCCAATCAGCCGCCTGTTCCGTTCCTCAACCCCTGCATGGGCCTCACCAACCCTCCCATGTTGCGAACTTCATATCCACTGTTTCCCTCGCTCCCCCTCTGACCTCACGCTTCGCCGTCCCTTGTCGTGTCGATTCCATACCTTCGTTTCTTGTCCAACTGTTGCTCACTCGCTACGGCAACATAGTACATACACTTTCGCTTCATACACTCCACGAGCCGGCTTTCACGTCCCCTATTTCCACTCTCTAGCCCCCTGGAAGACGAACCTGACTGACGTCGCTGTCCAATATCCTCGGCACTACTCGCCTTCACTGTCGCTATTATCGATACTGCAGATCGCAAATTCGCCGCCTACGCACTACTGTCAACTAATTCCACCGGACTGGACCGCGTCTCGTTTTCAACCACCCAACTACTACCAATTCACCATCTCGACGTGCAGCGCACTGTCGGTTCTCTCCAATCCTTGTGCATACACACCGGCTTCTTCACGACCCATTGTGATGTATTCACGGTGACCACAACCTATTCCTAACCCACACTGTCAACACCAGCCGCTTCGCAAAGCGCCCGTGGGATATAGGTTCATTGACAACGACGCCGCGCTATTCCCCCTGCTTCAAGAATCCCGTCATTGAAAGCACCTGGTAGTGCGCAACACACTTCACCGATCGCATCGCGTCGCATCACGTAGCCTCGCACCTCCGAGAACCGACTCACAAGCGACCTGCACCACTCCACAACCGAATCACAACTACCGAGACATGTCTCTCACAAGTCTTCTCCGCCTCCGTGGCGCCCAACCCACCACACCCATCGCCAAGCGCCACTTTCTATCAAATTGGGATGCTGCCGAATTCGATGATCTCAAATACTCCTATGGTCTCGAGGGTGTGGACCAAGTCGGCAACTACCTATGGGTAGACACATTCCTGTACCTCCTGGTAGGTATCTCCGGACTTCTCCTTATTCTGCGGATATCAAACATGTGGTGGAAACACAGCCGTCACCTGAGCGCAATGGGAAACCCAAAACAAAAGTACTGGGAGGTCAACCGGACAGGCTGGTGGCCATGGCTCAACAGGCATGTCCTGATGGCGCCCCTTTGGAAGAAGAAACACAACGCCCAATTCCAGATCAGCAGCGCCATCGACAATGGAACCTTACCTGGCAGATGGCACACCATCATGTTGGTCATCTACGTTGCCCTCAACGTAGCTTGGTGTGTCGCTCTCCCCTACAATGTGCTCGACCACAAGGAGACCCTCGCTGCGCTCCGTGGACGTTCAGGAACACTCGCCGCCCTCAACCTCATTCCCACCATCCTCTTCGCCCTGCGCAACAACCCTCTCATCACCCTTCTCCAGGTTTCGTATGACGACTTCAACCTGTTCCACCGCTGGGCCGCACGTATCACCATTGTGGAGGCTATCGTTCACACTATCGCCTGGTTGTACAACACCAAGCTCGCAGCGGGATGGCCTGCCGTCACTGCCGCTCTGCACACCGAAGGCTCGTACGGCTGGGGCATGGTCGGAACTGTGGCCTTCACCTTCCTCGGTATCCAAGCATGGTCGCCCTTCCGCCACGCCTTCTATGAGACTTTCCTTAACATCCACCGTCTGTGTGTCATTGCTGCCCTCCTCGGTCTCTACAAGCACTTGGAGCTGCACAGCCTCCCCCAAGTTCCGTGGATGCACCTCGTCTTCTTCTTCTGGGGTGCCGAGTGGGTCTGCCGGTGGGCATCAATCCTTTACTATGGCTTCGGCGTCAGGCAACGATCTTCAATTACCGTCGAGGCCATGCCCGGAGAGGCTGTCCGCCTGACCATCAACATGGTCCGCGAATGGACTCCCCGCCCAGGTTGTCACGTGCACATGTGGATGCCAGCCCTTTCCCTGTGGTCTTCGCATCCCTTCTCCGTCGCGTGGGCTGCCACCCTCACCCCTGATTCAAAAGAAATGACACTGCCTATGCTTGAAGGTGATGTTTTCGCCATTCACGGCCGCCCGCAGAAGTCAAAGCAAATCAGCCTTGTCTGCCGTGCCCGCACAGGACTCACTCGTCACATGTACGAGAAGGCTTGCAAGAGCCCCAACGAGCAATTTACTACCTTTGGCTTCATTGAGGGACCGTATGGTGGCCACCACAGCCTAGACTCTTATGGCACTGCAGTACTCTTTGCTGGTGGTGTTGGCATCACCCACCAAGTCATGTACCTCAAGCACCTTGTCAACGGCTACAATAACGGCACCACCGCCACCCAAAGAATCGTCTTGATCTGGACAGTCCCCACATCCGATTGTCTAGAGTGGGTGCGACCCTGGATGGACGAGGTCCTCCGCATGAAGGGTCGCAAGCAATGTCTCCGCATCAAACTCTTCATCTCAAGACCCAAGGGTCGTGTTGAGAGCAGCAGTGAGACAGTCAAGATGTACAGTGGTCGTCCGAATGTGTCAAGCTTGATCGAAGACGAGGTCAAGAACCGTGTCGGTGCCATGGCCGTCACAGTTTGCGCGTCAGGCGGTATGGCTGATGGAGTAAGGCATGCGGTTAGACCGTTCCTTACCCAAGGTAGCGTGGATTTCATTGAGGAGGCCTTCACATACTAAGAGGGTCTTTATCAAGAACTCCAGTCTTGTAACGATATTGTTGGCAATGTTCCGCTTTATTTATTCCTTGCTTCTTCAGAACCACCTGCCATCCTATCGCACCACATCGTGCACGACGCTACGCCCAACCACCTTGGGCAAGTCACACCCAAGCTCATTGTACATCATCCGACCACCCACATATCTATACTAAAACATTATCTTTCTTATCATTCCATCATTGTTCACTTCTTGTAACTACTTGTTCATAATCATTTACTTCTTGTCCATATGTCCTCGTCTCATACTTGTCATGTCTCTCTTTGAATCTCTGATTGGGCGTTTTATGAGCGATGCATTTGTTAGCGTTGTCTGGGTTTTTGTAGATATTCTAGAGTAGCTTTTTGTGCAGTATACCATCTACCAGGAAAGTTCATCATCATCTTCCACAATTCCCTCTAGCTGCTTTGGCTCTGCGTGTGCGGCTCTACTCCGCGTTTACTGATCGTATAGAAGAGATATTCTTGGGTCAGGGTCTAAGCCCGTAGATCAGGGGACCGGGCATCGTTCTAGACACCTTCACATCATTCCCAAGCCCACTCAATCGTCACTTCCCCCACTTCGATTGCCTGACGGTCCACGTAATCGCTGTCTTCCTTCCTTGTGTTCGTGGCTTAGTCGAACACGACAGACCGCCGAGTTATCCGGATCGCGTTAATGATTGGGTGAAACGCGTGAGTAAAGTGGAGTCGGCCAACTTGCATTCTCCACATTGGCGCCGAAGTGGCGGTGACGACACTGTGGCTGAACTGCGACTGCGACATCCCTTGTGTCATGGCAGTGTGTGTATAAATAAGAAGGTGCTACTTCGGCGCCGATGGGGTCGTGCCTCTCCGAATCAGTTCACAAGGCTGTCGAGAACATTAATTTCAACTTTAAATCGTCTTCTTCCTCCCACCAAACCTTGATCTTCAACTCGACTTACTACACATTCAACTCTTCACCTAGTAAAACCTAGTCAACAGAATCTAAGTCTATTCCCTTGTATACAAACATCATGTCTGGCTACGGTGGCTACGATGGCGGATACGGACAGCAAGGAGGCCATCAACAACAAGGTGGTTATGGACAACAAGGCGGCTATGGACAAAACGACTACAATGGCGGCGGTGGACATCAGCAGCCTCCTCACCACCAACAACAACCACACCATGGTGAAGCCAGCCAATATTATGGTGGTCAAGGAGGTCCTCAAGGCTTTGGTCAGCAAGGCGGCTATGATGCAGCACCTCCTCAGTACCAGCAGCTCCCCTCTGCCGCAGCCCACTCATCCAATTCGGGTCGCAACTCAATGAACCAAGGCTACCAGAACCAATACAGCGGTGAGGGTGACCCCGAGGGTGACCGAGGCATCATGGGTGGTATCGCTGGTGCAGCAGCAGGAGGCTATGGCGGCCACGCTCTAGGTGGTAAAGCCGGCCACGGCGTAGCAGGCACCGTAATCGGAGCTCTCGCCGGAGCATTCGCAGGACACAAAGGCCAAGATGCCGTAGAAGACAAGTGGCATGAGCATAAAGAAGAGAAGAAAGAAGAGGAAGACCGTAAGCGATATGAAGAAGAGGAAGAGCGACGACGAAAATACGGACAACAGCATGGTGGCCCTCCCCCAATGCAACACCACCAAGATTCCAGCAACCGTTCGCACGACCAGCGCTCCCCAGGCGACTTTGGCGGAAACTTCACTGCCTCGTCTCGCGACATCAGGCTTGATGCCCACGGCGAGTATACACTCCACGCCCAATGCCGTCGCGCAGACGGTTCCTACCAATCCTCCTCCATCTCGCTCAACCGCATTCTCGAAAACGACGGTGGAAGTTTCCGTTGGTCAGGATCCAACAATGGCGGTGGCGGCGGTGAAAACACTTACACCGTTCAACAAGGCGATACTCTCCGTGCCATTGCCTCCCGCTTCAGCCACTGCTCCTATGAAGACCTCGCTCGCCACAACAACATCGCCAACGCAGACCAAATCTGGCCTGGCCAGAACCTACGCATTCCGGGTGGAAACAGTAGTCGTGGGGGTGGTGGCTTTGGCAGCTCTGCTCGCAACATGACGTTGAGGGATGGCGGGCAGAGGTTGGAGGGTGAACTGGAACATCATGGATCGTGGCACAGGAGGGAGATTAACTTGGATGAGAGGATCAGCAACCGGGATGGTGCTTTGGAGTTTGTTTAGAGGATAGGAAGATGGGAGATGTTGAGGAGGGCATCGTTTTGTCTTCCTCACCTATAGCCGTGTAGTAGTACATCAAACACCCTTATCTTTCTCCCATTGTACATTGCTCAAAACAATTCTGGCACTTGTCTAATACTGATTCTATTGTCTGATAACCAGTATCATTCCATGTGTGCTACAACTGCGACAAGAGAACTACATGCTAATCGTTTACCCAAGTTACTGCCAACGTGATGCCTCCCTCATCTCAACTATTGCACATGACTCCCTCCACCCGCACCACCAGGCCCAGCAAAGTTCATCTGAGCAAGAACGTCCCTCCTCCAACTATCATCCTCACTCTCACTCGCCGTAGAATCGCGATTCGCTACTCTTAGCCCACCGCCACCGCCTGCACCGGCTCTACTGTGATATGAACCCTGACTAACATATCTCGTAACTTCTTCACTATACCCAGGGTCGTATCCTTGGCTATGTTGTTGAGAGTCCATCGTCCATGTTTGTTGATTTTGCTGCTGCTGCTGTTGTATATTCTGATCCGGCGATGTGTTATCGTAAGAATGGTAAGGCGTGCTATCACTATAAAACTCTCTTCCATTCCACGTCCCGGAGTTGTTCCCCTCATCGGCGGGTCCCGGTCGGAGTACATCGGGGACATGTCCGCTTAGCCCGCTACCGCTGGATTGGTACTGTTGTTGTTGTTGTTGTTGTTGGGGATGGTATGCGTTTTGGTAGTTGCTAGGTTGGTGCTGGTGCGTATCGTCGTTGAAAGGTCCGAGTCGATCAACGGGCGAATAATCTAATGGTCCGTCATGTTGGATTTGAAGGTTGGGAAGGAAGGACATGCGGTTATCTGTTGGTGTGCGGTCGCTGGGGTCGTGAAGTTCAACGCCCTGGTTTTGGCTGGGTGGTGGGTTTTCGGGGATGCTTTGGTAGTACTGTTGGCCTTGTTGTGGTTGCTGCTGCTGCTGCTGCTGCTGTTGTTGTTGTTGCTGTTGCAATAACGACAGGTTGTTCATCGATGTGGTCATACCGAGCAAGCTTGGTGCTCGAGTTGAACTTGCTTTTAGACTTGCTGGTCCCATCCTGCCCATACCCAACATACTTCCACTCATGCTTGCGCGCCCTGCACCGGGCTCTTCACTGATCATTTGCGCGTCCGAGCCGTTTGGATCGCGGATACTGTATTGCGCGATTGAGCGCATCTTCCTTGTCACCCAGCCCGCTAGAATCTTTCCTCTTTGCTTTTCGCCAAGACGAGATCTGTGGAAGTCGCCTTTCTGCACGAAAGACACAATGTCGATAACGAGTTGGTGTTCGTTCAAGATGGCATTCACGATGACTGGGACCATACTTGCGAGGAAGTTGCGACGGAAGATCTCCACAACAATGACGACAAGACCACCTGCTTGGAAAACGGCGCTACAGATAGTCAGTAAGTATGATCTGGGAAAAGTAGGTGAAGAATACGAACCATCCTCCGGGAACAATATTCCGGTGGCAGCGTTCTACAGACTGCTCAATGTCCATTGAGAAGTGATTGAGACCGTTGACTTCAAAAGTATCCCCAATGCTACCTAGAACAAACAGAACTTGCATGTCGACTGGCGCGCCGTTAGGACCAATCGGTCGCGTAACGTTGTGTAAGAATCCTAGATCTCCAGTACGAACATATCGTACGTTCGGGTCTCCGTCAACAGTCCTGCCATTGAAGCGTTCTGCATCCAACCGTTCCTTGGAGCCGTAAAAGCTATGCGCATTCGCTTCGGACTGCACCCAAATCTCGCCATATTCGCCGACCAGGCAAAGTTGATTGGTCTCTGGGTTCACAATCGATATCTGTGTACTAACTGGTACCATACCCGAGTCTTGGACTAGCAGAGCACCGGGTTCGGTGTCTGGGTCGACAGGCATGATGAGACCTCTTCGAAGGGCGCCGACGTCGAGATGTAGTTCTATTGGTTCGATGCACATGTATGATCGCGATGCGACCATGGGGTTCAATACGTGTGAGTAGACGGTGTTGATCGCTGTTCGGTCCAGACTTGCTGGTGAAAAGTGTACTCGCACTCGTTGGTCTATCGGGTGTTAATAACCGGATGTATACCTAGGACTGCAATACTTACAAACGTCTACACGTGGCCGGCCATCAGTCGCTATCATGAGATTCTTGAGCTCATGCAAAGCCATGTTCTTGCCAGCACCTCGTGCAATAGCGTGATCCAGCATTTGACTCGTCGCATACGCATCCTTGACCTTGTATCTCGATAACGTCTGGAAGAGGATGTTGGGGTTTTGCGCAAAGTCGACAGGTGACACGAGGTAAGTTGGCGCTGCGAGGAAGATACCCATAACGCAAGTATGTATGAAGCCGAGACCGATGGTACTACGAACACATCCAAGGACAGGTCGTGTGCTCGTCATCTGGCACGTCTCTTTTTGAACCTTGCACAGCGCCATGATTTGGCTGTGGCCCAACTGCACGGCTATGCGTCTTTGGTCAGGTGTCCAGTATGTCCATACCAGAACAGGGAAACCAGATTGTATCCAAGCGGGTCGTATTGTGAGTTTAAGATCGCGGCAACCACTGGACTGCTTAGGTGGCTTTGTGGTGTTGTATGTATTCGGTACGCTGATCTTGAGTATAACTGCTGACTGTTTGATATGCTGCGATACTTGCTTGAACTTCATTAGGTGGTCTACGTCGGCATTGACGAGGATAGCCTTGACCTTGAAGTCGGCAATGATATGTAGCAGTGCAGGCGCATCCTCATTTAGCCTGTTCTGGTCGATTGGTGCCATTGGTATACACACGGCTCCAAGGACGAAACACGCGTGTACGGCATAGACAAAGTCTTCCGAGTGGGTGTACATCAAGAGCAGGTGGTCACCGGTCTGGACCTTGACCTTGTTTTTCAGGTACATTGCGACACCTGCGACCTTTTGGTCGAATTTCTTCCAGTTGACGCCTTTGCCTTCTTTACCTCGACCATCGACAGTGCAGTAGGCGAGCTCTTCAGCCTGTCGTTGTACGCGCCATTGCATAAGGTCATGGATGTTCGAGAATTGGTTGAGCGGTGTCGACGTCCTATCGTCGATGACGACTTCTCTGTGGTCCACTCCGGAGTATTGCTTGTCTTGTAGCATCAGGAACTGCTGGCGTGCCATCGATGCTTCGTAAGACCACATGCCGCCAGCAGGGTCGTCGCCTAGTGCAATATTCTGGACCGACCTCTCGACGCCAAACTTGACGTGAACGCAGGGTAGTGAGCCATTGTCAAATTCTCGTCGGCAAAGCATATTTCCAATTTCTCGTCGACCGTTCTTGATAACTCGCGGAAGCGTGTTCGGTGCAGTGATCATCACACAATACACCCGAAGGTGATGTTCTTGATACAGCACCTCCATACATCGCTCGGACAAAGAGTCCAAGAAGGGAATGTCAAGTTGTTGTGGTGGCCCGCCTGGATTCGTGGGAGCGGTTGATGCGGCTTGTGTCTCGATAAGGATGATCGGTAAGTATTCGCCATTGACGTAAGAGTCGAAGGACGAGCTACGCAATGTTAGATTGATCACCCAAATATTTGACAGCACTTACCAGTCGTATATCTTTGGGACAGCCTTCATAATGCTGGTGACGAGATGCTGTACGAAGAAATACCTATGTTCAGCTTCCAGCTGACCATGTTCTACCCATTCAACGCGCTGCCTGATACGGTCCTCATACAGGCCCAATACGAAGATTTTGCCTTCTACCACGCATCCAAGCAACCCAGTGCGTAGGAACTCAAGCTCAAGCAGTTGCGGTGTTGGGCTACCCTCTACGAAGCGATACGGCCGAGCGTGGAAAATGGTCTCGGTGTGCTTCTGCAGCTGCCAAAAACCTCCAGACAACGATGGCGAGTCTACCCAGATCTCTCCTATTGAGTAGGGTGAGCACAGGAGATTGGTCTCTGGATCTACAATGGCCAGTGTCGCGTCTGGTATCGGATAGCCAAAAGCCCCAACTCTCATAGTGCCGGGCTCGTTGACACGCTTGCTTACTTCTTCTCCTATGGCCAGCACGACGACTTCGTTCAACTTCAGTGCCTCCTTATCCAGCAAGATCTCGGTCAATTCGGTTGGACTCTTCTTTTTCTTCTCCTTGGTGCTGTTTGTGGTGCCTCCTCCGATAAGACTGGAGTAACCATTGGCTGCCGCGCCCTTGTCCTCGGCCTCATCTTCGCCATCAGATTCCTCTGGTGCTATGCTCAACGGACATCCCATACGCTCTTCACCACCCAACCAGTCGCGGACTGAGATTATCATACCACCGTGTTCAGGCAAGCACAACATAGGCGCAATTAGCTCTCGTGCTCTGGGATTCCTCAGAGGTCTAAAGTAACGGTCTCCGAGAATCTCGTGAAATTCGCAGTCGACTGTGAGTGTGTCAATTAAGCAGATCTTTACCGAGCCAAAGTTGGGTTCGGTGTTCTTCTTGAAATTTCGTGTAGCCATGGGGTCCTGCTGATAGTTGTACGCTGCGCGCTTGAGACCCGGGTAGTCAGCGATCAATATGTTTGATTTGTATTTGGTGATGAGATGTGCGTATAAGCCTGGGGTCTCCATTGTCGGTGTTTCCAGCCAGACGGTAGTGTGGCCACCATAGACAGCAAATAGGACACTGAGGATGAGACCCGCGCTTTCGCGTGGGTCGAGGTAGGAAAGAATGACTTCGGTCGGCGTTCTGCTCTGTACTGGCGCCACAAATTTACCGGATGAATCTCGCAGATTGCCGTTGAAAGTATCCTGACTTTGGTGGTTGGCGGGTATTGTGCTGATCATGGCACTGACACAAGCCATCTGGTGCATGATAGTGCGGTGACTCAGTACTACACCGCGCAAGTCGCCGGTTGGCGCGCGCGAGAACTCGATGTATGCTACTTCAGGTACTTGCAAGGCCGGCGTATCGTCATGCTTCTTGGGGTGGTAACTTCCAAACTCGTTGGTCTTCCACCACTCAACTCCACTCGGCCACTTGAGACGATTCTGACTGATGTCACGATGGAAGGCCTTGAGATTGTTGTCCGTGGTCAGTGCGAGATGTGCTTGAGTTGTGGTCAAGAGGAGGATGAGTTTCTGATAGTCGTCGACGCTATTGATGGGTACCGCTACAACGCCTGCGATGAAGCATCCCATCAAAGCTACGACAAACTCGATAATCTCCGTGTCTCTGTATACCAGCGCTACGCGATCACCTCGATATAGGTTGCTTTTGTCTCTAATGACTTTGGCTACCTTCTCGGCGCGACTGGCCACTTTCTCCCAAGTGATGGAAGCCGTCTCCTTGCCCTTTGCATCTAGCACCCAGAAAGCAGTGGTCCTGGGTTGTGTACGAGCGCGGTACCGTAATACAGCGCCGATGTTGTCAAACTTGGACATTTTGATGTTGTGGTTGTGGGGGTCGTATACGTCGAATGGCAGGTCTCGAGGTTCTAGTGGTAGCATTGTGTCTGCAGCACCCACGGGGAGATCGCTCGGGTTCATCATGGGCGGTGGTATCGCAGCGGTTGGAGAGAAGGCGTCGCCTGTGGAGTAGCGGTTCGGTCCGCCGTACGAGTCGCGCTGGTCCTGCATTTGCTGTCCTGTAAAGTCGGAGAAATAGCCCTGGTTCACATCCAGCATCGTGCTCCTCCTGCTAGCCTCTCCCGGTGAGCCATATCCGTTCTCGAAACCTTGCTGGGTGTCGGGATTAAAGGCATAGTTGCCCATCATCGTCCCCTCGCGCGAGTAGTTATATTCGGGGGTCTGGGGTCGTGGTATGAACGTCTCACTCCCTTGGGACAATTGGGACGTGTTGCGCTGCAGTGAATTGGTCCGTAGGCCCAACTGTTTCTCTTGGAAACGCCCTACTTGGCTTGGTGGGTATGCCATGTACTGGGAGTTGCCGGTGGTGCTCGTCGAGGAACTGGCGTAGTGCCCCATTGAAGAGCCCATGGTGCCCGGTGCTGAACTGTCATGGTACGAGTCCGGTCGTGGGAGTTCGATGTGCGGCGGCTGAAGTGGATTCGGTCCAGAGAGAGCTGCGAGCGATGCGCTGCGAGAGCCCGAGCCATCACTCTGGACTGGGCTTTGATGGCGCAGGTCGTTCTGCAATTGCGCTGAGAACTCGGGTCCCAGGTACTGCGACAGTAGGACTGTCTTTCGCTTTTCATAACTGTGCGACTCGTTAGCGCACGTGGGGACTGATGCGAATGCGACAACGACGACAGCGAGGGTAGGCGAAAGTGCGGGAAGAGAGTACCAACCCCTTCTGTGTGATGTCGCCCTCCTCGAGTTCGTGGTCCAGCTCCTGCAGCTTGGCCTGCAACTCCGGGTTCGTCTCAGCCATGATGTCCCTCTCTTCCGGCGGCAGTGGAGGTGGAGCGAATGTGGTGTAGACTATGGCGTGGCAATCCGCGACATGTCAATATATAATGATACGAGGCGCGTGGAGCCAATGCGAAGGGCGATCAAGGGGAATGCGCGCGTGAAGAATGGCCAAAAGGAAGACCAACGGTTGGAACAGACCCTGTCGTCGAGTGCCTGAAATCCCACATTGGCTTGAGACAAGTCAGGTACGCGCAGGCCACCCACAAGCATCCGGTATGACGTTTTACCCCAGAGCAGCCGCTCTGTCCCTTGGCGTCCGGCGCCCTCCCAAGTGGCTGTCTTAGTCAGCCGTCGCTGCCCCTTGTGCCAGGTGCTGCTGCTGCTGCTGCTGTGACCATGTGGGCTTGCGCGTTATGCCTCGGCTCGAGGATGTTTGGAGGCTGCGCCGGAACGCGACCGAGTGCGCCGTAATCTAATCACTGCTCTTCACATAACATAGACTCCTGCCTGATCATTGCTAACAACTCTGCACTCATCTCTTCACTAGCTCCATATTAACATCATGGCTACGCTCATCCGCCCGCCGCCTGTGGACCACTCGCAATCCGAGATCGAGAATGTCCTCGAACTGACGCAGTTGTCTGACATCGATCCCAATCTCTTCACCAACACGCGTCCTCTGTGGCATCCACCCGGTGCGCGCGGCATCTTCGGTGGTGCTGCCATCGCCCAGACGCTGAGTGCCGCCCAGAAGACAGTTGACCCTGACTTCACTGTACACTCGATGCACTGCTACTTTGTGCTTGCCGGCAACGCAGAGATACCCATCATATACCATGTAGAGAGGGTGCGATCAGGAAAGTCGTTTGCGACGAGGACGGTGCAGGCGCGACAACGCGGAAAGGTCATCTTCACGACTACCATGAGTTTCGTGCGGCAGAACAGTGGAGGAGCGAACAAGGTGGAACACGTTACGCCAATGGCAGACGTGCCAGGGCCGAATGAGGGCATGGATGACTTGGAACTTCATCCTAGCGGTCATAGTCCTTTCCAGAGTCAGAGAATGGCAATCGAGAATGGTAGCTACTTTCACATGTCAGTCCTAAGCTACCCAAGCTAACCCTGTCCAGACGACTCCGACAAACCTCACACCAAGAAGTGCCGACAATGGGTAAAGGCACGCGGTCGCATCTCTCCCGCTGGAGGCCACGAGGCCCATCTCTCTGCCATCGCCTACATGTCTGACAGCTACTTCATTGGCACCATCGCGCGTACCCACAAGTTATGGCGCTATTCCACACAACGCAAGAGTGCCGCAAAGTCCAGCATTGACGAAGACGTGCTCAAGACACTGCTGGAGATGGATGACGCCGAGTTGAAGCGCCAGAAATTCGTCGATGAGGCAGACATCCAGCGCATCCAGCGTATAAAGAATGGCGAAGACCCGTCCAAGGATGCTGATGCCCTGCCTGAGATTGGCATGATGGTCAGTCTTGACCATACCATCTACTTCCACAACCCCCGTAGCTTCAGGGCCGATGAGTGGATCTTCACCGAGATGGAGACGCCTTGGGCTGGTGATGGCCGTGGACTCGTCTTCCAGAGGATGTACACCAAAGACGGCACACTCATAGCGAGCTGCGTACAAGAGGTAAGACTTTCCCCTTCAACATACACGACTCGCGATGCTAACTCCACTAGGGTCTTGTTCGACTCAAGCAGAACGACAGCAAGCTGTGAAGATGTAGTGATGGTTTTTTGTATTCGTGTTTTCGCTTATCCACTTGCATAGACTTACATCCTTTATTGATCTTCAATTACACTTCATCGGATTCGTTTGATCCCTATCCTACTTCTTGCAGTCTCCTCGTGGGCCTCTATATACTCACGCGGGTAGATCCACCCCCACTTACCTGCCGAGCGGGAAGGGTGACTAGTCAGTATAACGTGACTACGCCGCACCATTTCGAAAGTGTCGACCGTAATGAATAAATAATGGTTACATCACCGTTTGCACGCATCGCCCAACACCCACGTCGACCAGATGTGCCTGTCTCCTGAGATGGTGTGCCGTACTTAGACACAGCGGTGAGCACGTGCAATGACCGGAATCATTAGCTAGTATCATTCCAGGGCGCGCTCATGACAATCAGTCGCCGCTACTTTCTTTAATATAACGACTCACTGAGCTCTTACTCACAAAGAACGCGCGGCTATTTCCACATGTCTCACCCATAAAACAAACATTGCCATGTAGTCCGCCCACACCATGACTGTCGACATATATCGTTCATGCCGGAGTAGGCTAGCCGCAGGACTCGTACAGGATACGGGTGGTGACGACAGAATGCGGGAGGGTGTTGACTCTCGCTGTGTCTTCATGTGTCTAAGTCTGCAACGTGGGCTTTCCGTGAGTCGAAGGGCAGTATGAGAGCCTGCGTTCTCGACTGATAACTGCTTCCTGTCCACGATTACAGCCCAGTGTACGTTACTCTCGCACATGACAACCACGAACAACATCGACACGGAAAAGGTGACTCTATCTCCACCTATTCAACCAACTAGAAGTACGACTCGCCATATCGAGATATCCTTCAATTATGACGGACTTCCAAACATGAGCCTATCCATATTTGTCGGGGATGGAGGGATAGAATTATCACGGGCAAAGAAAGACAAACTGTTCAAGGTACGCGACATTTCGTAAGCTAGAGCACAAACACCTATGTGTCACTTCCTTCCAGATCTGCTATCCTCTCACACAAGAAGGAATCTTGGAACTGAACAGATGCAGAGACAATCACCTACAGCAGCACAAAGTCTACGGATACACAAAACCTAACACGAGTATAGGCTCTACACTTATCTAACCACAGACATGATGTTTATGCTGTGTGGTATCGTAGAAAGCAAAGAAGAGCTGAAGAACTGTAAAAGTGTACAGTTTTTCTTCAGATATGATATACCTCCCTATTACAAGATACACTTCAACTCAGCATGACACATGATACATTCAGGGTCAGAATTTCACCCCAACGCATCCACCAGAGCAAAAAGAAAGACTGAGATGGTCACTACGAGGGTCGAACTCGCGACCTTGGCGTTATTAGCACCACGCTCTAACCAACTGAGCTAAGCGACCAGACTGTTGAGTTGTGGAGTGATGCGAAAATAATACACATTATAATCATCGGTTGATTTCATTGCATCTTCACTTCATCTAGTTTGTGAAATCCTTCTTCGGCGCCTCACCCTCCTCCTTCCCACTTCCATATTTCCTGACATGCTCTTTGTTCGCCCCCTTATCCTGTTCAAATTCTTTCAGCTCCGGCGCATCCATATGCTTAACCACGTTATCTGCCTGCCACTTCTTAAAGCTAAAGCCCATTCCTTCATGACTATAATCCTTATCATTCGCCTGATCTTTATGATACTTGATCTGCATAAACTCCGAGTCCTTGGTCGCGGGATCCAAGCTCAAGCTCACTAACCCTGTAATAGTAGCGGTCTTGGGAATGAGACGGAAAGTCCAGGACTGCTTGTTTTTGAACTGGATGACTTCGTCGTCGGAGCGGATTACTTGGTAGGACTCGTTGATGGAGGCGTTGAAGAGTTTGGGGAGCGCGAACCATTGGCCCGCCATCTTATAGCGGTCATTTGCGTAGACGAATTGGTCGTCGTACACGCAGTCGGGTGTGTAGCGTTTTACGCGTTGGACGGTGGGCTGGCAGGAGTAGAGGGCGATGATCCGTGGGTGTTGTCAGCCATCTTCTCTTGTTGAAAGTAATGATGCCGAAGGGTGTGCACGTACATCGTCGACTAACGCTTGCCTCTGCGGGCTCAACTTGATGCTCTTGCTCGGGTCTGGCTCGTAGTCTTCACTCGTAGCCGTTTGTCTAGGCTCAAATTGCTCGCCCGGCGCATCGCTCGTCTTGGGAAATCCTGAGTTCGCGCTGCTCACGATATCCCCCGTAGCCTGTCCACTGGCTGAAGTCGACATCTCTGCTCTTTGCTGACCGGCTACTAGTCGTGGAGGTGGGCTGTTACCAGTAGGGTTGGCCTTCTGTTCCGCGTTCCAAAGTTGTACAGTAAATGCCTTTTGTGGATGCTTGAGAGCAGGTTTACTAAAGATGTCTTTAAGACCTGTTGAGAGAAGCTTGGAGCGAGAGCCACTAGTTGCTGCAGGCACGGAGTTTGGATTATCAGGGGCTGATTCCATGGACGCGATTGTCTTCTATATATGTCTAGTCCTGGGTTAACGCGTGCACACGCAAAGGTAAGATGACGCCAGTGTTAATTGATGGTGCTAGATGCGGAGTCGATGATTCATGGACTCGAAGATCGGGAGATCTGAATGTTCACGCGCGCGTATTGCTGTAGGGAAAACACGGTTGGTGAGGGCGCCCTAACCTCCATTATGTACGATTTCAAACAAAGGGTTTCAGGGCAGATTTGTGGAGAAGCGTTGCGTATGCCATGGGATTTGGACGCGTTGATGGGGTGCGGGTAGGGCTGATCGGCAACATTCGGGTGTTACGGCATGACGTATCTCAAACTTCTCGTTCGGGAAGGTCCAGAAGGGTGTTGATCGCGGTGTTAGTGTGTACACAACTTTCAGCCCTAATGATTGACCTGGCTTATCCTGCCAACGCTCTCGCGCTCTTTACTGGATACTCTTCGAACCCGTCGTACGAGAAGCCAGATAGCACTATTAGAGTGCGAAACATTGTCAGCGCAAGGTCTTATTGTTGTCTAAGACGAGCGACTATATTATCAAACCTCATAACAAAGAGAGATAATAGGTATATTAAGAATACCTCCTACTAGATAGAACGACACAACAAGTAATCTGGGGGTACCTGAGATATCCTAAATTTCAAGACCATACACTAGCTTGCGAGATGCAACGGCCTTGTAATGTGTTCGCACCACAGAACATCGCATCATATGCCAAGCACTCAAGTACGTTCTAGCGGAAGCTGGCAAATCTCATTATAAGTTACTACTACAGCTACAACAGCTATCTAGATTACTAAAGCAAAAGGCCACCTTCATTACTTCATCAGTTGCACTACCCCAAACCATACCGCGCAATGCGTATCGCAGGACACTGTAATAAATGCTGGTCGATACGGCGCAATGAAAAAGCTCATGGCCAAACTATGTGACGCATTCGCCATAGCCGGGCCACGCCACCCAAAAGAAGAGAAGGAGGTCTCTAAATATTACAATGGGATGTCGTAGTATGTGACTCGTCTATCTTCCATGTGTCCGTGCTGTGTCGTTGTGTTGGGGATTAAAATGGGGGTAGAGTAAAGTCTTGCGATGAAAGAGAGTAAGAAAGACCAGAATTGTGCTTTTGTACATCTTGTACAAGGGGTGGCCGGTGGTGATGATGGCGGTCAATCGTTTAGACGAAGTAAGCGAGAGCGGCAGCACCGGCCATGAAGGCAGCAAGGGGCTTGGTGGAGCTAGCAGCGCCAGTGTACTCAGGGTATCCGGGAGTGGTAGCCGAGGAGACGTGTCCGGTGGACGATGAGGCGGGGGGAGTGGCCTTGTAGGAGGATGAAGGAATGGGAACTATGATGGTGGTAGATGCCTCAGGGATGGGGACCGACTCTGTGATGACAGGAGGAGGAGGGGCATAGTAGGAAGACACCGGGGGGATGATGACAGTAGTGGACACCTCAGGAATGGGAACCGACTCGGTGATGACGGGAGGAACTACAGGGTAGGTGAAGGTCTCAGGTACAACAACGGTGGTAGTGATGTCAGGGCAAGGGGTCGATGACTCCTCTGGAACCTCAGGGGTCGAGCTGGGAGGAGGCACAACGATGGTCATACTAGACTCGGGGCAAGGAGTAGACGACGACTCTGGGACTTCAGGAGTGGAGCTTGGCGGTGGCACTACGATGGTCGAGTAGATAGTCGTCTCCTCTGGCACGTAGGGAGTTGAGCTGGGGGGTGGCACAGTAACAGTCTCGGTATCGGGGCATGGCGTGCTAGAGGACTTAACGACCGGAGGAGTGTATGTGGATGTAACAACCGGAGGAGTGTAAGTGGAGGTTACCACAGGAGGAGTGTAAATAGACGTACTTGTCTCATAGCAGGGGGTGCTGGAGGAGACTGGAGGAGTGTATGTGGATGTGACAACCGGGGGAGTATAGGAGGAAGTTACAACTGGAGGGGTGCTTGACTCATCACATGGCGTGCTGGATGACTCAACCGGAGGAGTGTAGATTGAGGTAACAACTGAAGGGGTATAGGTCGAAGTTACAACTGGAGGAGTGTAGGTGGATGTAACAGCTGGAGGGGTGCTCGACTCATCACAGGGCGTGCTAGAGGACTCAACCGGGGGAGTGTAGGTGGAGGTGACGACAGGCGGGGTGTAGGCCGACGAGGACACAACTGGAGGGACAGTGCTCGAGACCTCTGGGACGCTGCTGCTCTCCTCATCACAAGGAGTGCTGGAAGCCTTGGGAGGAGGACCACTGTATCCGCTGGAGATCGCTGGGGTCTCGTAGGGCTGGCTCTTGGAAGGAGAAGGAGCATCGTATCCGGCCTGTACATCGTCAGAACTAGACGTTCAGACAGTTTGTAATATTAGTATCAACTTACAGAAGATGGCACAGCATAGCCACCGGTAGACGCGCCGTACCCGCCGACAGATTCACCGCCGCTCTCGCCACTCCACTCTCCGCCCCAGCCCTTGGGTCCGCTGTAGCTACCACCACCGTGGGGAGCAGCGTAGACAGCGCCCACAAGGGCCATTATCGCCAAAGAGTATCTCATCTTGCTTTGGATGGGAAGGTTTTGTTTGTATCAAGAGTGGTCAGGTAGGAGATATGAAACGAAAGTAACAAAGCAACCGTAGCGAAAGAGCTGCTGTGTAAGTGATCAAAGACTTGATAAAGCTTGAGTGACACGATGGATATGACTGAGAGGAAGGAGAAACCTAATATACCCGTTGGGAGAGGCCCCCGCCTCTCCGCACCTTACCAGCCTTCTGTTTTGCCCTAACTCTAGAACGTCACAACATTGTCACATCCACGCACGACGATTGAGGGGCTCCGAAGTCGTTCTCCACAACCATGCGTATAGAACTTGGTTCGAATCTCCATGAGTCCATCATGATTATAGCGTCGGTCATACCACGGAATGAGGCTCATTAGAGTGGGAGACACGTCTAGGAACGCTCACTGGCCAAGTTCACCCTAGCAACCGACCAACGACTTTCGTAGTCAGCTGATGGCTAGACTAGATTTTGGCTAGTTGCATGGGACTTACCAGAATGACGGGCACAGTAAGCTTTGGGAGAACACAATGCCCTGCATCCTGACCCACATGAGTTTAGCAGCATCGAAGGTTAGAACTTACAGCTGTGCTCCAGCCACCATACCAAAGACTGTTGAGTTGCAGTGACATAACGGCGACTGGAAACGGCATAACTCCTCAGTGGCACCAATCATGGGCTGTAATACTGGCCTTAGAACCGTGTCTCTATATTCTTTGGTACTATTCCGCAGCACAAAACTCATCATGATAAGTCCGGGTCCAAGCAACCGACGTGCATGGCGTGGAATAAGTGCCGCTGAGGCATCGTGGGCTGATCTATCGCGACCCACGAGCTGTGTATGGACGGTGAGATTTCATATGGTAGCGTTGCTAATCGAATCTTTAGGGGACTGTTGTTGTCAGCTTCTAGCACGACAGCGACAGACAAACCTCCTTCCTTGTGTTGTTGGGAGACTGTGTAATTTTGAAATCTGCGCAGTGAGGCAAGAACCTGATTTCACCATCTTTGAACTTCCACTGACCCTGAAACTCCGCAGGCTAGAGACTTCACTCTTTCGTGTACGGCAAGGGCTGTAGGCGTGGTAACAAGATTTGCGCATCACGCGGACCATTTCGTATATTCTTGCTGCCCGTGGGAGGAGCATGGCCGATCTCAATAGTTTCCACTGTTTGAACCAGCCACTTCTAGGAGCTAAGAAGATGGCTACAGGTACATTTATTGAAAACCGGGGTGTTTCTGTATCGTGGACTGTTTGGCGCAATGCGGTTGGCGGACGCCCTGGAGGCTGGTAGTGTCCCAGCAGGCTGTCGCAACGTTCGCTTGCCTCCGCAACCCCGCATTGTTCCAACCAGACCCAGCAGGGTTGTAGAACACACTCGCAATACCGGTGAAGCTTGAAGTTTACTTTTCCGTTGTCATGGAGATCCAATCGCGCGTCAGCTTAAAGTCGTCGATGGTTCCTGCAGCATCTGCTGCCGCCGTGTTTCAGTGAACTGATCGCGGCAGAACTGGAATTCGTACGGAGGCCTCAAAGATTACGGCCGTTTTGCGCACGGTAGTTATAGAGTTTGGTTCTCATCAACGATAGTTCTGTTGGTGAGACGAACAAGAGCTGCCGCGCTCTCCGGCATCGCTACTCACTGGCTTTCTACAAGCTGCCGCGATACGCGTAACGGTTGAACGGAAAGCTCCATCGCCCTGCGCAAGCGCAGGCAGGGTGAGCTTTCATCGATATCAGCAGATCTTCTCTTGGCCCTCTAGCAGATTATGGCCTTGCTCCTAGCCAATTCGAAGGTCCAATTGCGATCACGAAATAGATCCCAACAGCGCGAAACTTGTTGCCCGTTACCCTGGCCATCAAAGCTAATCTGCAGTCTTGGACGTAACGAAGCACGATGTGTCACGATACCATCTGATGTCAGTACGGGAATGCTGCCCGGATACCCTTTTCTAAGCTGAGGCTGATGGGAGATGGTTCTTTTTCGCTCGGTTTCTCTGACTACTGCCAGAGCGGCACCTCTACATCCGTAAGATTTTTGGGTTTACTCAATGATTGATAGTTCACCCAAGGCCCTGAGTTCTGCTTTGGCGCACACCTAGTGGGAAGCGCATGCGATATCATCCGCTGAGTTTTCTGATCGTGGCGCAAGGCAGTAGTTCGTAGCATGACTGGAATACGATATCGCTGATTGAACGGATGTGGCTGACTGGGCACTTATGCCGTGTATACTGAGGTCGATAGCAGACGCGCTGTCACTTCCACGAAGACGCTGTGCGTCAGACACGCGAAAGCACATCAAGACTGACATGGCTCGACTAATCATCTTCATCACTCTCTGTGCCGCTATCCCAGCCTTCATCGTACTCCTCCGCAAGTACTTGTAAACCATTACAAAGCGTTTCTTTCTCTTCGATACCCACCATTCGCTTAACGATCTGCTCGACTGCCCGAATCTGATCAGCGACAGCGGTACTTGTCGTGAGTCCAGTATGTACAGCGAGCTTAGTAGAATGGCCAGATCCTACGTCCAATATTGACCGAGGAAAGCTGTCAAGCAGAGGGAATAGTAGTGGCGCAGCAAATCTGAATAGCGTTAAAATACTTTCTTCATCTTATGTCCTACCCTCATTATGCGATGGATGTAAGAAAGATCAGCATAGTAGCTGATGGAGAGAATGAATGAGTTGCAGGCTCGTTCGGAACCGAGACAAGTGCGGTGTAATAAAAGATGCAGATACATACCTCTGCAAGGCTGGTCCGCTATCGAACCTGTCATGAGGATCACGTTCATTATCTTGATGCAGGGCCCACTCTCCACGAGAAGCCTCTGCCCTTCCAAAAACGTGCTCTGTCTTTCCGTTTCTGGTAGCCGTCCTGTAATCACGACTGAAGGTATCGATGTCGAAATTACTTAGTCGATCGTCGCCCTCACTAGTCTGCCTTGATGTCATAGAACCAACTTTCTCTGCCTGCTCAGCTTTGTCTGAGGCCTTGTCTGCCAAGACGTCTGGATCTGCAAAGCTCATCTCAAGCTTCGCTATGCGTCGTTTTCCGGTACTGTTGATGGTGTTTTCCAGATCCTGGAGCGTGCCTCGTCCGCCCAAGGATGCCCTTAGTCGTGAAGATATGGTCATGCTCTCCAGACCTAAGACTTGCAAAGCTGCAATGTGCCAGGACGAAGTGGTGTCTAATGACAAGTAACCTGGTAGTTTGGCAGGGCTGTTGGACATTGGCACGTATACTGATGACTGCTCGCCGAGTACTTGGAGCGATCGCGCGGAATTAGCGATCTGCTGCAAGCGCCTTTCCTAGAGTATGTTAGTCTTTTGCGATCTTCAAGACGTCGGGGGAGGACCAACTCTGGGAGTCGTTGTATTAGCGCCATGATCACCTAAGCCCCATGTCCAAATGCTCATCTTTCCGTACTCGTCCCTCAATCTTTCGAGCCAACCTGATGCCCAGCCGCCCCAAGCGTCGTCCACGCCCGTGAAGATCTGCAGTCCCTGAATACCATCGCATTCTTCTACAAATGGCCGTAGGTCTCTATCGACTAGATCAACCTCTCTCTCAAGCTTCTCGAAAAGTTCCATGCCTACATCCCAGCTCTCAAAAGGCATGAGTTTGTCGTTGACGTCAAACTCAGACAGCTGAACGATGGATTTCGGATGATAGTAGACACGGCTATAGTCCGACCAGTACCGGACGGATGATGTGCTGAGTGGAGGAGGCTCCAGGCCGGCATCAAGGTGCTCCTGGTAGGCAGATTGTGGGATAGTCTCGGTTGCGCGTTGAACAATGGGCTTGGATGGCCAAACTCCGTTCTGGTCTAATATGCTTCTGTCGTCTTCGGCCTCGTACAGCGCGTTGATTTTTCTCATGCTGCCAAAAGCACCCTTGAGGTCGTATATGAGCGTCCTTGGTGTGAAAGTATCGGATCCATCCGGAGCAATACCTGGCCTGAAAAGTATATCATGGTTGACAGGCGATTCGGGCTCAGGTGGATATGTGAAGTAGGACTCCTAGGAGGACATTAGATGGAGCGTAATGAGCAGTCCAACGCAACGAATAGTTGTGCAAGACTGTGCGAGCTCGATCCCTTCAACGCTAGGAGCCAGTGCGCTATCAAACTAGTTTGCAGAAGTGGTGGTTGATGAGATGCCAAGATCTCGCGACATACCTGTGTATTCCAGAAGTGAGTGCCAAGGTAGTTGCTCTGCTTGCCGAACTGTAAAGTCACGATTTCGTGCATGGTGGTGGAAAATGTGTGATCAAATGATACAAAAGGCTGTATAAACGATGGCCTAGTGTTAACGTGAGAGAGCGAGATAAGTTGGATGTTGATGGTGCGGACGGAGATAACCTGTGATTGGTGAGATCAAGCTCTTCTATCTGCCCCGCACGTGCACACGCGATGAGGAGAGAACGACTCCACTACAGCAATGACGCTCCACTACTGTTCACATAGATCCGAGATGGAAGCAATCAAGTAAACTTCCGCGTACGATGCAATGAGTCGCAGTGGTTGATTGGATTACCTATAAATACTCAGTGATTCCACAAATCATCTTAACCCATAAGCTGCAGCTGATCTGTTGGCGGCCATCTTGTCTGCGCAAAGCTCAAACATCGCTTGATACTTTGCAGGTATTTCCTTGTCATCTCGTCACTCATGATATGAGCCGCATTCTTGTCGCTTTCATGCAGCTTTTCTCGCGCACTTCTCTCGTGAATACCCACCATAGTGACACCGATGGGCCATGCCGCCTTGCCGATACTAAGACGTAGATATCCATCGTTCGCGTCAACATATCTTCGCTCTTGTGCAGCGTGCACGATCTCTACAACGGGCTCAACGATGCTGTCTGGAAGATCGAACTTTTCTAGCTTCTTGAACAGGGGTCGCATGTTCTCGCGTGCTTGTACCATGGCAGCATAAGCCTGTTTTCCTTGATAACTCTCTTTGACTTCGGCGTCTCGACGTAGGAGCGTAAGGTCCCATTCTTTCAGCACCATGGTAAAGTAGCTTGCTAGTTGCCTGAACAGGAACTCGCGGCCTTCCTTGTCCTTCGGTACCTGGAGATCGACCTTCATGTCCTTCTCGGGTACTAATTGTAATGTTGTAGGTATTGGGCCATCTGTCATGATGGCTGCTAGGCTATCTGCGCCCACACGCTTCTTGTATCGCTTTAGACGTTGTTTGTGTGTCTCGCCGAATAGTCGCGCTGGTTCATCGAGGGCTCTCAGCTTTGCGACTAGTTCTTCGTCTTGGATGTCTTTTTCCTCAGGGACCGGTGTGCCGTCGCCTTCGCCTTCTTTCTTCTTGGGCGGAAGATCGGGAAGTCCTAGTCGCTTTCGCCGCTGCCTTTCCTCTGCCTCTTCCTCTTCTTCTCTTATTCGTCTAGATTCTTCAGCCATGCGCATTCGCTTTTCTCGGCGTTCGGCTTCCCTTTCAGCTTCATCTTCCTCGGCTTTGCGCTTCTTCTCTAGTCGTTCTCGCCGCGCTTTCTCCGCAGCTTCTTGCTCCGCGACGTATGCAGCCTGCCGTTGCGCCTCAATCTCGCTGCGCTTAAGGTACTTTTTCTCGTTTGTTTCGGCTGGTGTGGCAGTGTCTTTGCCCTTTTTGATGTGTGCGGACATCAGCTTTGCGAAATCCATGTTTGCGACTGTGATATTCGATGTCTGGTGTAAGTCGACGTGTGGAGGAGGTGCGAGTGATGGTTGCGACCTGGAGGTTCACCTGGACTGCAGGGTACTGGCCGAAGAATGGCGCTAGTGGGAGCTTTCCGCGTCGCGTTGCTGCACCCAAACTCTCCAACAACACCTTCACATCTCGCGCCTGACGTCACACTTTCACGAACCCTCCAGGAAGCTGTCGCCGAATCCTTACGAATATCCTCATACGTCAGCTAGTCTGCACATCCACAAGGCTGCGGACCTCACCATGGCTGCTCCCGCGAAGATTGATCGTCAAACAACGACACCCTTCTTGTTGCGCCTCTTCTTCAAGCAGGGCTCATTTAATAGGTATGTGTCTCTTATAACTCCTTAATCCTGTAAAGCCGTTTTAGTACTGACAACTCAAAGGCTAGATGAGTTTGACCCAACACTACCACGTCTCCCAAGAAACGTCCAAATCTACACATGGCAGAGCTGTAGTCTGCGCGAGCTATGCACGTTACTCCTCAGCGCAGTACCAACATTACTGCCACAACCGTATGTTGGGTCGCGCATCGCATTTCGGCTCGTATACCCAGACATCCAAGGCTCCAACCGGCCTGGCGCACCAGGACGCTTCATATCGCGAGACATAGGCTCGGTCATCGTAGGCGCACAATCAAGAGATGAGGACACCGATATGGAAGGCGCCGCCGAAGGAAATGTTGCAGAGGCTCTCAAGCAGCTTGACGGCGACGCAGACAAGACATTGTCCGACGTCAGGTTTATGATTGGCGACTATGTGGCATGTGCTATACTCCCACCGCTACCCGACGGCAGTGTACCAGCTGCACCTCCGCCACTATCTGGACCGGGCAGAGGACCTCCTTCAGGGCCATACGGACGGGGACGCGAGAATGGCTTCGGTGGACGGGGTGACTACGGCGGGTTTGGCAGAGGTGGCAGAGGAGGTGGAGGCAGATTTGATGAGGGGAGACTTAGTGGAGGTGTACCATTTGGTGAATGGAGGAGAGGTGAGGCACCGCCGGAGCGAGAGCCAGGCTTTGGTAGAGGAGGAAGGGGGCGTGGAGGCGGAGATGACTGGCGGGACAGAGGAAGAGGAAGAGGACGATGGTAGTGTACAACCCTAGTTATGATTCCATGAGGCTATCACTGCGAAGTAGAGAAGGACCAGGAGTCGCATAGGCCTTCATTGCGCCCAAGCCAACGGCTTGCAAGACACAAAGTCATCTTTTGAGACCAGTGAGTCATTGCACGTATTCCCAAGACTCAAGGCTAACGTTGGTCGCACCGAAGATACTGTGATGTGTTCACATTCTACGACTCCAGCTTATAGGTCTACCGCAGAGTTTCGAGCTGATCCTCCATGTGTAATAGTGACAGATTACAGTGTCACTATAGCATGATAGGAGTTGATGAGCATATGGTTTACAGACGTGAGCCAGCACAGTATCCAGAAGCATGCAAAACTTGGACGTCTTGTTGAAGCTCAGCCTAAAGTTGTGCTAGACAAATGCAGGTGAATTGTAGACGAGTTAGTTATCTTGCATGGAGGATGTGTCGACCCCAACCGGTTGGATTCCATAGCTATATTCCTACCTGAGAGGACTCGTGGTAGGCTATTGAGTTGGAGAGTCATCATCAGTAGGAAGATGTCGTACAAGGAGTGGAATGCAAGCGTGGTAGGTATCGTCCCATTTTGGTTAGCGCGAGCCCGTCGGATAGAACGCTGGGCACTTCCGCATGGTACACAGGACACGTTCGCCACGATGATTCTCATCCACATATTGTCTCAGCGTGTGCGTCACTCTTGTGAAAGTACTGCCTATGTCCTGAGGCCCGACTTCCTCCCAGCTCACTCCTGTCGCGACGCGCAGTCACATAGCTCCATCTTCGACAACGATGACGACGTGCCATAAGCATCCATCAAGAAATCAAGAACGTTGGGAACCGCAGAAAGTCCTGCATTTCTACAAACCCGCTGTTCGCGTCCAAATAGTGGAAGCGTATTTGGACCATTCAAGAAGGTGTAGTAGCGAACGAAGAATCACTCGTGCTGTGGGGGTCTCGAAAAATTCCTTGGATATTCCATATCGAGCTGGTGGAATATATGAATTCGTCATTTGAGACAGTCGATCCAGCAGGATCTTGGAATCATCCAATCTCGGAGTTCATACGGGTTTATCGTCAGCATCATGTCTCCGGAACGACACCGCTAGAGGATCTAATATATGTATCTTGCGATAGATACGCGTCCAATCCTTGGGATTTCATATATGCTCTTCTCGGTCTTGTAAAGGAGCAGTTTTACGAGTCTTTGGAGGCAGACTATTTGCAGTTAGAAACTTTCGCATTCCAGCGAGCCATTGTCAGTATTATAACAGCACAGGAAGACCTCGAATTTCTGCTCAACATCGTGTTGGCACAGTCGAGGGTGAGAGAGGTTGAAAGTTTCTCTTGGGCTCACAATTTTGCAAAGCGTCCAACCCGGGTTTCAACCAATACTAGAGACGTACTGCGCTGCCGCTACCACATAACGCATGAAGGTGCAACCGCTGGGCGAAAATACTGTGGGATCCGAAATGATACGGAGGCAAAAAATATCAAGCTTACTGGGACAGTTGTCGGATCAGTTGAAGAATCTCAGATGCCCTATACTGATTGCCACAGTACGTTAGTCGAGGAGGAAGAGTCCGTAGTTGTACCTCTCCAGGACTCCCATAATGACTTTATCGTACCGTGGCTGTTACAGGCAGTACAAAAATTCACTATCGTTACAAAAGAAGCATGGAGCGAACGTTTTTCGCAAGAGACAGTAGATAAAAAGATAGACAAGGAGGATGTTTGGCGTATTGTCACGAAAGGAATGAGTATTTACGACCTGAAGATGACGGATACGTTCACAGGTTCTGAATACGAATGGGGAGTCCTTCAACGTTGTTCCACCGTTGAGGTCTGGCAAAACATGCTTTCCCAGGAAGCAAGTGGCTCGGGAGTGGACATAGATTTTAGCATTGCCAAGTCATTCTACCGCATCATCGTAGGCGTATTTAGTCCAAAGGAACATTGGAAAGGATGTCTATTTACGACCACCAACGGCTATGTTGCATCCGCGAACAAGGAGACACAAAGTGGTGACGTAGTATGCATTCTGTTCGGATGCACCATGCCACTGATGCTGAGGTCGACGATGGAACGTATATGATCGTTGATGCTGCTTATGTGGAAGGTATAATGGAAGGGGAGTTCCTCCAAGACAAAGCACACTACACAGATACGGGGTTTGTTATCAGCTGAGTGTATCTACTGTATGACTCGAAGTCCATATTTTGTCAGCATCCTTTCTTGTACCGAGCCTGCAAACTCATTGTTGTTACCGCGGGTTCAACAACAACTTCCCGTAAGCAAGCCACATCTAAGTTACTACCATAGCTAAGTAGTACACAACACAGAGTCCCTACCGCATAATAAACGCAATGGATCATCGCAAAGCTGGTGCGCCAGAATTCATCATGCGCTTGCAGCACTGCTCATATACCAAATAGCAGCACATGAGGAAGCACATTGATGACTGTCTGTTTCATCGGCACGTAAACGTCCCCTAAAGCGCAGACAACGTCTTCCAGCCCCGACGTCACATTTGCGCTCTTTCCACATCGTCATCACACATCAAAAGATCATCCACACTGTTCATCACAAAACGATAAGAATAGCAATACTGGTGCGCTGCAGAGCTGAGATGGTGTGTTGGACCTCACCATTGGGGGCGATGAGGTGTGGAGGCGAAGCAAGCGGTGCCGCACGCATACGTGTAGATACGTGGGGTAATGGATGCGGCAGAAAGGAACAATGAAGGTCATCTCACCTTGCAAGAAACTGTTGGTTCTATTGTTACGGTCAAATCCAGTGCTTACAGGACGTGGTCATTCTAGAAGGTGGCAAACTTGAAGTTGCTCAGTCCACTTCCTAGTATTGATAAGCTAGAAATCTAGAAGACCATACGTCTGAACGATTCAACACGAATGGTAGATACTACCGACATTCCACCAACAAGTCTGCTCGGACCGCTGAACGGTCGCCTGCCCACCTGCATGCGTAGCATGGAAGGTCTTGCAAACGTCTACGCAAGGGCTTTGTTCTTTCGTCAGAGATGCGTCTATCGACCGCTCTTCTGTAAGCGAGATGATGTTGATCAGGCGAGCCACCCTACACGCTAGGTGTGAAGGATGCATGCAGGGCCGTTAGCTCGTTGTGGGGTAAACGCCGTATACCCAGGCCTAGCGACACAGACGTGTGGCGGACCCGGCAATCACCGCGGAAGCTATCGTTGGCGGGAGCTTTGTGATGATGCAGGGTGCATCAAAGAAAAAACGTCGGTTCAATGAAGGAGCGACATGGATGTTACACCGCATGTCGCGCAAAATTCTGATTACCAGTCAGTACAAGGTAGTGGTGTGTTGCGGGTCGACCCATGTGCAGAGGCTTCAGATGCAGATGTTAGACTCAACGAAGGGCCCTAGGCTTGGGCTAAGGCACAGACATGCTCAGGTAATGAAAATTGGTTCGATGTATGAGTTTCGATCGATTCGAGATTCGATCGATGCATGAGCTCGGATCTTCTCGCATTACTTTCACCACATGTTTGAGGCTCAGTTCATATTGGAAAATGTGCACATGCCCAACCGTCACTCTTATGTCATTCGAACCACATCTAGAAGGCCTGCATGTTGAGTGAATCCATCCCACGCAAGGGCATGAATCACGTATGGCTACGGTCGGTACCTGCCTCGACCCAAATGGCCGGCATTCACCCTATCTGGACCCGGGCCGAACGGTGAGCGGGTACTTTATCGGACGAGGGTTGGCCGATCACCCACCAGATATTGCCGAGATCTCGTCATGGAATGATTGACTGTGCAGAAGTGGATCATCTGACAGCAGGTGGCGCAGAAATGTGGTCAATTCATTTTAGGAAGGAAGGATAGCTGCGCAGCTTAATCCTTTGACGCTTCGTAGACGGTTTTGGATGGAGCCTGTAAGTCTACGGCAAAGTAAGATGTGCTTGTTGTGCGTCTTTTTTTTTAACGAAAAACGTTTTTATTTACAATGTTTTCGCGCTTAATTTATATGTCTATGGTAATGCATTTTAGTTCTGTTATGTCGGCGGTACATATCTTGAGAGAACATCCTGTGTAATCAGGGTTACATTAGAGCCTTTGATTTCCATGATATGGTTCAAGGTGCGGCGTTGGAAGACCTTTTCCAGCTCTTGCTGAACCGTTTCTACTTACGCGAGTTGCTACATTTCACTCTCAACAAAGCTTTCTTGCTCGAGATTTTCATATGTGAACGCCCCAGATCGTGGAGACGCTAATGTCGTCGTTGGCACAGATACCTTGTCATCATTCCTACGAGGGCACCCCAGAAGGACAGGGCAAAGCGTGATCTAGGGCAAAAACAGTTGGCGTGCATGTTCCAGCCGCCCTCAGACTGGGCGGTCAGTGTGTGTGAATCCTAAGTTCTAATCTGAGAAAGGCTGCTGCGCCGGACGATGGCTTGTTATGCTACACTCTTGTTGGCTCGTGTAAGCGCCGGGGCGCGCGGGAGATTGTGACCGCCTCCTATTCGTCAATACAGAGCAGCGATCGAGCCACAAAGATAGGCCAGCCTCTTCTCTTTCACCGCGACTACGCTCGTGGATCCAATGATGATATTCTGGTGGACCTTCCTTCCCAAAGCGTTCCCAAGGTCGAGGTTGGTGAGATGTAGATTCGAATCGATCACAATCTCGCTTTGCCCAATGCGGGGCAAAAGGATGTCGGTGTGGTACCTGAAATTCGGATTGGTGTTCCTCCATCGTCGGATTGCATCTGGTATCGTCAATCGTACGACACTGACGGTCATATTTAGGACGCCTTCGTTGGAAAATCACCCTTTAGTCGCGGTCAGTGCGTGGAGTACCAGCTTCTAGGCAGCTCGTTCTGATTTCCGTTGAAGTTTGAACACCTTGTTCTCTACAGGACATAGCTTTACCTACCATGCAGTGTATACCCTACTACACCCAACATGTATGCACCTCTTCCCCACGAAGTCTGGCCAACCGGGCGTTTAGTATAGACTAGCACCTGCATCTCGCTTTCCCTTGTCTTCGGGACCCTACGTGATCGGTGTGGGTACCCCCAATGCTTTTCTGCGATGAGAAGTGATTGGCCATATCCGATCTTCTGACCGATGTACTTGCCTTCCTTGCATGTTCGATCGAGAAAGTTGAGTTTAGCTTGATGCATTAGCGTATAGTCAGGTCAAACTGCCATAGCCTTTCAGGACTGCTATGCGAGAATGACTCGACTTCCGTAACGGATGACCTTGGAACTCAAAATCGGGTTTCTAAGCCGAAAAAGAATGGTACATAACTAGCAGTGTGATGAAATGTGATTGTTCTGATTGATGGGAAACTGTCGTCAAAGTCTTGCTACAGATATCTGCTCTAGGTGTCTCATGCACTATGCCTGGGAGAATCACAATATTTGCAGGATGATAGAAAGTTTTTCGAGGTTTTCTTGTCATTCTTTTTAGTGTACGTACCAAAGAGATCTATGAATAATAGATTGCGAAAAGAAAAATGGTACAGAAGCATGCAGAAGCACGGTAATAACTTGCCTCCCCAACGCCGGATCCCGCAAGAAAGTGGAATAAAACATTTAAACAAGAAATTGTATCAACATGATGCTTCTTCGACTCAGAACTTTGCCTTGATTTGCTTTGCCTGGTTGTTATGCAGCTTCATCTTGAGACGCTTCACAAGCAACTTTTCCTTGGGACCGAGAATGGTTTTTAGCTCGGTAAGGCTCATCTTTATATTTTTGCCAGCCCTTCCACCTCGGTTCACATGTGTCCAGTAATGATCCCGAAGATTATCGCCCCTTGAGAAAAGTCTGGGACACACTTTGCAAATGTGACACCTCTCATTGCCATGAACAGTCCTGATATGGCGTCGAAGGTGTTCCGGGCGTACAAATCTCTTCGGACATGCGTTTCCGGGATGGTCTTTGTCTTCCAAAGGACATCTGTAGTGCCTGGGCTCCGAGGCAGTGGGGAAGGGGCATACACTATTATCCCATTTTCCGAGCTTCATAACACTAGAGTCTGCTCCAGAGCTCCGGAAGGTAGGATGCGAAGAGGATTTCATAGTTGAGCTGTCATCGTCACTTTCAGAGTCTTCAGATTCTGAATCGCTGTCCATGTCACTGTCGTCAGGGTTACTGGCCAACCCCTTTTCAAAGGGTGCTGATTCGACATCCCTGGCAGCGGAGTAGCGAATCGTTGCAGAGTACGGGATGTAAAATGGTGCCGCTGGATGGCCAGCTTGCGGTACGTGTTCTTGAACTGGTTGTAGGAGCAGATGATCGCACGGTGGGTCCTCGTGGTAGGGCAATGAGAACTGTTGCGAGCTCCATGTGGTCATCTCGGGGTAGCTGGGTCTCCAAGCAGGTTCTGGCTCGCCCGACCAGGCGTCATGACTCGTCGGGGAGCGAACGTGTGGGAAGACTGTTGAGTCCACTTGGTCATACATCAGCGTGCCAGTGTATGGTGGTGTGGGAATACTCTCAGTGTGGCTGATCGACGAGCTTGTGGATAATGGGCTGCCGCAAGGTGGTCCCTCAAGTATCCAAGGATCGAAGGCGTCTATTGGGGCGCTCAATGATCGCGCAGTTGAGCGTCCTTGGGGATAGTGGTAGGTATATGATTGTTGCTCGAACGATCCGTGACCAGGCTTTGAGGCGATAGGCTCATGTGAGTCACATCTCGAAAGATCTTGTGACCCAACATATTCCATCACGTATTGGTAGGGACTCGAGGTAAAAGATTGGACTCGTCGTTGTTCCATCATAGCGAAGTAGGACTAGGTTTTAGTCAGCAGTGATTGTAGGCGTCGACTAGGTAGACATACTATGTATTTGATATGAACACTCAAATAACAGCGAGGGTATCGTATGAGTAAGAGATATCCTGTAGCACAATATTTGCTAGATCTGAGATCTGGAGATGATTGTTACACTAGCAGGCACACACCAATTTAATATAGATCAGATGCAATAGTCAACCAGAGACCACGCCACAACCTCTGAGAGGTATGCCCATAGGGATCATCGACATATGAAAGAATGCCAACGATCGAAGGACCCAACAGCTTGGTACCTGAGCGACTTGGCACATTCGATGTCAGTATGCATGCACAGCCTGGCCACGAACAAACGACAAGCGGCTCGAATTGACATGGATGATAAGCTGATATGCGGCGTAGCCAAAGACTTGGGTTGCGGACGGATCCGGCTTTCTTAGACGATGGAAGTTTTGCAGGCATGTACACTGGGTTCTAAGCACCTACTGCCGCTCCTGACATTTGCACTACTTCCAAGTGTAATATTGTCGCTTGGTCTCTCTCTAGCAGGTATATGTAACTGAAATAGTTTCTGGTCGCCATCGCATGTAACCTCTTGAACAAGAGGTAGGGGGCTGATCCTTCTGTGGATCACGACAATCCGTCTGATCCGGGTCTCAATGTGGGTATGGTGCGTTCGCCTGATGGCATCTGCTCAACCGTTGTTACGTGGGGCGGCCACTAACCTAGTCAGATATGCGCTTTGACGTGTGGCAAAGATGGTTTGAGCGCCAAAGCGCGGTTGTTGGATGCAGCTAACCGTTATGGGTATTGAGGAATGAAGACCTGTGACGAAGATAGCTGTTGGGTTTAACAACTACCTACTTGCTCTGGCAGGATGCACCGTTGTCGCTTGAGTAGCAGGCAAGCTGAAGCTGGGCTTCTTGCATATCGAAGGCCGTGCCCAACTCAAGCTCTTTGATGCTGCGGTCAACCTGTTTCAGAGGCCTATGCTATAGCCATACATACTATTTGCGACTCTAAATATCCCAGATGATGTTAGAAACCAATGCTCATTATAGTGTTCGGCGTCGTGGTTGTCGTGGAAATGACCAGCCATCGACGTTGCGGGACTGTTAGGCTTCCAATGCCTGTACTATACTCAGCTTGATTGATAGTTGCTATTTGCGACCAAGAACATGTTGGATCGTCAAGATATGTGGAGCTCGCGTAACTGTTCTCATCAGGAGGGTAGCCGCGCAGCCACAAGTGCTCTGGTCGAATGGGGGCTGTTAAATGTGGCGGCAGGATGAGACGCCGGGTCTGAAAGACGTATTGTGTATGATAGAGCGTCTCCAATCCACTGCTGATCCGATCGTAATCAACGCTGTCTCGCATAGGTTGACGATGCGATACGAGCTGCACTGCGGCACGGCTTGGGGGGTTTCCCCATCGTACCGAAGATCGTTCCGAGTCAGTAGCCAAGTAACACTTTACAAGCCAACCTTGACTTCGTCTCAAGTTGTAGACGCCCAACTAAGCAGCGTACTGGCCGTTTTCCTCTTGAGATAAGGCATATAATCAAGACTTCTGGCGCATGTGACGCGAGTATCGAATCGGCCAGCTTCAGCTAGATTGTGGACGTAGTCCTTCTAGGCTATGATCATGAACAGCCGTTATAGTGTGACTAGATTGCCAAACTACAAAGACCGTAGATTCGGGAGGAATGGACCCTAGGTCATGGCAACTGACCCTAGTAGCCGTAGTGAAGAGCCAGTATCAAGATGGTAATATCGAGCGAACGCAAAGAGTTGGTCTAAACAGCCGCGAAGGAAGCGTGTGCCGCGAGTAAGGAGACCTGAGGCAGGCTCTCCGACTGGTGGTCGCGGGTTACGTTGTGAAGGGCCCCCATTTCTGGCCGAGGCGGTTTGTCAAAAACTTGAGTGGTCTCTTTTTCGAGAAGATCATGCGTGGCGAACCACTCACGGTCGCGTGAGCTCAGAACTTTGATGGAGGTGCGGCTTGCGTAATGAGATTCACAAGAAGCGGCAATCCCGTAATTGGCCACTTGACGCTACACATGGGCCATCACATCACGTGTGTAAAGGACTCCGGATCCCATATCTATGTAGAACTCATCACACACAAACCAAAGCTTGTGATGCAGGTGGAAGCTGGTCATGATATGGTTATGTCCGACCGTACCTCTCTCCGCGGAGCAATGACTCCATGCTCCCATGAGATTCTTCTCATGTCAAGCATGATTCAATTCTAAGCGATGAATTGGCGTGCCATTGGAAGGAAGCGTGATCGGACTGTCTATCGATGGAACGGGGCTCCGCTGTGGTAGCGAGATGAAAATATTGATGGACAATATTACGCCGTCAATCATGAGCAGTAGGTGAGCATTGGAGACTGTTTCGAAATCGGTACCGAAGAAAAGAAAGATTGGTACTATGGTATCAGAGGAGCACGAAGTCCTTTCGGAATAGCTCTCGAGTTTAGCGTGTATACATGCCCTACGCGTTCAAGAAAACGTCCAAGTTTTGGTGCCGCACGACTCAGTCAGCCGCCTGTCAGCGAACAGCTACAACTTACCCGTGACGCATCAAAGCTTGGAGGACATTGTTACAAGTCATCGGCTGTGACCAAAGCCACGAGCTTCCATGCTCCGGCGCTGTTACCAGAACTCAGTTGCCGGAATGGAGAACGTGCCATCTGGTACCGCATCCTCGATAACACAGCTTTATCCCCGCTGTGAGTCATCGCTTGGCAGCCCAGTCGAATCGATTAGCGATGTGATGCAATGGTTAGAGCTGCATACCCGCGCTTAAATGAAGGATCTCGACTTCGTAACGAATCTGAATCTGACATGTCGCTTCGCTGCACTAAATCTGGATTAGATGGAATCGACCCCTGTTGGAGCTGCTGCTACTGCTTGAATCCAGATGGAGTAGATGGAGCGATTGGCGAAGTGATCGAAGATGATGGAGAAGACGGAGGTTCCGAGCGAGATTAGCGGAGCGCTGGGTACCAAATATGCCAGTCATGCCAAGCCCACTAACCCATGACGGGAAGGACATCTTTTGACGCCCCAAACCAGCTGGGCGCATGGAAGTCAATCTCACTGGCTGATGTGCATCGCTATGCACATTTCGTCACACGCCATGTATAGCTCCGGAGTAGAAACTGTCTCGATCCTTTACGCGTAGCGTGCGGAACTCCGTAGCGTTCCATGGACGACCCGATTTTGTAGAGCGGGATCTCGGACCAAACTGTGATGGTTTGTTAGGAAAGGGCGCATTCGAATGACATATCGTGTACGCTCTCTTACTGGAAGACGGATGTTTCATGGCGAAAGAGTTCTGACATTTCGTGGGTATGAATATCAACGAATGTTGTGGATGAAGGACTCAATACAGCCTCGCCTGGATCGGACCGAGCATCGTCACTAGTACCACCACTATACACCGTCAGTATGTAGATTCATCGCGAGGCGCACCGTAATCTCTTGGGATTAATTCTCATCATTGTGAGACTGGTTCAATTATCGCTCCTGGACTCTATTCGATGCCAGACAATACCCGACAGAGTGCCTACAGCAACTATCGTGCAACCCGACGTACCCAACAACATTAAGAACGGCCGAATACAGAAAGTGCATCCATCGCTCTATACACAAGCTCAAACTTGTTATATTCAAAACTGATCCATGGATTCGTTAATGATACGGCCTCCATGCGTACTTCGCAATTAGTCCACAATTCCAGTCAGGAATATAATCACTTCGGATTTCTTGTCGCAGCTAACAGCAAAGCAGCATTATCAAAAACCTTCGCGAGATCAACGTCAGTTCAAGGCTCCATCATCGAAGTTTATCCAGGGCTCGGTCGCAAAAGATACGACACGAGGCTGTAGAAAGGATCGTCCGATACGGGTAAGCAGGTAACCCACAAACCTACCACCGAAACACGACTTCGATTCGAAGTAAACTGCGCGTCTACGGTGGCCCGTACCGCCGCATCGCTTATAACCGCTGCGCTCCGCTCCGCTCCGCTCTTCTGTAGCCTCACCGATCACACCGCAAATCATGATGTACGAGTAAATAGCACCGAGAGTAGGGCCGATGGGGACAGGAGAGTTTAACACCAGATCGGAAAGGGCAGTTAGTTTAGCGATAACCAGTGCGATTACGTTTTTTTGCTGCGCTTGAGACCGTACAACTGCACAACAAGTCTTCGTCGCTTCATAATCGTAACTGCTCTTTTGCGATCAATTCGCTTCATTATGTAGTTTAGTTGGTCTTATAAGTTCTCGAAACAATAGAACAGTCAAAATTTCAAGTCTCCATTTCCTTAGCCTCGTAACCCCTTTGTCTTACTAGATACATTACATATCTAGTTGCTCCCATGAAGTGACGCACAAACTTCTACCACAACGACCACATCGCACGACAACACTACCGACTGTCACAGTACGCATGCTCACTTTGCACCATATTTCAGCAAAGGGTCCATTGCATAATGCGCATCTTATTGATAGCAGGTAAGTACATAAACGCTTGACATCATCTCATCGCGCCCCAGGACCCAGGCCAACACCGCTCCTCCTCGCCTGCACAACAGCATGAAGACATCGCCCTACAGCCTCCAGATCACCCAGCAACGTAACATGTCCACGGTCGCTAGACACCACACCACCTCGAACCACACTGTACCCTTTAGGGACCATTGCTGCCCGAGCGAGTACAACACCGTCGCCACTTGCAAATGCAAGCTCATCATACACGTCCGCGCGTTTTATAGCTTTCCGACTCTCTACCTTCGCGCCGTAGACCGTCGGTGTGGACTTGCCGTAGATAAGCGCGATGGGCGGGTATGAGTTCGAGGTTGTGTGGTGAGGCCGGTGGTCGAGTTCTTGCTTGAAGGCTTTTACTTCAGCGAGTGTTCGTGTGAGATACTCTACTGCTTTATCGTAAGGGATCGTGACGTCGGTTGCGGGATTCGGTTCTTTGGATGTCTCCATAGTATGTTCTTGGCCCATTTGCGGACCCATGCCTGCTTGCTCCGCGCTTCCTTCTGTGACGTTGTTGGCAGCGTTACGAGCCACATCAGCGGCGTCCCTCGCAGTGCTGCTTTTGCGAGCGGGAAAGGTGGGTAGTGCTGAGGAGACGGCGTTCATCAGACCACTAACGCTGAAGTTGCTATCTTTGGGTTGCTCTGGGCGAGGTACCGGCGCTGCTATACATGGAGACAGCCGGTGTTCTTTCCATGTATTAACGTCAAAGAAGTCTACAGGGTACTCTTCCTTGGTGCGCTTATTGATGAAGCACTTGCCATCTAGGGGAAGGAGAGCGTATGACGTTCGGATGCTGAAGTTTACTTGTGCTGTGAGGACGCGCGAGGAGAAGAGGACGTCGTCGCCATTACGAAATGGACCGAGGATGTTCACGCAGCGTTGGGGCACACCGGCATATACGACGCCGGCTACTAGATCAGGGCGCTGATTAATTGCATGACGCGTGATCAAACCACCTAAAGAGTGTGCAACGACTATGGCGCCTCGCTTCTCGGGAGGAACGCCTGGCTGGTTACAGGGCAGTGACTCTAGGAATTGTATCATCCGTCGGCTCAGGAAGTGTGGTGAGAGCCGCCAGTCGTAACCGTAGTTGTGAACCCTAAGCTTACCCTCCTTTACATTGTCGCATGCATTCAAACGCTTGAAAAGACGCTTGGCAATGTCGACAGGGCCAATATGGGTCAACATACCGCTCGGTATGATACTCTCCTCCATGCGCTCATCCGCATCCGGATCTAGAGGCACTTCCAAGTCTACCTTGCGTAAATTCAACCCGACTTTTATAGGCACCCACAGCTGTCGATGGGGTGGTTCTGCTGAGCGCAGAACAGAACCCCGATAGCCTCCCAAAACGACTAAGTCACCCTCGAGCTCCTGTAAAGCTTGCGTAAAGTATGGATGCGACTCAAAGTCTGCATCTCCACCCTTTGACGGCTGACGCTTCCTTCTTATCGAGTCGCGATGCAATGCCGACGCAGGTGCGCTTGTGCGGAGGTTGGCCTTTTGTAGGGCATTATCATCGGCTTCGCGCGGTTTGGACGTTGTACTGGCGTTACGATTCCTGAACATTTCGGCACTAGATGTTAAGTTGAAGTTTGGAAATGAAGGGCTAGGCAGTTTGAAATTCGAATCTGCCCAGCTGTCTCTGAGGGCCTTCAGCCTACTGTTGACCTGCTCTTGGACACTTTCGAAGCGCGTGTCGTCGCCGAGAGAAGATGCAAAAGACCTTGTGCGGTATACGAGCAAGGAGCCCTCAGAGTTCGACCGCCGTAACTTAGGCGTCGGTCGGTCGGTCGGGATCTGGGGTGTTAGGGCGATAGTGGAGGTGCTGTCGTCGCTGAATTCGCGCTGAGGAATTGGAGCCGTACTGGCTTGCTGTGGCGTCTGAACGAGGTTTCTTGATGCGCTCCTGGGCTCTCCAGGAGTAGAGTGATTGGCGCCGTCTTGCTGTGGTATATCTCGAGGTGGTGCACCGCTAGCGAACGTATCTCTCCTGCGTCGATCGAAGGTGCGTGGCTTGTCCGTGTCGAGCGACAATGCTGACAAACTCGGGAGCGAAAAGTGAAGGTCTTTGTAGGTTTTGGTGATGGACGTAGGAAGATTGAAGGGCATGTATTTGCGCATAGTATCCCCCATGGAGCCACTCGAAGAGGCCCGCCGCCGCCCGCTTTGTAGATGTTCGCGAAGTATGGATCGGTGGTCGCCTGCCTTCTCCTTGTGAAACGTCTTCGGACCTGCCCGCCAGGGCGAAGGAAGCCTCGTTGGAGGGTCGGACCGTCGCTCGCGGTCGTCATTGCTCGATGTTTGCGTGGGTTTCGGCCTCACATCAGCCTTTTGTATATGTCTGGTTGGCTGTGTACTCGGTGTCGTCTTCCTCAACTCCGGTGTAGAATCGGTAGCTTCTTGCCAGCCATCGAAAAAGGCGCCATCTTCCGTTTCGTCTAGGGCTGCAGCCTTCTCCGCTGCCGGCGTTTTTGGCGAAGTCAGACGCGTCTGCTGTTTTCCTATGCTGACTCCAATTGCTGACTGTGCTGTCTCGAGCTCAAAAGCCCTTTCCTCCGGTGATTCGTCTTCGGACGGCGTGAGGTCATCGTCGACGATAGATGCGAATTGAATGTCGGCGAGAGCATTCTGGCGACGTGCATGCGTACTAGGGGCTATGGATGTCTCTGCCATGGTAACCTGGCCGTAATAATAGAGAATAGGTGTATGGGCTGCAAAAGTGGCCCCGAAGTTAACTGGTCGTGTTTACGGTACTTGCTCTTCCCGTGGTGTGGCAGTGTCAGCTTTCCGCCCGCTGCCGAAAGCAGCGGCAGCCATGGCTATCCATCCCAGCGATCTGGCCCAGCTTCATTCTTGATTATATTCGACGGACGAGAGACGGTCAATTGTAGTCGGCAACGGTGCAATGACGGCAAGCGCGACGCCTTTATTGACAATGACAAACGTCACGTCCAAGGGCGTCGATCCCGTCCGCCCAGCCACGCGCCACGACGCCACGTTTTACCGTTAGTCAGCCATTCACATGGCAAGTTACCCCTCTTGTCGCGTGCATTGTCCCGAGGTAGCGGCTCATACAACACGAACACCGTCAGCAATCTCAATCGCAGCGTTTTGTTATCATGCGCATGTTAATAACTAATTCTCAAAGTGACAGCTACCGTCCTTTTGTCCGTTGATAGCCAGTCCTTTTGCCCGTTGGCAGCTAGCTCCACATCTCACCGGAATTTCAGCGCTTTATCGGATGTGACATTTGGCTCTTCTTGGCATTTCCTTCTTCACGTAAGGATGTGAGCATGTCTGTCTTCTCGCGCAGCGGTCTTGTAACACCTATACAAAAGTTCGCCATGCTGCTCCGCGTCTTCCCGCTGATGCACATCGCCTAGCCTCCCGAGATCGGATTGCGAACAGCTCAGGAACAAGTCAGCCGATCCCCATTAGACCACAAATCCGGTTGCACCTTTAGTAACGCATTCGCACGTTTGCGGGCTTTATCAGCCAATTAAGTACCGAAACCCACGGTGGAACAAGGCCCAGTCCTCATAACCCTTTGGTAACCGAGCTATATTCTCGCATGACAGACCAACAACGAATGATGGTCGTCACATAAATGCAGTATCGAACGCATACATGCCATGCTAACGTACAAGTATCGGCACATATGATATGGCGTAATTGGTAGATCCTAGGCCAACTCCACAACTTTGAGATATATCTTCACGACCGGCCCGATACAATTCTCACTATCATCTTTTTATTCCCTCATCTTTTGTCCTGAGTAATAATTTTTCCAAGTTCTATATCATCGTAGAGTTTGCCTCAAACCCGAACACAGATCAATATCAACATGTCCACTCTTCTCAGCCTCCCAACATCATTGCCGTCAGAGTCCGTCACGCTCGGGCAACTCCTCACCTACCCTCTACATCATTCTTCCAACTCACTTCAGCCCTCAAACCTTCCCGCTTCACAACAATCTTCGAACCATTCGAAAGAGGAAGACGCTTGCGCCACGACTCATGTTATCATTGACGAACCATTGCAAGTCTTCGACAACCTGCGTCACGAGCCCGAAGCACAAGCCTTCCTCCACAAGATGTTTCAACAAAACAAGCCAGTCTACTTCGTTACTGGCCTCCAAACATCCAAATCCCCATGTCACAAGCGTACGGCTATGTCACACGAACTCATAACCGAGGCAGCTTCAACCCCGCAACCACAACTCCACCTCCCCTTCCGACGGGTAGACTCGGCATCTAACATGGCCTCCCCTTCTCCGCCTACCAAATCAGAGTCGGCGGATTCGGTCCTCGGTGTTCAGCTACTGAAAGTCAGGTGCCGTGTTGGTGCTGTTGATGAGCCACATTGTATCTCAGATGTGGATTATACCTGGAGCTATCATTTACTTGATGATGAGGAGAAGGAGGAATATCCACAGCTATCTATTGGTTTAGGAAAGTCGGTGGAGTCACATGAATGGGAGGCTTTGACGGGGATAGCGGAGCACCAAGAGGAAAAGGAAGCTGATCATAACTGGTCTTATGACTATGAAGACAGCGACGACGGTCTCGGTGGATTTTGATCAAGTCTGTCTTATGAAAGACATTTCAATACAGACCTGTGGGCTCGACCGACCCCAGATGTTCCCACAAACGCCCTTAGGGCCAGTTTGCTCACTGCACTGCATTCCCTCCCACGACTCCAAGTCCATAGACTTCCGTGTATTCCTTCCTTGCATCCCTCACTGCATTAACCTGACTACTGTCGTTCCGCAAATTTCTCTGCGTCAGCAGCTTCAGCATCACTCTCTGACAATGCTTGATATGCTTGGCCTTGAATGTCTCCAGCTCTTGCACCCTCCTCCTGTAGTCGTTCATATCTTCTTTCATGTCATTACTAGTGAGTTTCAAGTCGATAATGCGTTCATTGTTTTCCCCTTGTCCATCTTCAAAGCCGCCCTGGCTTCATTCAGTACAAGGACCTATTCTTCGAGTGTAGCACTATCTGCGGTGCCCTTGTCGGTAGTGAGATCGATGAAGTCGAGCAGAGATGTGCGATAGAGGGCATGACCTTCTGTTCCCTGTTGGTCGTGGAAGAGCTGGGCGCTGGGTGTGTTGGCTTGTGCTTCGAGACAGTAGGTCGCGGATAAAATTTCCTGGGCTGAAAGCCAGTCTCCATGATATTGTCTTCGTCCTCTGACGTTTCCGATGTCATACAATGTGCGGTAGGGGACTGTGCTTGCCGTTAGCGGTTACTACTCCGGTTGTCCGTAGACGCTTGTGCTTTGTCACGCACCGTGGCATCCACAGCAAATGCGTCCGTGTTATGGGTCTTGCATGGCCTCAGTGACTTCAGCGTCGGCTGCAGCATACCATCTTCTCGCTTTTTTCCCCGTCCCTCTCCTTGTATTGTTTGTCGCAGTCGCGCCTATTCTTTCTTGGCCACCTCCACCAGCTCTTTGGGTCATGCGTCCTGTCGAGTTATAAAACCCTGACAGTCCTAGAGTCCTGCGACGATGAGTGAGATACGCACGCAGGTGCTGATTCTAGCAAACCACACTTTTGATGTGCCAACAGTGTCTTTACCCTCGGTGAGTAGTTGGAACGCAGGCGCAAACTCTACGGTGCCATCCAATGTTTCAGGCAACTCCATCTTGAAAAGGTTGCCATCGAAGAAACGCATCCGCCAAGATTCAGAAAGCGGCTGTACTTTCGCAGCGGGCTAAGGAAGGCGGAACCCTGCCGAGATTGATGTCTCTTCGTCGTCGCGGAGGTGGCCTAGGAGAACTCTGCTAGGAAACAAGCCGAAGTACTCTTTGCTGTCTGGTTCCACTAAGGTGATCCGTCGCTCTTCATAAGCCGGTGTTGGTGACGTCTGAAACCAATGTTCGGGTGGAATTACGTCTCTCAGCACCTTAATGCAATGTGTCTCTGGACCCTCACGCAACTTGGGCTTAGATGCACTAGGTTATTCGTCGCTGCCCTTAGATTCTTTACTGAGGTCGAGAACAGATGGCGGTGGGACAAGAGTTGCGATCTGACTCGTCGAGGACTCAAGATCTGACCCAGGTGCTTGCGCTAGGCTATCTAGACCGTTTTCGATATTGTTCCGTATCGCTATAAGAATTTCCGGGGGTATGAAGGCTACTCTGGCCCCAGAGAATCCAGCCTCCAACATAACGATCTTGACAACTCTCTTCGCCTGCTCCTCTCAAATTTGTGCCAACTAGACACCCATCATCCGTGAGAAGGCGACATCATGGCAGGAATTCCGATTGCGCGAAAGGTGTATGGCCTCCTCGCCGCCTCTATTGTCGTCACAGTGTAGCTCCGACATCGTTCTATGGTTCTTCTTCACTCTACTCAGATAGCCCCACACGCGAAAGCCATAATTGGTATCAAGGAGCACTCTGCCGGAGTAGAATGTGTGTCCATAGTATGTGTCTTGTGGTAGTTTTTCTACTGTGAGGTAGAGATCGGTCGGGATCGCGCCGCGGAGTTTTGCGAGCATCGCCGGGTACTTATTTTGCTGCTCCTAGAGAAGCGGTGCATTTATGCGTACATCTTGCGTAGGCTGCTACAGCTATTGGCTTTAACAGCCATACTTTTGTTGTCGCGATGCGCTAGTGTACAAACCACATCAGTAGCAGGTGTAAGAGGCTGAAGCCTTGGTTAGTAGTACTTGGCCTGTGGCCTTCGTTATAGCTGGTTGGGATAGGCTGCAACCCTCGGAGCGTTGTCGGGGCTTCATCGGCGCTCCACGGACCCTTAGAAGTTTCTCGAACCTAGCACTACGTGATACATAGACTTAGCGCAAGCGTAGTGTAGCTTCTCTATCGAATTCATTACTGTTATACCTTGCACTTATGGTTAACCTATCGCACCCTTATAATTAAATTTAATCCTTCTGTAGCATCCGCTACGTCGAACTAGCCTCTTTAGAGTAACCTCTATAGCAGTAACAACCGAAGCCCCCTAGAGCTACATCTAGACGGACGCCTTTTAGAGCGATATATTAAAGATACTAAGTGATTAAAGAACCGATCTCAGTTAAGCCGTTTCGAACCTACTAAGGGTTAACGAAGAGCACTTGCAACTAGCTGCAGTGCTACACAGCTTGGTACACGTACAAGCACCTAGAAATATAGAACGGTCCACCAAGGATCGTTAGATAAGCCTGCCATCGCCGCGGACATTAGGCAGCACTAGAAACCGAGAAAGGTCTACTAAAGACCGTTAGATAAGTCTACTACTTAAGGCGTGGCCTAAGAAATCGACCTACCTACACTAGCACAATAGCAGCAGCGGATGCCTCTGCAGTAGGGCTGGCAGTACAGATAACGCAACTATACTACGACAGTGTAAGCAATAAGGAGATACGAGGATCTCTCCAGAACCTATGTAGGGCCTAGGGGATAGATAAGCCTACAGTCTAGGAAAGAGTACAGGAAGCTTTCTATATCTAGAGTACGATAAGAACTGCGCTGCAGAGGGCTGGTTTAAGCAATGTCTCTACTCCCTAGAGCAATAAGGATTCAGCGCCTATAGAGATAGGAGACCTACATCTTCCAGCTACTACAGCTACAACTACAACCGTAAACCTAAACGATTAGCCGCCGACATGGCTAGCTACCCTTCTAGCTGCAATACAACCCGTAAACACCGTTAATACCGCCGCAAAGCGCCGCCGACAGCCTAACCTAGACATGTTTAATAGTACAAGGAAGCAATACTAGGTCTTCTACTAGCAGCTGACAGCTAAGGTAGAAAATAACAAGAATAATTTTAAGAACGATAAGATAGCATGTAATTACGCCTTTGCGAGACTTAAGGGAACAGCTGCTACTCTGACCCTGCTATACATAAGCTAGATAAGAATATCTAGCAAATGGGATTTTAACTAACTTCTTAAGTTCTTTAACTAGATATTTAGAGATCCACACAAGGAGGAGAGAGCTTGTAACAAGCTTTGGTCTATGTCGCAAGGGAATAAGAACATCTGTAGCTACGTAATAGACTTCTAGGAGCAGTTACTGCTTTCTAACAGCAGCTTAGACGAGAATACGAAGATAATAATCTTTAGAAAAGGCCTCGCTTACAAGCTCTAGGATAAGCTTGTAGGCCTAAAGAGCAAGAATCTAGAGGAGCTACAGAGCAGGGCAATTGAGATCGCCGACTAGCTGTATCAGATAGACTTGCATACTAAGGGAACCAAGAACCGCTGTTAGGAAGACAGATCCCTAAACAAAGAACACGGGAATAAGCACTGTTCTCCTTCCCTAATACTAGAGGATAGAATGGAAGGTGTAGAATACACAGGGAGATCTAGGAGGCCCCGCCGACTTAGCAGCTCTAAGTATAACCAATTACGCTGTAAAGGACGCTGCTTTAACTATAAACGTAGAGGACATATGTCTGCTACTTGTGCAGAGGATAAAGGTTTATCTAAGAAGAAGGGAAAGAACAAAAAGACAGCTGTGCTAAAGGCCTCTAGCTCTAAGACTACAGAGCAAAGGAAGAGCAGGAAAGCCTAGAAGGAGGAACTAAGTAGTAACAAGGAATTAAGTAGTGCAGATACCCTAGAAGAAGACAGCGACTCAGGAAAAGACTAGCTCTTGCCTAAAGTTACCGGCAAGAGCTGCATGTAAGTTAGCACAATTTAGCAAAAGAGTAGGCGTCCTTTAAGAAGGACATAAGCGGCAATAGGATTACTGTTGAGACACTAGTTAACTAGCATACCTTTGCTTTAACCTTAATTAACACTAGAAATCTCTTATACTCTCTTATAAGCCCCTGCCTTGTTAAACGTGCTAGTTTACAGTGCCTACCTATCTCCCCCCGCGTGTTAGAAGGAGTTACTAAAGAGCCTAGGACTATTAGAAGAGTCGCTAGGCTTACTATTAACATTTAAGGCTACAAGGACACTATATAGGGATACGTTGCGCCTTCACACCTAGGGTATAATCTTATACTTAGACGCCTGTAGATAAACAAGAGACAAGTTACTATTGCTCTATTAAAGAAGTCTATCTATATCTATTCATTACACTAGAGGATCTGCCTTATTAGCACAGAGGACCGCCCTATCCCGAAGGACCTACAGCTAAAGCGCATTAGTGCAACAGCTTATTACACGTACATCCAGCGCTTGAAGAACGACAAGACAGTACAGATATTCGCAGCCTCTCTTTAAGACATTAAGAAAGCGTTAGCCCTAAAGAAGAAGGTTAATGTTATGTCTTATCTTCCTAAAGCACACTAGCACATAGCCTAGATCTTTAACCCCAAAACAGCTACAAAGATGCCTCCTCTACGCGGACCAGAGATTAATTATTAGATTAAACTAGAGAAGGATAAGAATAGCAAGGAGAAGGAGCCACCCTAGGGCCCCTTGTACAACATGAGCAGAGGAGAGCTCCTAGTCTTACGCAAGGAATTAATATCTCTCCTCGATAAGGGATGGATTAGAGCAAGCAGCTCCCTAGCTGCCTCTCTAGTGTTATTTGCAAAGAAGCCAGGAGGAGAGCTACGCTTCTGCGTAGACTATAGAGCTCTTAACGCAATTACCAAGAAGGACCAATAC